GTTAAATGATGCTTGAGGTGGTCGGAGTGAAAATCCGCCGCTCGATGGTATCCGCCGCTCGGTGGTTGATTACGTTAACTTAATGCACGCAAGACCTAATTATAATATATCTGAATATCGTAGAGGACATGCTTTCGAGGTCCTTATATGGCCAATTGCGTTACACTTAGTACACCGGCTTGGTGCCCGGCGCGGCTGAGTTACCTGGGTTTCAACTACTTCAAATTGACTGGCCTCCCGCTTAGTACTCGAGCTTGGGAGGGAGCTTTGAGCTCGAATAGGCTCAATACGCTGGCGAGGCTCAAGAAGTAGTTGCGGAACCCCTTCACGCTTTAAATGCCAATGAGAATGGAAGTGATCTAGTAAAAGAGGGCCTTGAAGAGCGTCTAGTATATGTAAGCATGGGAGCCCATATACCCGAGAGAAAATACCTGTACAAGTTAAGGATAAAGACGAATCTTTTTTAATGAGTAACTTCCGTTGCTCTTCGACTTTTCTTAAAGCCTCGTGCGATACCCAGCCTCGGACAGCCCCGTATAAGGTACCGGATAGCTCAAGAGGAACTCGAAGTTGTTGCTTTGCTTGGTTTGATTGTAGTTCGGAAAGTTGATTAAGAAGAGCAAGTTGGATTGCTTTCCAGGTATCAAAAAGATCGAACGTTGATCTCTTTAAGTAAGACTTAAGAAGTGCATGGATTCCTTCAACGCGCGAGGTCGCTGTATTCCCAAAATGAGTTAATCGGTCGACCCAAGCCTTTACGAGCTTCTCTTTAAATGGAATAAGTCACGTGGCTTTGATATATCCGACTTCTTCTAGGTGTCCGGAAAGATATTTTTGTTCGAATTGCAGAAGGTGTTCGGCATACGCTTCTTCAGTAGGCGAATTAATAACTGAGAACCAGAACCCATAGAATTCCTTCCACTTTTCAGCTTCCGGGAAAGATGGTTGGCATCGAGCGAGAACTGCCTTATTTGCGTGCCAAATACAGATAAGCGTCGGAATAGAAGGAAAGAGAGTCGAAGCCGCATTAATACATGCAAGACAGCGATCTGTTAAGATAACAGACGGGAGAGTAGTATCACATTGCTCATACAGTAATTTTAATCGCTCAAAAGCCCACGTATAGTCAGCCTCTGTTTCACCGCTAAGAAATGCGAATGCAATACAGAAAGATCGCTGAGAAGTATCAATGCCAATCATATCTAGAAGAGGCATGCTATATTTGTTCGTCTTATACGTACAGTCGAGTAGGAGGATTTCAGGATAGGCTCGAAGGTAGGCGAGTGAGTCGGAATGTGCGAAAAGAACAGCTGTAACTCGCCCATCTGATGCAAATTGTATTCGACTCCAAAAGCCTTTCTTATCGAGTTGATTTACAAGCGCATGAATTAGGCTTTGACCTTCGTAGGCATCTCGACGTACGTCTGCAATCCGATTGTAGATATCTTGCCGTGTCGCTAACGAACCGCTCTGACGTACGAGTGTTTGAATCTCCTTCGGCGCGATACCGGCATTCGAAAGGCTTTCGAGTTGTGAAGAACCTCTAGATAGTTGCCGATGTACTGGATGGGCGGATGGGTGTTGGCTCGGTTCATGATTATGTATAGAGAAACGCTGATCTAGACGATGCTTTAGATTCCAGCCGCTGTCGAATAACTCTTTAGCTATAACTGAAAAGGGATAGCCAGTCCCTCGAGTAGTCGTCTTTCTCTGGCGCTCTTTTGGTGTAGGCGGGAGGCACGCCCGATCACAGGCGTACGTGATAGTAGATTGTCCATTCTTTTCTTTAGTCGATCTCCGTACAATAAAGGCGTAACCTCTAGTAGCAGCCCATGTATTAATCGATTTAAATAAGGTCTCTCGAGAGTCGTAATATCGCTCTGGAGGCAGGTCCATGGCTAGGATTGATGTTAGAGTTACTATTTACAGGCGCGAGGTCGAGGCTCTATTAAATGCTGACATAATCATACTGATTATGTAATTTACACGGACCCGTCGCTCTAGTGGGAGCCCTTTCTTCGCCTTAGTTAGTTCCCTGTTTATGAGTTTATCTGTCCATCTGCTCTTTTCTGCTAGATCTTGGACTGTTCTCCCAGTTGAACGCAAATATTCAGCGCCAATATTCACAAGAACGAGAGCATTTTGACATTGGAAGAGATAGGTACCTATAGGGCTGTTCACGATACTATGTAGTCATGGTTTTCCAATATCGGCAATAGTATCGTCAAATAGTATCGTCAAAAATTTCAACTGCCGATACTATATAGTCAAAGATCTTTGCCAATACTATAATAGTCAAACAACTCTATAATATTACATGATCTCACTAGTATTGCTGATCTTTACATAATACATATGAAGTCTTACAGCGTTATCCTGGCTTCTGGTCTTAAATTTTTCTAATATTAGGCTTATTAGCCTTTACCTCCTGAAAAATCTCTTCACATAATGGCTAATAATTTAGGATGCCTAACTCTAAGAGCTGACCAACTAACAACTTCTGCAATTATGGCCTTGAATGAGAATCACCAAATGACTACTCGTCAAAACCGACCTGATTATCTTATCCTGAATGATGGATATGATGATGAAGCTTTGCCTGAAGACCAAATATCTGAATTCTTCCAGCCAGAACTTAATGCCCTCAGCAGAATTACCACCTCCTGCGATATCCTGCCTTCGGAGAGCCAAGCTCATCATTCAAGATAGAGTGCCCACTGCGTCTGACTTGAGGCTGTTTACCGGGCAAAGACACGCCAAATACGCCCACCAATCATCGAGAAACCTATTATCCATAGCCCCACTCCCGTTATCAGACGTATGACATCATCCGGACTTGTTCTTTTCCCACTGGAATGCCAGCATCTTTAGCGATGAGTTCCTCGCGGACAAAGACCGAGTTCCGTGTCTAGAATGTGGATCCATGGTTATCGCGCGGCACAGAGTAACTTCGATCGAAGCGTGATCTAATTATTGACGATCAGTTACTATTCCTACTCCATTGGGTCTAGACGAGGTAGGGATAAGAACGGTGCCCATTTCTAAGAATTTCTATCGAATATGATTATATGATTATATCCGCATGTTATTACAATTTCGATTTCCTATGGTTTGGCTTCATCTGAATAAACTTCGGATGCGTTTTAATCGCCTTCACGAACGTCGCCTTCCACTCGGGCCCGATCGTCGATTTCTCCTTCACAGACAGCCCTTCCCACCCCTCGGCCAGACGCCGCTGGTCCTCTCTCCACTGCTGCAACTGCCGCCCGATCCAGGGTCCAACAACGCCCGCCGTCTCCGGGACCTTCTCCATGGGTAACATGTGTCCGCACTTGGGCAACAGGACGTGTTTGACACGGTTATACGCCTGGCCTCCGCTACCGCTGAATCCTGTGCCGGTGCGGACCGCGGCTTTTTCGCCTAGTTTGAATTTAGAGAGCTCACTTGCTTCGCCGTAGAGTAGGAGCACTGATGGTCGGACATGAGGGAGGAGGCGGAATGCGAGCAGAGGCTCCGCGCAGTAGATGAGTTGACTTTCGTAGAGAGGTCCTAGCATGTCGGGGACGAAGAGCGGGTCGTGAGGAGGGCTGGGCCCGTAGCCTTTATTGTTGTCGAGTTCTGCGGGGAGACCGAGTTCCTTGTGGCGGTTGGGGTTCGCTCGGGTGTACATCGTGAGCTCCTGGTGTTTGGTCGTGGTGAGTGTGACGGGTGGGTTCTTGGGGTCGATGTTCTCAGGCAGGTCGGGGTGAATGGCTGTTGGGAGGTCGCGATAAGCGTATTGGTTCCAGCGGGCGAGTGCGCGTTTATCCCACTGTTTGAAGAATTTCGGGAGTTGTTTGATGGCGGCCTCGCGCGAGGGCCAGACGTCTGGCTTCATCAGCGTGGCCCATAATAGAGCACGGCCACGTTCGCCAACATCCTTGTCTGTAAGGTACCCTTCGAGGAGCGAGATTGTGGTGAATAGACGGGGGTGGATAAGGGAAAGATGAACCCTGCATTGGATATTAGCTTGCTAATGTACTGACAGAATGCAAAGGATGAATGGGTTTCTACAATTGGGCCCCGCCGGTGCTATGTCCAAGACCAACGATCGGTTGAGGCATGTCGGCACGGAAGTGATTGATCATATGGAGCAGGTCCCGACCGTGATCGGTCCATGAAGCTGATGAGATAGATCAGTCTCTTCTTTCGTGGGGGTGATTGGGAAGAGGGGATTACAGGGCAACGTACGGTCATTTCCTAAGTGCTCCTCATTCAAGATCCCACTGGCTCCTTGGTTCACGGCATCGGCCATCCAAATGGCCCGGATGCGATATCCATCTTGTTTGCTTCGCGCGAGAAGGTCCTCCCACAACGGTTCGTAGAGTTCCTGTGATGCAGTAGATTAGGATCGTGCCCGCTGATGTATTGAAAACATGCGCACCTTAGCAAACCCAGTGCCGTGGGCCGCAATTATCGTGACATCGCCGGGAAGTGGGTTCGGGTTGTCGATTGGGGCATATTTTTTGATTGCAAGTTTCAAGGGGGCATCTTGGGTTGCCGTAGAATGGGGATATTCTCGAATATACTGACTGTCAATAACGTGCTCGGTGATCTTGAAGGCCATGGTGTCAGCGGACTGATTCAGGTGCAATGCGACAGAAAAGAACAAGACAAACCGGCCAGACGAACCCGGGCGGCAGCTTGTTACATATTGCTGTCCTTATCAGTGGACGCTGCTACGTCACAAGATCCCAGTGTTTGTGGCGGTCTTAGGTGAAAATCATTGCCTGAGTGGAGTTTTCTATTGGATTTTATTTGGCTGTGACAAGCGGTGGATAGCCAATTCCCCTGTTCCAAAGCGGAGGATGGAGCCAGCGGTTTGGTGATTTAATGCAATGGTTCCGTGAGGCTAGCTGATCGGGTTCCACATGGCTGAATCGACTTTAGGGTAGTCAGACATTTTCTCCAAGCGGTGTGGATGCGAGGGAAAGAGGTCGATCACAGATCCGTAGCAGGGTTTTTACTTCTTAGTGCCGAGATTACAGAGCTGATGATATTTGCTCAGCACGGCCCAATGGCATTGCCATGATCTCGGCGGGTCGATCGCAGACATTCCACTTCAGCCGATTGTCTGTGGTTTCGATCCACTTGCCGCAATTACTGTTTCAGGAATTCATCGTGAGTCGGTATCTGAGGTCTTGAGGTCGAACTTTGTTCACATGAACGAGAGAGGAATTTTCGAAAATTTTCGATGATAATAAATATCAGGGGATCTTTTCCTTTCTCATGTGATGCGTGTGAGGCTCTTTCCTGGGCATGTGGTCCTTTCCCCTCGTTTCCTCGATCGCTGTCTATTGATCAGAGGTGATGAATCGAATCATAGCCATAACTATGATTCGTAGAACTTGAGAGAGGGTCTTTTGGCGTGATGCTGTTGACTCTTGCATGACTGACATCTTTCAGAATTTCGGGGAGATCGCATTCCGCCTGGATCTCCGGGTCTTCACCTCGATTTTTGACGTCGCATTAAAAAGTTGAGGCAGTCAACGTGACCCGGCAGCTCCGGAATGCCCTATAAAAATGAGAAGAGAATGGCAAGCCCTGATGACGATACCAGAAGCCCGGAGGTGTAACAAAACAAGGGGAATCAGATGGCCCTGAGTCAGGATCACGGGTGTAGTCTCTAGGAATCCAGAGTGGCTAGAAACTTCTCGGAATTAATCTGAAATTAACAATATAGTGTAGTCTGAATGGCTTCGCGTTCTTTAACTTGTGGTTGAATATTAGAGAAGAAAAAAGAGGTGATCAAGGGGCGGAAAATAAACCCAAGGGTGACCACCAGATCTGAAACCCCACAGCGAAATATAACACAGACTTCAAGTACCTCATGAGAAGACCAGAGATGACATTCGGTCTCACTCTTTTCGCAGAGGCCGTCGAGACACAAGCAAACCAAGCAATGTGCTCAACAGGGATTACGTCGATCGAGGCTCGGAAATCCCGACATGGGGAACCTGCCGACTACCCAGGAGATTGTGGGCTTCCTGGCACACAATTCTGTGGCTTGACCAGGAATACTGCTTGCTTATCAGTTCTTAGAATCTAACACTGATCAGCAGGTATCGTGAGACATTGTGCTAACGAGAATATCTGTACATGTAAATGGGAATCGAATGTTAGCAACCAGCCGGAAGCCTCTGCTAGGCATGGATGATGCAATGGCACTTTTGTACGACGTAGACAAGCGCAGGATCTCGCAGCTTCTTCATTGCTAAAGACAAACGTTAGCATCTCTGGCCGAGAATGCGAAAGAAAGTTGTTGAAAGCCGTTGGTGCGACCCGAAATTTGGATCGTCATTTTCTAGCGTCAGCATGGGGCCTACTTCTCGGTATATCCGAGCAAAGGTGATTTCCCCAGATTTTCTTAAACTCGCCTCTTTCATCTGACAACTAACCTCACAAATACCTCGTTGCAGGTATAATTACTTTGTCATGAAGTTGCTTGTTCTTCTTGGGGCTGTAATAGCCGCTACTACGGCCGCTCCTGGCTTCACTCCGCTCCAAGTTCAAACGTCCAGTGGTGTTGTCCAGGGAACCGTCAACGGCAGTTATCCCAATGTTCGACAATTTCTCGGAATCCCCTATGCAAAGCCACCCGTTGGCGACCGACGATGGCTTCCTCCACAGGACCTGGAAAAACATTCGGCGGGGTTCGTCAACGGGACTGTCATGCCTCCCGCCTGTCCGCAAAGTCTGGTCGCCATGAGAAAGGGACCGTTTGGGAAGTTCGCCCCCCAAACTATGGTCGCAGGAGCCATAAGTGAAGATTGCTTATTGTTGAGCGTTTGGGCTCCGAACAATGGAAAGAAGAATTTACCGGTCATCATCTGGCTCTACGGAGGCCAGTACCTTTACGGTGGCACGAATGTTCGTCCCTGGATCCCGTCACCGTGGATTGAGCGTTCGCAGGAGCACATAATCGTGGCCATTCAATATCGATTGAATATCTTTGGCTTCCCCGCGGCTCGTGGACTGAAGGATCAAAACCTGGGGATCCTCGACCAGCGTCTCGGCATGGAATGGGTGCGCCGGAACATCGCGCAGTTTGGCGGAAATCCCGAGCAGATGATTCTCTGGGGTGAGAGCGCCGGGGCCAGCAGTACCGATATCTTGAACTTCGCATATCCGGATGATCCGATCGTGCAGGGGTTCGCTTGTAACTCGGGTTCGGCCTTTCTAACGGTGGATACGCGATCGGATGATGTGCAGGGTTCGAACTTCAGCACTGTCGCCTCGCACTTTGGATGTGCCGGTTCCGCCGGGAAGGAGCTCGCTTGTTTGCGCGCTGTTCCTGCGGCGAAAATCACATCCTACCTCGGTGCTGGAGGAGGTAGCAATCTGACCTTCCTACCGTACATCGATGACAAAACCGTCTTCGAGAACTACACGCAGCAATACCATCGTCGACACGTGAGCGGAAAGCCAGCCCTCTTCGGGTCGAACAAGGACGAAGGGACCCTGATGGCTGGCGGATCCGACTCCCCCAAAGCGAGAGGGATCACGTATTCGAAATTTGAATGTCCGGTGCCTTACTCGACAGCCCGCCGAGAGGAGCTCGGCCTGACCACCTATCGGTATCAGTATCGAGGAAACTTCTCTAACATCGACTCGCTTCCGACTCTTGGGGCGTACCATTCGTCGGAGCTGCCGTTGATTTTCGGCACCGCGGACGATGTTTTTGGACCGAGCACCGCCTTCGAGAAAGCCGTGAGCCAGGAGATGCAAGATCTGTGGGTGGCCTTTGCTAAAGATCCCGAGGCTGGGCTGAAGCGCCGGGGATGGCCTGTCTCAACGAGCGATAAGTTTCTGGCGTTAGGGGGTGGGAATGTCTCTTCCGTGTTGTTGGATGTGACGATTGATGGGCCATGCGAAGACTATTACTCGTTGTATTGAGTGATTAGTATCGTAAACATACAGTAAGAAGAGAAGATTGCAGATAAAATTGAATACATCTACAGCAAATCTGATCATACGAACATCGAAACGTCTTATGATAATGAAATAGATGATTCAACTAAATGGGATGATCAAGAAGACGGTTGTCGAGGAAGAAGTTGGGTACCGAAGACAACGGTCAAACAAACAAGAATGTTTGGCATTTTGCCTCAGGTATTCGACACCAATGTTAATTCAAAGGGCTTATGGGCATGACATAATTATTTAGTATAGCTTGATGATATAGTATGAGGATTATAGTAGATATTGATATCGGGGTTCCAGAACATTGGATCATTTTGCTTACTCGCATGACTCAAAGGCGGAATGCTTAGTCTCAAAATGAGGCCGTAAGAGACGCGCAATTTCGTCGAAACTCTCAGACTCAGCGCAATAGAGCGCATCTGATTCTAAGTTGACGTTTTCAATCCCATCAAAAGGGTTCTGATCGAGCAACATGCGTACAACTCCAACATGGCCTTGTGAAGAAGCTTCCGTCAAAGCTCTTCGAAAATGCTCCTTTTTGGTTTTATACGATCCGATGTCGCATTCTAACAGCAGCTTCATGATCACCTCGTGGCCCCTTTCTGCTGCAACGACCAAGGGGGGATGCTCACTAATGCTATATGCATCAGAATACGGATCCGCACCTTTCGCAAGCAATAACTTGACCAGTGCCGTGTTGCTAGCAGCTGTGGCGCACTGTAACGGCGACGTATCGCAATGTCCATCTGGCAGAGCACCCCTCTCTAATAGTAAAGTCACTGTTGAGAACTCTTCTGCGTCCGCTGCGAGCGATATTGCGGTATCGCCGTTTTGGTCTTCCACATCAGGATCTGCCCCCGCGTCTAGCAGGATAGCGACGACGGTGTCATGTCCCCAGGAAGCTGCAAATGAAAGGGGTGTCATATCCTCCTCATCACCGAGATCCACATCGGCGCCCTTCTCGATAAGAGCTTTAATCACGTCAGAATGCCCTTCTTCTGCGGCCCACGACAGGGGGGTCCGAGCGAAAGCGTCCACTGGGTCCACATCTGCGCCCCTTGACAGCAGAAGTTTTACTGTGTTCAACTGTCCAAGCCTTGCGGCATTGGAAAGCGCTATCATTCCGTTGTCGTCTTGTGAATTCAAGCTAGCCCCTTCTCGGATGAGACGTTGGGCTTCATCCTCATTGTTGTCCTCGATTGCCGATAACAACAGGCTACCAAGGTGAATGAGGTCCTCGGAGGATGTTCCAGTCAGAGATGAGTCTTGCAATGCATCAATACTAGAGATATTTGATGTCGGACGGAGAGGTAGGGTATTTTCTTTCTCCTGAGCAAAATGTCTCTCCAACAATTGAATGACATGCTTGTGTCCATGTTCCGTAGCCCATGAAAGCGCTGTCCGATTGTCAATGTCTTCCAACTTAGCGTTTGCGTTCTTTTGTAGAAGAATCATAACAGCTTTAGCATGGCCCTTCATCGCGGCCCACATCAATGGAGTTCGACGAGATTCATCTGCTGCGTCGACCGTGGCGTTGCCCTCCAACATTATCTTCACCATCTCCTCATAGCCTGTCTCCGCTGCCCAGGACAATGGAGTCCGACCGTCGCCTTTGTCTTGGATATCAGGGTTGGCCCCTGCCACCAGTAAAGAGCTGACAGCCTCACGACAAAAGCCCTGGGTCGCCAAGATCAGGGCGGTTCGACCTTCGTCGTCGCGAGCATTGAGATCAGCACCTCGCTTACCGAGAAGCTTGATCGCACCGACTTTGCCGCGTTGAGCAGCCCAGAATAATGGTGTTTGACCCTGCTGATCACGAGCATCGACATCTGCATTCCATTTGAGAAGCACCTGGATCGAATTGATTTGATCCTCGTCCACGGCCCAAAACAGCGGCGTCTGGTCATGGTGGTCCCGGGCATCGACGTCAGCATTCGATTCGAGAAGAAGCTTGACCGCAAGGAAATGATTGTTCTTAGCGGCCCAAAACAACGAAGTTCGACCATGACAATCTCGGGCATTGGCATCGGCTTTCGATTCGAGGAGAAACTTGATTGTTTTGGTCTGATTATCCTCGGCGGCCCAAAACAAGGGAGTTCGGCCGTATTTGGGATCGCGAAAGTTCACGTCTTTGATTTCATTGCATTGTTTTCCTCGGAGAGGGTTATCCCATGCGTACGGCTGCTCAATTAACATGCTGCCTTTGGACGATATTGTGCGAATTCAACAAGGTCACCAGGGGCAAAAAGGACAAGCGACGGCAATCTGAAGTAGTGATGCCAAGATCTGCCTGGAAACTATTCAATCGGATATTGGAGAACCGGGAGATTCTCGGAGAGTATATTTGGGAGGCTATGCCCTAGCAGTGTAGTCTCGGTCCTGATCCGAAATCATACTAATCCCATGCTGGACTAACAGTTAAATAGTGTGGCAGATTACTGTGGGTCTTCCGAGAAGCGATTATTCAGCCGAGGAATATGATCATATTCAACTGAGTGAAGGTCTTAATTCAACTAACTACACGATAAAGAAGCCGATATTCGTTAGCCAAAGGCTAATTGGTATTGAGGCTCTAATGGGATTTGCAATTTGCTGGTAGTAGTACCAGTTTTGACCGTTCGGAAAAGTTTTAAGTCCATCCCTACATGGCCGGAGTGGCGGGTAAAGTGTTTATCCGAGACCCTTCCTAGTCAGAGGTCTACTCCGTAGTGAAATATTGCAGACTCACAATCCCTTATCATGACTACAGAATCACAGCTGGCTATGTTGATTTGTGCCACGATGATATCTCCGGAGAATGTCAAGCGATAGAGCTGCAGATGCATGTTGAACAGAGACGGCAGCAGCCCGCCACCGTCACGCGTCCCGCTAAGCCCAATCGAGCCGATCAACATCGTCTTCCTTTTCTTTTTCCTTTCGTCTTTCTTCGTTCTTTCTCTCTCTCTTACTATTTCTCGGTCTTGTCCATTCCACACATAATCTCTTTGGACAGTCTGTTATTCACATGTCGTTCGCAGCAACAGCGGATCCTCCATCTCTATCGACTCTACGATCTCGATGGCAACCACCGATGCAAACATCCCCACCGCCAGGACCCAGGTACCCCTCGATGACGTCACGGTCCAGAATGCCGCCCGCACTATCCAGGTACGCCCCTCTAGTCTACTCGAAGGCATTAACATTAATCTAATATGATCCGTGATCTTTAGAGGGCATATCGCGGCCATCGCAGTCGCCGTGAGCTGCGCGGTCTAGGACTCGATGCGTCAACGCGATGGGTTGAGGTACTGTCTCCTGTTCCCCTCCCCGGTCTTAATCGCATCGCATCCTAACATACAAGAGACAGGCCGTTAAAGATGCCGAATGGCACCTCCTTCATCGGCCCACCGCGCCCTCCTCCGAGACCAACAACACCCCGAAAGGCCAAGCCCGACTGAACTGGAAACGCGCTGTCAGCGTGGCCAAACAAGCCGGCGGCGACGACAACACCGACCTCGGCCCAACGCCCACATCGCCTACCGATGGCAGCCCTCGATCATCATGTCAGTCGCAGCCGATTTCGCCCACCAGGACACGCCCGCATGACCTCCCGCCCGGTACGTCCGCGAAGACGATGGGCCTGCAGTACTTTTTGGAAATGGTGGACCTGAAACATCGGCATGGGAGTAACCTGCGAAAATACCATACCTATTGGATGAACTCGCCGTCGAAGGAGAATTTCTTCTACTGGCTGGACCATGGCGAAGGGAAGGACTTAGAGTTGCCGAAATGTTCCCGTGAGCGGCTGAATCGGGAACAGGTGCGGTATCTGACCAGGGAGGAGCGAATGAATTATCTGGTCAAGGTGGATGTGGCGGGGCGATTTCGCTGGGCGAAGAATGAGGAGCTGGTGTGCACAGATACTACGAGCTTCAAAGATAGTTTGCGAGGAGTGGTGCCGGTCGAGGAAGATGCGCCGCCGTTCAAAGGGAACTCCACGCATGCGCCGTCGTCTTCGTCTTCGTTGTCCTCGTCTGCAGAGGATTCCGATTTGGTGGACTCGGACTCTGATTCGGCGGAGTCGTCGTTGAGTTCGTCTAGCGGTGAGATAGAGAAACTGGAGAAAGATGACTATCAGTCGGCGAAATTCGTAAAGCGACTGGTTCATGCGACACCCGGAGGGGTGTTGAAGCAGCTACGGGGGAAATCTGCGAAAAAGGGCGACATGTGGATATTTGTACGTCTCATCACCCCGTCAATCTCTATACGTCCTCTGATACTAAGACTATCAGGTCGCCGATACCTCCTGGCGTGTATACATCGGAATCAAAGAGTCCGGAGCATTCCAACACTCCTCGTTCCTACGAGGCGCTCGCATCGCGGCGGCAGGATTAATCAAGATAAAGGAGGGACAGCTGCGAAGTCTCGCACCACTCAGGTAAGATACCTTTATTTTTGTCTCTTGACTCTTTCCCATGCTAATCGGGGAATAGTGGTCATTATCGTCCCCCGGCTGCCAACTTCCGTGCATTTGTCCACGCATTACAAGACCAAGGTGTTGACATGTCCCGTGTCTCAATGAGCAAATCGTACGCCATATTGGCTGGAATAGAGGGATACGGCAAGGCCAAGCGCACAGTTCGAGCGCTGCATGAGAAGGTAGACAATTCGAAACACAAGATCCAGAGTAGCTTGCACGCGACAGGAGAGGATCACGACGATGCGCACGGCAAGGCTTCGACTCACGGTCTGAGTGAGAAGGTTCTGCCGTTCCATACGAAAACCTCTGATGCCCAGTCCACTAAAGACAACCAACCGCCACGATAGAAATTACGAGATGGATAACGGCATGTCATAACGATTAACGAGCAACGAGCACGAATACCTACATATGAAGCAGCATGTATATTATAGAATGCAGACCATCCGTACCACCTCTTTCTCTACCGGTCTTTGATCAAAAGCCCCCACCAACAACCCACCTCACTAATCTATCTGCGCTCAGCTTCTCCATGGCTTTTTGCTCTACCGTAACCGCCACATCCCAGCCGCCAGTTTCATGCTCAGGAAGAATCCAGCATGTCCCATTCTCCCTAGAACCGGGAGCTTTGACATCACGCACCCGTCCCAATGGTCCAAAATCCATGTAAAAGTCCAACGGTCGCAGAGAGTGGATTTGCATGCTATTTCCCGTGCCAGCTTTCTCGTTTGTATTCAAACTCGTGTTTAACTCCCTGCCCTTGTCTAACGCACTAATCCCCCCGCGAAGAGAAACAGCCACATTGCAGATTCGATAGAGATCCCGCGGCGAGATATCCGGCAGAAGGGACCTCATTTGTGAACCTACAAGCACGGGAAGGTTATTCGGCCGAGTAGGAACAGGGATCGACACGGTCGCATTCCCCATGTATGTCGTCGAGCTCGGCAGCGGAGAGAGATGTCGCAAATCGGTGGCCACGGAGATTGTTCCTTCATCCTCATCGGCATAGGCCGTCTCAGATCTAGAGTAAGAATCGTCACGATGCCCCCTGGCTCTCGATCCAACCACCCCCAGCACGGCGGAGACCACATCCTCCTGATATAGCCGCCCAGGAAGAGCACCACCCCCGACCCGCCGAACAAGCAAATTACACGCGTCAGTGAGCATCGCGATCTTGTCTCCGTTCAACCGCGCCGTGCGAGTCTCTGACATCGACGAGACCTGCTCGATCGGCGTCATACCCATCCAGGTTCGCGGGCCTGTACTCCCCTGACGAATGTGCACGGCTGAGGAAAGTCCAAGACCGCTGAACACATCATCGCACGCCCTTTTCCCCTGTCCTTGTGCTTCTGACCATGGGTCGGACACAGGCAGTTCCTCTCTCGCTGCCATCGGGTCGCGACAAAATTCTGCCAGCGCCCGCACAACTGCAAAGACTGCACCGGGGTCCATGACGCGCGTGTCCCAGCCGAAGACAAGCATGAGCTTGGTGCCGACGACATTGGCTTTGCATCGAAGTGAAGGAGACGGCTCAGTCGGAAGCGAAAATTGAGGAAACGGTAGGAAAGTATGGTTGGCGTGGTTAGATGGCGGGAAAGTGCTGGTTGCCGAATGATGTTGTGTTTGGAGCATGGGAATATGCTGCATGAGCGAGGCCGTGACGGGTTGGACTTCAAACGCATTATCGCTGTTATTAAGGGTAGAACTGGCGTTGGACGGTAGAGAAGAGGTCACATTCCCAGTCAAGAAAGGGTAATGCGAAATAAGACGAAGAACGGCGCCTTCGAGGCGATTTAAAGCATGGGGGACATGGTCCGGAGGCAAGGAGAACAGAAGCGATGTATAATGATGTGAAGAAGGGATGGTCTGATCAAGGGAAGTTAGACTGTACGGCTTGAAGGGATAGGGAGAAGTGGCCTCGCAAGATTCCGTTGGCGTTGATGAGACAGGAAGAGGGCTTGCATGGGCCATTGATCGGCGAGACGAGCAGGATGGCAGGACATAGCGAAGGGGACGAGAGCGTCTACCTACAGACACTCGAGACCAGGTTCTAGTGATAGACACAGACAAAGACATTGTGATTGAACCTGTCATGGACAGTATCAAAGTTGCAGCAGAGAACGCGTTTCCAACCGCAACAACGGCATCTTTTATCTCCGTTGCCAACAACGTACGTCGGGCTATGACGTTAAGGCTTAAAACAAGTTTCCCCGGGGCACCACCAACCCGGGATCTGAGGTATCCTGGACACTAGGCAGACGCAGGGGTATGATAGATTAGACTTTGGTTATACTTCCATCTTCGCAGGAGAGCTTCTAGTGACGTGATCTACAGTGGCAAGATAGGGTTCTGTTACCCGAAGCGGAAATCGACTAGAATAATAGCATTAACTCGATCTGCCAAGGTCTCCGTATACGCTCAAAACGTTAACATCCATAACCTTTCCATCCCTCGCAGCGCGCGGAACCCGAATCCACCTGATCAGTGGCACATCTAACACTTGAGCTCGATAGCTGCAGCAAATATAGTTAGCAACGAACCTTCCAACGAACATAAACCGAGGTAGGTGTAGAATCCCAAACTTACCATTAGCATACAGAGCATACGAATCCGCGTTGTTCAGCGCATCCGTCGCGCTCAGCTGAGTCGCAGCATCATACCCGTATCCCAAGTCATCGGTACCAGGGGAGTAGACGCCCGGCGCATGAGTAAACTCATGAAGAGTCGTAGTAGCCTGGTCCTGAGCATGGCACTTTTCCGCGAGAGCCGGCAACTCAGAGTAATAGATATCGCAGTTCGCGATGACGTCCTGCGACGGGAGCGTATAAGCCAGGACATTCGGCTCGCAGTATCCGAGCGTATCCTCGCAGTAGTACTTGGTCGAGCCGCCCGAAGTCGAAGACGCTTCCTTCGCGACCGCGCGCAACCGCTCCGCCACAGTGCTGCGGGTCTCCTTGTCCGTCGTCTTGAAGTACTCCTCGAACTTATCGTCGTCGCCGGACTCCGCGGCGTCCGCGGCCTGAGTGGCCAGGTCGGCGGCGTTGCTGAGCGCTTTCTCGAGCGCGGACTTCTGGCTACCCGAGCAGCTCTCTAGGCTGGTGCGGCGGAGGTTCTGGGCAATCGTCTTCTTGATCTGGGAGGCCTTGGGGCCGTCCACGTCCACGTCGAGCTGGTTGGAGGTGTATGGGATGTATCCGGTAACCTTGCCGTTCTTGACAATGGGGACGAAGCCCTTGCTGTTCAGCGTGATGGTACCGCCCTTGGCGAGGTCGGCGGTCGAGGCGATGTCGAATTCATCTTCGATGGAGTCGCCGGCGGCCAGAGAGGTAATGGCTTCCTTGGTGAGGCCGTTCATGCGGAAACGGCGCTTGACGCCCTCGAACTGGACTTCGCTTTCTGTTGGGTGTCAGAGAGGTATTCTGCTAGTGATCAGGGCAAAGGGAGGGGAGTTCATACTGCCGCGGAAGACAGACACCTTCTTGACGGGGGCGCTGTCGCGGAAGAAGTTCAGATGCACAAAGTCGACGTCTTCCTTGCCGGAGTTGGTCACGACGGCCTTGACGCGCGTGTTGTCGATCTGGCTCAGCTTGACGCTGAGAGAGGGCGAGGCTGCGGCCGCATCGCTCACGGGCACCGCGGCGGCGGTGGAGGCGAAGGCAGCGAGGGCAGCGGAGACAGTAGCGAAACGCATGTTGGCTGTTGAGCGAGGAAAGACTGGACTTGGGAATTGATCTGAGAGACTTGAGGATGAGATCGAGTTGATGAGCTGGATTACTCTGGACTTGAGACTGGTCTTTATACCTGAGTCTTTGTCTACTATTCCATCCTATCCGCATGATCTCTTCTCCTCGACCATCACATCCTCCGTCGCTCCTCCGGCTGAACAATTGTTTTCCCCTCGCCGTATACAGTCGAGGTAGTATCAGTAACAAATCTCGCAGCGAATAACACATCCCGAGGCCCAGTTCTCGCTCACCTCCGTGTCGATCAGACACAGTTGAGGTAAAGAGAAGCCTTCCATGCATCGGAATCACCACGTCCACAGCTCTTGGCCCTCTTGGCCCGGCGGGCGTCCGACCAGGAACGTTGTATACTCAGGGCAGCGCAAGTCTTCTCCGCAGCGCAGCGCAGTCCCCAAGTCCACACGGAGAGCCACGGATGTAGACATACAGATGTATCAGCCCATTCCGTTGGCTAGGCCGGCGGTGCCCCGGGTCTTGGCTCGAGATGGGTTCCGTCAGGGGTTTCCTGTCGCGGCGAAGATCTACAGTACAAATGCAGTAGGCAATGGGAGTTGGGCTGACGAAGGATCTAGCCAACACGAGGACACCATTCGTAGATATCTATCAATGCTGTACATGTCAGATAGCAATCTCAGGGTCCAAATGAACATCTGTTTGCAGCCTCCTGATGGCGACAAATCCGTACAGATGATTCAATCCGGGGAAGGCACCTTAAGCCTTTCCGTGGCTTAAGCCAAAGTCTTGGACGCGTTGGCCGGAGATAGATTGCCTGCATGACACCGGCATGAAGCCTGTCTCGGACTTTCTGCAATTAATCAACATCAACTCACTGCGGGCTGCTAGTGCCAGGCCTGACGCCGCTAGCCAGTAGTGAATACAACCCTAGATGCCAGCCTGCGCCGATCCCCTCATCAAATGCCCGGCCCTAACGGCTTGGCTAAGGGGCGGTGATTCACCACTACAGGGCCACAGGCTGCAGGGTATCATCAGATCGAGAGAGATCGGCAGCACGAGACGCTCGTTATCTTGGCTGAACTGGTCGTTGGCTGGTGGCGAATCCATGGTCATTATTTAATCTGCCCGGACGGGATCTGACAGTCTGAGTCCCCCACTTCAGTCACTGTTATCCTATCTGTCTTAGTTATCGGGTTTCACTTTGTATACCACACACACTATCTTCTTCAGATCCCTCCACTTTCCACAATATACTCCTAGAATAATCACAAACAAAACAAATACGAAAAAGCAAAATGCTCCCCAACCCCCTCGCCCTCCAAGTCCTAGTCCTCGCCCCGCAACTCATCTCCCTGACCTCCTCACCACATCCAACAACTGACCTCACCATCACAACAACAATCCACAACCCTTCCACCAGTCCCATCACCGTCCTGAAATGGAACACCCCGCTGGACCCCCGCGCCGGCGTCCTCGGGGTGTTTGACATCCACGACGAAGTCGAGAACCAGAGTGTGCCCATCGACACGGTCAAGTTCAACCGCAAACTGCCTCCCTCGGAGGATGATCTGGTGGAGATCGCGGCCGAGAGCTCCGTCCAGGTCGAGGTGAAGTTGCCGCCTGTTACACTGCACGCAGGACGTGAGTATACTGTTAAGGCAAAAGGCAGGTGGCATGGGGTGTGGGAGGGGAACAAAGGAGAGGTGGGTGGTGCGAAGCTGGAGAGCTTGGATGGGAAGGCCCAGGGAGGGGATTTTGTATCGAATGTGGCGAGGGTGAGGGTTGAGTGATCTTGTCTTTCTTTCTTTTCTCTGTTGCACTTGTGCATTAGGGATTATATATGTATATAACGATGCAGGGTGTATTTTATTGATGGATGAAGTTATGATTTTACCTGTTTGCCATATGAACTTAAATGATATTATGAATTCATCCGGTTATTGATATGCCGAAGGTCCTCAAACTGATGTTAGTTTCTGGTATTTATATTAAGACGTTGAATCTGTGCGTGAATGTCTGGATTACTGGGATAACTTCTGTTAGGCAAATAAGAGCAATGGATATCTGTCCGATTTGGGACTTCAGGCATGCCAAGCACTTATGCTCACCTAAGTCAGCCGTATAGCATAGTTAACTAGTTAGTTAACTTAACTAACGTGATTCCCGGCCGACCGGTCACCTCATCAAAACTTCAAAAAAATCACAATTTTCAACAGCGAATTTAGAACCAAAACAATAATAAAATTGACTATCTAACTCTCTCAGGACATTGGTTAATCCTGTGTCCTTTCGTATTACAGCTAGAACAAGTAAATTCGCGGCAAATGGTAGACATCTAAGATAATTCAGGTTCAACTATAGCTTCTGTAGAAGTTGGATCCAAAGATATATAATCATTATTACCGTTTCTCTCAACTGTAATATTATCCTGAATCTCTTCTAATTTCCCTAGACTACCCCTGTAAGTAGTCTGCTTTTTATATTTTATTCTTTTTCTTGTTTGCTTCTTATTTGCTTCTTCTAACTGGCGGCATCGATCGGAGAGAAAAAGATAGTAATAAAACTATCGGACTGTCATATTGTAATGGTGCTGAATCTCTCTTTTTGTAGGTGAAGAGAGATTATCGGATAAAGATTCTAGGCCTTAATCGATGCGAGATTTAGATTTCTCTAGCTTTTTAAGTGTTTAGAGAGAATTGGAGTCGCTATCACTGCCGGAAGATGGTAGTCGATTTAGTAGTGGTTCAAGAGGTATTAAAGATTCAAGCTGAATATTTAACTCTTCTAACACATGATCCGGATTAAAAGGGACTAATCCAGTAGCTAAAAAGCTATTTCGAATAGTAGTTTCCTTAAAAGTGTCATATCGCACTCCAGAAAAGATATCTAGGAAATCTTCTTTTTCAATCGAATTGATGTTGAGTCTTATGTATTCCGCCACCTTGCCTCCGTATAAGCGTTTTAAAATCGCAAAATAGCCTATATCAAGTGGCTGTAAAAGATGCGATACATAAGGTAATATACAAATAGAGATAATATCATTTTTAGAGTATAACTGGTCAAATTCTGGAGTAAAATGACTCCCATGATTATCTAGTACTAGAAAATAATGTTTTCTCTTTCTTAATCGTATATTTGGAATAAAATGTATTTTTAACCAATTAAGAGCAATCTTATCGTTTGTCTAATTATTTTTCGAAATATTAACTCGCCAGTTAGCTTCGTTAGGTAAAAAATTGAACTAACGATGCTTAAACACTTTGCCTTTGAAAATAATATATGGCGGTAGAGTAACTCCAGAAGCCCTTATACATTTAATTACAGTAACCTATTCGCGATTTCCAGCTTGTAAAAGAGCTCTCCAACCATAATAATCAGCAGAAGTAACAATTTTTTGGGTAGTATTTACTTCTATCGCGAACCCAGATTTACCGAAGTTAAAAATATTATCTGAGTCGATACCATATTTTTGAATGGTTTCTTCAACCAGTTTAAACTATGGCAGAATAATTCTAGGATCTTCAGAAAGGGCCCTCCTTGTGACGGTCTACAAAGGAGCTTAGTAAAAGGCAAGTTTGTTTATGACTCGTAGTCAAGGAATTTTCCCATAGGGAGGAAAAGGCTATCTAGGAGAGAGAATCCAGGGACTCTATATACTGCCTGGAGCTTGCCTCAGGCAGGAATGCCTGCAGGATCCCTAGGAATGTTCCTGGATGCCTGCCGCAGAGGATCCCTTGATCCTCCGGAACGTTCTCCCCAAGCCCCCTGGCTTCAGGAGGTAACACTCTTATAGTTAAATTTGCGAGATAGATGTGTCATAAGATTTAAACGGCGTTTGACGAATTCTGTAAGCCAATTTTTTCTAACAGAAAGTGTTACGAACAGCTACGCTGACGATAGGGAATCGCAAGAATGTAGGATAGGCATTGAACGAAGAAGCTAAGCTAGGTTGTGAAGCTATTCAGGAGCTGATCACGATATGTGTGGGACAGCTCTGACGCTAGTCCCGATCGGATAGTTAGGTCATAGGGCATCGCGAAGGGACGTCTTTGGAGGCAGGTCACAGTTCGTGACAGAAAGGGTAGTAGTAGAGATTGTCTTTTCGCGCGATTGAAGTAGTAAATTGGCCATATTTCGCAAAATAAGCAAATTGAAAGCTGCGCCTCTCAAATCTATAGAGACTAACCAATCTTCAATTGAACTTTCTTTAAGCTAAGTAAATTTATGGCCATTTGACCAAATATTATGCTTGTTTTGGCGACCCTTTATTCGAGCTGAGAGAGTAGTACGTGGCACTTCAAAAGAGCGGGCAGCAGCAGCAATAGAGGGAATTCTGCCATTTTTAATAGCTTCTACAGCAAGTAGAAGATGACCCTCTTGTTCAATCAATTTTTGTGTTTTCTGGGGTCTTTTTGGAGGCATTGTGGTGGTTTAAAGAATGTAAACAATGGTTGCTAAGGGAAAATTTGATGAGGTGACCGGCCGGCCGGGAATCACGTTAACTAATTAGTTAGTTAACTAATCTGCCACATGTATTGAACAACGCCATACGTAGGTGGATACAGCTCACGCGAGCTTATCGATAAGCTCGCGTGAACCGTTCTGGGTATAACTGGAGTTCGTCAAGGCTGATTAATAAGCCGAATGATTCGCATGACCTTTAAATATCTTACAGTAATCTGCTTTCCTGAAAATTTTCAACTTTCTTTCTTATTTCTACTCTACGATTTCTTGCACCTGCTCAACTACTTGCTAAGCAGTTAGACAGTACTTCCTACCCACCATATTAGGGGCGAGCGAGGTGTGACGAACTGACCAAGAACCACTATATAGAGCGATGCGCGTACCAAGTCGTTGACTTGGTATTCTGGTCTTTTTAGTAGCTCAGTCGGTAACCGTCCCACAGGCCTACTAAACGGTCTTGGTGGGTAGAAGCGCACCTACCCACTGCCAAGCCCGTGACATGAGGTAGGATAATTACGATGGAAAGATCGTGAAAGAGGTCGTGCGAATTGAAAAGAAAAATTTTACTGGTGCGAACCTTATAACCCGCTTAATAATCACTTTCGATTCGCATGACCCACGGAAGTGGGTGTGTACACAGCTCGCGCGAGCTGACCCCACCTTTTAAGCGAACAACTCACGCTAGATTCAGCTTATTAAGCAGAACAACTCACATAAGGTTATGAATTTACACTGTATTTGAATTTCATATTAGTATAATCAGTTGGCAAGTGGTTATCAAGTGGTTGACTCACATTGTTGGCAATCTGCGCCATGGTGGGCGCCAAATTCAACTGCTTATGAACTGGTTATCTAGTGGTTTGATTTCTGGAACAAAAAGAAGAAAAAAAGAAATGGAGTGGGGTAGCGAAGCGGGATAGTAAGAAAGGTAAGGTTCTGAAAGAGATCGCGCGAGTTGAAAGTTAAAGTTTCTGGTGTTGGGGTCACGTGATCCACTAGTGACTTTTTCAACTCAACGGAGGTCAGGAAACGCCCTTACCGAGCTGCAACCTGACTTCCAAGAGGTCAGGTCACCTGTATTCATCATGTGTGGCTTACGAAGGCTGAGGTATTGCTACGTTCCATACAGGTATTTGATTACTCCACTTACAGGCTAAGCCCAATATGGATTAGGTTACGGGAGTGGCGTTGGGAAAGAGTCGAAGAGTTGCAACCCTGCAAGGCGCTGTATTACCGGCAGGGATTACAGGCCTCCTTGAGGCGAGCTCTGGTCCGTACAGACGGTTCCGTCGCCATTAGTAGTAACCCTCTCGTCACCTCGCGAATTCTGTGCTTTTTTTCTCTTTTTTTCCGACGTGGCTGGTCTTGGACTTGGCTGGGCATGAACCACCACGATCTCGATCATCTGTCGTTCGTCGTTCGATCGGGGGTGATGGTCTAGTCTAGTCTCTTATCTAGAACATGGAATAAGGACGAACTGCGACAGATACAGTATCTAGGAAACCAAAGATAATTCATTGGAAATTCGTATACTAATCCTGATGATTACTTGCGTAGAGGCAGTAATCCTATGTAGACCATTCTGAAATAGACGACTATCACCTTGTATGCATCCACCCATTCATTCATAAATTCCCACCACTCCATCGATAGATCATCCCCTCTCCAGCTTCCAGGTTCACCGTTTTTTGTTGGGTTAATTTGGGGGGTTTGACGATTCCTAATAGAATCATGTTTTATACTGCCATATGCGTCCCGGCAGTTGGACCGCTGTAGATGAAACATATTAGTCCTCTGTTCACGCGATAAGTCAGGCGGTCATAGGTCGAGTCAGCGTAGTTGCAAAGTGTCACTGTTTGTTGTAAAAGATTCAAGAGATTCAAGTAGCGCGCAGGTCGTAGTCGGAGAGTCCCTGTTCATGGCTCCATTGAGCTGCGCTAAGTGATAAGAATCCCGTCGAGTAAAGACGACGGACTAGTTGGGTGATCGGTAGTGGTGGTGGAAGTTTCCTCAAAGGATCGATCGGACGGATCGCTTGGGTCAATAAATTCGCTGCTATTGTCGACGTGCTCAACGGGCGGTACCCATTGCATTACCTTCAGGCTGAGAGTGTGTGCATGGCGGCCGAACTTGCACGGTTTAGTCCCCCGACAGCCGTCCTTTTGGCATAAATGGCCAAGATAACATTTGATGGATCGGCAGCGCCCGCTCCGGGGGCATACATGCTGCCTTAGGATGTGCCGCATGACGTGGAGGCAATCGTCGTCCGCCGGACCATGGTCGAACTCACAGGCGGGGTTGTCACAGTCCCCACTGAGCTGGTGTCTATTGCACAGCTTATGCTGTTTGATGCGCCGGTTATAGGAGTCCCAGGCGTCTGTGGAAGGAGAGGGACAGTAGCTATCAAGGCGCTCGTCGTCGATGTTCAATGCGATGTGATCTTTGTATTTGCCCCACGTACCCGGGAGGTTTTTGTAATAGTATGCGTCGTCTCGGAGTTTGCTGGGAGACTGCATCGGGGATGGAACGTAGTGTTTTGATTGAGACAGTTGCTGGCTGGGCATTATATGGACCTTCATACATTCGTTGCCGTATCGGCAGATACCCTGCGTATGGTTAACAGTGGATCAATATCACAGAGGTCAAAGAGTCCTACCTTTTGAAAGTGCTTGCAGATCGGTCTGGAGGGCGCGGTTGGCACATTCTTTGGACCAGTGTGATTGCTAAACACGGGGCCAACGCCGACATGACTATTACCATTACCATTCCCGATATGGGTTCCCCCTGGGGTAGAATTCATGAAGACGGCCGGCAGCTCCCTGACAGGAATGTCAAGCTTGGCATACTCCGGGTGGAACGAGGCGGCTTTGATCAAGGTAATACGATCGGACTTGCCGCGATAGGGCGTCAACATAGACAGATATCCTGCGTCGTGACAACCCGCAAAGAAGATATGTTTACATTGATTATTATCAGCAAACAGCCGGAACATTTCTGCTCATGTCAGTAATGGAAATAACAGTGATGGTTGTGAAGCTGCTACCTCTGATTTTATAGTCGGCACCCTCTTTCTTATCCCCCGCATCAACGTAATCAAAAAGGTCCTGCGACCGGGTAAAACTGGCTGCAAATGGTGACAGAGACCGGGCCTCATATCCCAGTAGGCCGTTACGAGCCAACGACTTCGACAAACCCAGGACGTTGGAATAGATACGGACCATAATACGACACTGATCGGCCTGAGCTCCGAGTCGGTCCTGTACCTGTTCTTTGATGGAATCACTCAAGAGCCTGGCGGCGGTGATACCACCGTCACTGCCGGCCTTGACGAGATGTTCCTTAAACTGCACTCGTTAGTGACCATGTGCTAAATGAAGACAAAGGGACGCTTACCAAACAGCCATCGCCATCAACCAGTACCAGAACAAAAGGGTTTCTTTCCTAGATTCTAGTCAGCCCCTATTCCAACCCCATCCAGCTCATGCCATCATACCTGTCCTCTTGCCAGCTTCTTGTACTTCTCGCGAGACTCCTTCTCCTCCTCATAGTCACTCTTCAGCCGATTATAATCGTCAAGCAGGAGATGGAAGCGCTGGAGGAGATTCTGCAGGTTGTCATGATGCTGTTCGTTCTGGCGCGCTACGGAGGCCAGACTGGCATCCAGGGCCTGGATATCGGTTTCGGCAAGCATTATCACCGGATGTTATACTCGTCTGACGGGGTGTGAGGTATCTCGGCTGAACGAACTGCTGGTGATAATGATAATCGCGGCCACACTTGGTAGGCAACCATGCAGATCAGCAGGACCTAGGCCGGCGGTACGGGGAGTCCTGGGACTGATACTGGGGGTCATATACGGACGAGAGAGGGGTGGTCCGTTGCTTTGCACCGTAGAACGAATGTCAAGAAGTTCAACCAAGCTGGCTAGGAAGTTTGTCAACCGAAGCCCGAACAGGCAAAAGAGAAACAATTCCAGGTTGCGTTGTGGCGGTCGCTTAGGGGGAAATGCTCGTCGTTGGATGTATCCGGTAGGCGGTGAGACGTGCCAGTTGTCAGGCGGGCGGAGATCCCCCGTTCCCGCACGGGTTGCCCCATTCGGAATTCCCCGTCAACGAGGGCAGGTAGTGCATGCCTGCCTGAAAGGTTGTTTCCCATTCACAGTCGAGTCATTCCATTTGATCTCGAAGGAGTATTCACCCAGATTGTACTCCTGTCCAAAGTATGCTCGCATGGATACCTGATGAACATATATCTCCTTGGGCAAGCTGAAGCATATGTAGTCTGGCAATAGAGGGGAATGTTTAATTTACTGCAGCTGATAGATCATATAATATACCATTTTGTATTTGTCTCTCTTACTTTGAATATGGAATGCTCAGTCATTCATATTTAACTAGAGTCGATGCCAGCCGAAGGGTCTATCTCGATGTGTTGCAAAACAAAACAAACAGATTTAGCTGTCGACTGGGATACCTAAAAATAGATTCCGATTTTGAGCAAGTACGTACCTACAAACTAAAATGTCTGAAATGTAGACACACCAAGCTCGATCTACTGAGGGGTCCTATGATTACGTAGTATGCAAATGTATTTGGCGCCTTGCTTTGCTTCTATCTACCTTGCTACGATTATCTTGAACTAAGAAGCGATAGAATCGTTGAGCGTCGTATATGAATGGAATAAGGGATTCTGTCACCGTCAGCGATAAGAAGTAAATGAATGCCAATGGCTCTGTGAACGAAATATATATTCAGTGGCCCACTTTTTCATTTAGAATCCCAAAATAATTCACCAATTGAGAGCCATTAGCGCCGGAGGGTTGCCAAGCTGAGGATCTCATTAGATTGTTTGTAGACATCAGTGTCAGAAAGGGAACCCTGGAGATCTTATTGACTATCGAGGTCAAGCTACAGTTTGTGAAGCATCGATGACCCCCACGGTGAAGAAAGATAAGATAGTGGCAGATGTTCGGCGGCCTGAATATCCAGGCAATAACGAAGGGGTGGTGCATAACTTATGCAAAGCTTATGCACAGAATAATGACATCATTGCCGAATTAGCTTTGGTTGAAGACTCCATAGGACCATACTCCGTAATGAACAGATATCCACATCTCGCTCATTACTTTCCGTGGCCCTTTTCCAATTAGTCAGGTCTGTCGTACGACCGCATCTGGAACGAACACAAATTGTGGCAACCCTGGTACACATCCGGTCCGGACAAACTACAACAACAACCACCGCAACAATGGCCGACAAGATCATCATCCACCATCTTCGAGTCTCTCAATCCGAGCGAGTCATCTGGCTGTGCGAGGAACTGAACATCCCCTATGAACTGAAGTCATACAATCGCCAACCCCCGTTCATGCTGGCGCCCCAGGAGTACCGCGAACTCCATCCCGCCGGCACCGCCCCTATCATTGAAGACGGACCGATGGTTCTGGCAGAGTCCAACGCCATATTCGAATACCTCCTCGCCAAGTACGGAAAGGGCCGTCTGGTGCTGCAGCCGGACCACCCGAACTACGCCGACTATCTGTTCTGGCTGCACCATTCCAACGGCGGCATGATGCCATCCTTCATGGGCGTCATGATGAAGCGACTTTCCGGACAGCCGGACGACGGCTCGCGGCCTAATGTCAGTCAGGAGCGATTCGATCGCAGCATGGCCGCCTTGGAGCAGCAGTTGAGCAAGTTCCCATATGTCGGGGGCGACCAGTTCACCGCGGCTGATATCTTGGTGTTCTTTCCCTTGACCACGGGAAGAATGTTCGCTGGGATGAGTCTGGACCCGTACCCGAATGTCGTCTCCTATCTGCAGCGAGTGGGTAACAGGGAAGCTTATCGTCGGGCGATGGAGAAGGGAGATCCCGGACTGGAGCCTCTTCTAGCGGCGAATCCTCCTCGGCGAAGTGTCCTATAGAACTTGATTGTAATCGTCAGAAATCCGAGATCTTTGAACTTTCATCCAAGAACAGTTGACACACTCACAGACCCCGCAATATAGATAGATCATTTTAAAAGTGCCAAGAGGTAAAGCGAGGCGCGCACAACAGATGAACTGTGGAAATTAATATCGGTTGCCCCTTTTCCAGGGTGGTTTGTGATACATCGCAGCTCCGTAGCCCTTATGTAAGCTGGACGCGACGCGTTTATCGAACAGTGAAAAAAAATAAAATAAATAAAATAAAATTGACAACCTGAGGGTCTTGACCTCTTGAAAGTCAATCAGAAAAACGATCAGAAAATTTCTTCTCTAAATGGGTAACGCGGCTTCATTCGTCAAACAAAGTTGCTATGTACTCGACCCGGATGGGGAGGTGACTGTATTACTGCGGAACTCAAACGCGTCATTTGCGGTTTCACAGTTTGAAGAATCGGACGAATTGGCCCCAGAAACTCGGACGAAAATTAGAGTAATCATAGACAAAGTAACACTGGCGAGGCCGATGGGAACAATATAAATGATGAGGGCGACGAGGACATCCACGGCAACAACCACAGCCAGAACGACGACGACAAAGAAAACAAAGAGGTGCGCTTTCGAGTTTCCGCAAAGCATCTGACAGTCACTTCTCCCGTGTTCAGGAGATTACTGAAAGGCCCACGGAAGGAAAGCAGCGCTCTCCAGGAGAATGGGTCGGTCGAGGTCCCGATCGATGGTTGGGACACAGAAGCGTTCTTGGTTTTGATGAACATCTTCCATTGTCGACACTCTGACCTGCCGAGCTCTCCAGGCATTGAGCTAATGGCAAAGAATGGTGTTTTGACCGACTACTATGACTGTCTTCCAGCCGTACAAATTTTCGCAGATGGGTTTGCGCACGGAATTCTTGTACCATCGGACGGCACCATCCGTGACCTGACGCTTCGACTTTGGATCGCCTGGGTCTTTCAGCAAGAAAAAAAAAAAAAAAAAATTATGAGGCGATTTATATGAAGGCTATTTGGTGGTGTGCAGAGCCTATGGATTCACATGGCCTCCCATTTCCTAGTCATGTAATCGGTAATTCTCCCTGATAATGCTGTGAAATCCCCTGCTCATTAGGATAATAGACGAAATGAATCGAAGAAGAGAGGATGCTATCCAGAAGATCGTGGGTCCATTGAATGCAATGGTTCACCACTTGGCCTGTGGACCCTCGAGAAGCAGAGTTTTGTCGAACCCAGATTGCCTTGAGTGTGGCTCATTCAAGTTAGGTGCTCTGATAAGACAAATGCACGCTTGCTCGTTAGTCTTGCCAACACCAAAGGCCCCATTTATGAACATATGCTAAGGCGATATTTGGGAGCTTATGGAAGAAATCAAAAGCAACTTGGTGAGGAACTGCAACAAGAGACGGTGCAATCCATCCGATATCAAAACAGCAGTCGAGCGCATAATTTACCCTTCAGAGCCGAAGGGATTCGGCCAACGTGGCCAGGAATCTCGGGATGTATCAAGTACAGAAAATCAGCCGCGAGGTTCAAAACGTCGCCGTCAGGGACGTCAGAGCCGTCAGAGCCGTCAGCAACGCCGGGAACGTCAGCGTCAGGTATCTGAGGAATCGGATTGAGGAGTATTGTCTTGATTGATATTCACTTGGGTGCCTGGTATACCAATAATCTAATAGAAGGCTTGATCCAGGCGAGGAAGACAATGGTTACGGGGAACTTTAGTCGGAGGACTGCGGAGGCCTGGGTCGGGCTACTACCAGTGGCGCGCACACTCTATAAGAAACGCCCCCATAGAACGGGGTAGAAGGAGTGTAAAGCACCCACAAGAAGACGCGTAGACTCACGGCAGGCGCGTGGCAAGGGGCTGATTTGATTGTGTATGTTTTGTATTACGTTTTGGTCTGTCTACTGCCTTGTGGGATTATAGCGGACGGACACGATATTCTGCTTCAATCGGCGAAGCACCTACATAGCTTAGCGTTTCAATAGATATATCGGCTTCATCGGGTTACTAAAGTTTTGATTGATTGATTGCTTGATTGACAGGTAAACTAACAATGACATGAGCTCTAAGAACAACGACACAGCGAGATGACAGGACTAATCCTCAACTTCCCATATAGCATCCAGTTGTGCCTGCAAGTGCCTCTTGAACAGGGTAATGAATATTGGAAACGAAGCGCAGTCATAACAATAAGACCCTGAGCGCTGGCCCTCTCTATAACCGTCGATTGAATTTACCAGTCTTTGAAATCCCAGCCCATTATAAGGCAAAGTTGGCCATGGGGACACGGATTCTCTGATCATGAGTTTGATCAAAGCACCTAGTTTGAAGGATGTACATTCGAAGCAGGTTACTGGATAACAGCCGTCATTATCAAAACGACTCATATGATCGACCTTCGATTGCAATTCCAGTATAATGTGACCGATCAGTTTCTCTCTTTTCTTATTCAGGTCACCTATCATTGAACCTGGGAATGGTAGACCGAGTGTTGGTATAAGACCTGTGCTCTGCTTTATGGCTATATGACGGAGTTCCTTGCAGTCGAGACGTGGGCGAAGTAGGGTATAGAGTAGTAACCAAAGCATCAGATTCCGGTCATATGTTCTTGGCGGAATCATCCCCTTCATCCAAATGTCCGCGAATATGCGGATCGTAGCTATGCATTGATAGTAAGCTGCCACGACTACGATCTTAGCAAGAAGCTCCAAACTTATCATTTTTGGTAAATAGTCAAAACGACAATGGATGATACGGAAAAAGATTAGAAGAGCTTCAGGATCCCAGCCATCCACTATGATCTCAACGGAGCCTTTTTCCTGAAGAGTAGAGCCTTCATGCCACTTTGGTGAAAGAGCCTTGGCGAAAACAGAAGATGCAAGTGTGAGATGTTTGGCGGAAACCTGGTACTTGATATCTTTGTTTTCAGGATCTTTCTCTTGCTCATTTGTAGAATTATACTCATGCTCTGACAGCTCATCTGGAATATATTCCTCCTCATTGGTATTATATTCCCCCGGCCAGACAGCAAATGGCGCGTTGGCATTCTGAAGAACTATAGTCACTTCCCCATCAGGATCGATCGTATGCGAAAACTGATCGCATTCACCTGCCCCAAAATTCATTCTTGGACTTTCTCCGGGGCGGATCAATGACCTCAGTCCCCAAAAGAGAAATTTGGTAATTGGCTCGCTTGTACCTATTGCCACGTTGTACAGACTGTTGAGTCAGTTGCCAGTCGGCATAGAAATTTGCAGTTACGATATAGAGATGGGCTTCCTAGGTAAATGCAAAAAGATTGTATAATAGGAACAGGACCAAAATTGTTGAGTTGTATTGGTCCACTGAGTTGATGATGACAGCTCAACTGAGTTTGGGGAAGAAGGCTTTATCTATACATACTGAAAGGTCCAGTTTCATGGGATATTCCGTTTCGCGTACCGGAATTCTCTAACAGTAGCGAACTGCTTTGCCGGACTGTTCCGACATACAGAATTTCCAAAATCGGTACCACGAGAAGTCGTATATTCAGGATGAATTAGCAACCCCTGGTTCTTCTCATCATAGGCTCCTTTCGGTCAACCTTTTAATATAACAATCAAGAGCCAACAAATCTACATAAGCGCCCTCACGAAGACTTCTTCTGCTTCGACACTTCCCTCTTCACCCCACCCATCTCATTAAACACCAGCTCATCTCTCTCCCACATGAGCTCCACAGCCGCACCCACCGGGCCCGTAAACACACTCAAAAGCACCGTCTTCACCACCAATCCAAACCATCCGACACGGCCATAAACTGCGAGATGGGAAGCCTTGTACAGACTGATCGCCCAGGCCAGCACCCCCGCGGAGCCAATCAAATAATCCCATCGCAGGAATGCATGGACACCCTGTCCCAGCGTTTCGACCTGTAGGAGCGGCGATCCCCACGGCAGCGGGATATCATACACGTTGAGTGGATGGAGTGATTCCTTATAGCTGTCATCGATGACGGCTGGAGCTACCACGGTAGCAAGCGTCACAATCCAAGAGATCAAATGCGTGATGGCGGTATTCGCAAACGCGAACGCATACACACGTCGAAAGGCGCGCAATGTCGCCCGTCCCCCGTCAGTTGACCGGTCGTTGGCGATGAACGGAGTGAAAACGAAATGCACGAGCGTTGAGAGGATCGCTATGTATGCGGGCCAGGGTTGCCAGATGGCGATGAAGATTTGTTTGAGATCTGCCGTGATGGTCTCTGACAGTGGAAGGATCATGAGCGTCGAGGGCACCGTGTATCCGATTATGAAGACAAATGGGAGCGCGTTCAGCACGGCGCGAGGAACCCGAATGGTCTCCACGGTGGGTTTGCGCGCCGTAGTCGAAGTCAGGAGCTGAACGAGGCAATACAGTGGTGTTGCGAAAGCAAATGTAAGGACTTGGGCTGTGAGGCCGAAGATTGTGGGGCTGGCATGTCAGGTTAGCATTGCTGGAGCTCTCGGCTTTAACTTTGTTCGCCCCATACTGCCAGGGATCATGAATTGGCACTTACAAGGCAGCGAAAGTCCACGAGTTCCCTCTTCTCCATGACTCCAACGTCACCAACACCCAAGCCGAGCCAAATGTCCCGGAAAATCCGATGGAGTGTAGCGTGAGACCCGGGTGACTTCCATCGGCCATGGGCCAGAAAAAAGTAGTCAAGACCGTAAGGAGTCGATCGAGACCCTCGAATCCAGTATAGACTGTCCTCAATGTCTCATCAGTGCCTGGCAGCTTCTTAGCTGCAATCGCATCAAGAGACAATTTATGCGCGCCATTGATTTCGGCAAAATAAAAGATGGTATAGAACACGGAAATGCTTAGGAGCAGAAGAATTATTTTGGCCGCCATATTGGGTCTCTGCTATTACCGGGTAGAATTCAAAATCTGGGGCCCCGGGTTCATCTGGTTTATTTATTTTTCAAGGTGGCTGAACATAACTTTGTTGATCCATGGGTATCCGAGAGATGGACAGGTCAACTACCCCATCCGGAAAGGGTTGCGAGAAAGAATGCGGAGTCGACGATCAGGGGATGCCGAGGGATGGACTCCGTAGTTATAATCAATGGTATTCACATGGATTAGTTTTGTATAGTAATCAATACTACGGAGTACTTTGCTAAATTTGATCTAACTTGTTAACTGTGTCCATGTCCATGAGATTTGAGATACTAGGGCTTGGCAGTCACATGGAGTTGATCGGTGATCCCCAAGGATTCATCGCCTCAACCGATCGCTCAACCGATCGATATAATTGCTTTTCCTTGTTGTGATGGTCACGTCATTTCGCTGCATTTCACCGTGATCTTGAAGCCATGCAAATTCCATAAATCTCGACTTTTTTCACATAGATACTTTGAATATCAAGACTTTCATTGAATCGATCGAAGGATCATAGAAATTGGCCGATTAGTAACTCCTTGCCAAGCCCCCGAACTGCCACGGATTCCTAAGGCAGCGATTTGGGTAATCTTTTCAAGCAGTGAGAAACTCCAGACAAAGGAATACGGCTTTCAAATAGAAATGGACCAGGAGAACAAGTATTGCACTGCTTTGCTTGTCCATTTCTATGAAGACAAGGCAACATGTCGAAGAACGGATGCCTTCCAAGTATTAACCCATCTTCAGACATAGGTCAATATCCAAACTATATAGGCATTGTGTACACAAATAGCAATAGTTCACTACATCTCGACTGAATGGCCGTTCCTTACAAGTGCAATGAGGCATACCATTCGCGTATCGAGCGCTGCTATCGATGCCACTGCTACAGGTACAATTCGCCTCGGGCCGACTACAAACCAAAGTCGGCCAGACCGTGTCCACGGCCTAGAACCGACATACTTGGAGATGATAAGAGAACACGAATGTGACTGTGGCACTGGGCATGACTATGGGGATGCACGGTTGGCAAACTCTAACGGAGCTATGGATCATTTGCGGAAGGAAATTCAGCTCGGCATGTAACTTCCTGCAGAGAGTGAGGCAAGCCTTGTCCCGATTTGCATGTCGACACACGTTATACCATCCATTTCGAAAAACAAAAATGTCAAGCTATTCAAAGCACGGAATTCGACCAGAAAAGACAAAACGGTACCAGAGGAAGAAAAACACTTCGTCAAACCTCCCAGAAAATCAAAAATTGTGTGTTTTCGGGTCGGTTTGACTGCTCTGAAAAAACGGCTTTCTTCGAATCACTGGCCGACTTAAAATGTAAGTAGTTCATTCCATTCTCTCCTCTTGTCTAAAAAAAAAAAGCAATACTAAGTAGCCAGATCTGGTGCCCATATTCACAGTCACAAAGGCCAACATGCCAACTGCTTAGTTCCTCCAATCTTCAACAGAATCAAATGACTGTGTACGTGCAAGGCTCTTTTTCGGAACAGATGCGATTAGTGGTTCTTGCCGCGCCGACATCAGTCTATAAATACCATGCGTTGTTCATTCCTTGTTAAGAGCGAGGGGATCTAATAACATCTACCCACCCTCCCATTTCACCACTCCTTAACATCATTCCCTCGTTACTATCGGGTTCATCTCTTAGCTATAACTATCCATACAAAGCTGCACTTTCGCGTACATTTGAATGGCCTGATAGAGGCAAATGCGATCTTTGAGTACGTTCCCAGTACACTGCTTAGTAGCACAAGACAAGTTTGTGCCCGGCAGGGAGGGGATATTTATCATATCCTATCCCGACACCATATGCAATACAGTCGAGAATTCCACCAATGAAGCAGACACCGGAATAAATGTTAAATACAGGCCGACTTTGACCCTATCGGTCGTTTTCGTCACAAAGCACCCCACATTTGCTAAATGGTACAGTTGAAAAACAGTAGCCCCTTCTCAAACGGACAATGCGCGTTAAAACCGCTTATTGCTCGGTATGTTATGCTATATCTATATCGATTGTTTCCTAGCTAACAGTTCTAGGTTTAAGTTCAATCTTTGCAGGTATCGCCTGGATAAATCACTTCTACAAATCACAGGTTTCTTGTTTCCCCAGTCATTCGCTTGTTGATCCCATCCGAAGAACAAGCGAGTGAATTCAAGCATAGCAACACAGGCATTGAAGACGTCTGCCTAGCTTAGAGAAGCTCACTTAGATAAATACACGCTCGAGTCGGACTTGGTTGTTTTCATCTCTCACAACCTCTCTATCCCCCCTCATTCGAAATCAGAAATGGCGCCCACAAAATCCCACAACCCTAAAGGACTGGCTAAATCAATCCGTGCACCCAAAAATGCCGGTATAAAGAAACAGTAACATGTAAGAGGATTGTCCCGAATATCAAATATAGATTTTGCCTTTGCAGCCCTCACTCGTTTGTTGTTACTTCCAAGTGCCACAAGAAGGAGGAGAAGAAGGATAAATCCATCATAAAAGTAGCTATAAGAATTGAGAGGGTGAGGCTTCCAATATCTTTGGTTATTACATTTACTAACAAGATCATGATGACGGACGGCGGAAGGAGGAGGATCTCCTCAAGAAGGAGAGCAACTTGGTCCCCCGAAGCCAGAATCTATGATCGCAATACCGAGTGTACTTGTTTCGGGGGCTTCTTGCTTTGTTATTGGTAGTATGAGTGCCATAATATCTTTATTAAAGACATTTTACGGATGCTAATACCTTCGATTTAGTTACGGTAGATACGGGGGCACTAAAGAGAAAGAGACGGACGAAGAGTTACAGAATATTATTCGACAGTCTGCTTTAACTTTTGCTCAGATCTTGACTTCTCAGCGAAGCAAGACGTACGGTGGTAAGTATTCAGGGCCATAGACATATCAATTGAGATATTATACTTGTCCTCTAGGATAGTGACACTATCGGAGATTCCAAAATGCCTCAGCCATGGTGGATTTTATCCGTAAGGAATCGGATGTCCATTCTGCCTTTGGCCGTTCCACTGTTTACAGCAGAGGCATAGAGAATATAAAGCTCTCACCTAGCATATATAGATAGTCTCATGAATGAATTGACAAACAAGCATTTCTAACCCCGAACCTCCAAGTATTAGCTCTTCAATATACACAAGTCCACCTATTTTGCCTAAACACCACCCAATTTACCCGGATAGCTTCAACATGCATAGCACCTACGTCCCAGCCTAGCTGAATCTGTCTAGCTCATCCTGCGCCGCCAACAGAATCCCCAATTCTCCAATTCATGAACTGGTCCAAACCTCAACCTCATATCCAACCCTCTCGACAGGCGGACACTCAAGATGTCCTCCGTCCCGGAACCCAATTCCATCTCACCCCTCACTCTCTCCAACCGAATACAAATCGCAACAACATACATCTTCCGCGTCCCATGGACCGTAATCACGACTCTCCTCCGCCGCTGGAATCCCTTCTCCACGTACAAGCCACCCCCGCTCAGAGAGCATCTCTTCCGACATGTTATGACCTGGTAAATAAACACCCTTCTATCTCCCATCCACACTCCAGCCCTAACAATCAACATAGTCTAGGAAACAACCTCCCCATAACCACAACCAACTCGTCCATCGACACAAAGGGGACCTCAATCCTAACCTCCCCGCGCTACTCCCACCTCCAATCCAACATCTACCAAAAAGTCCAAACCCCTACATTCTCCGGCTACTTCATCTGCCGAGGTCTTTCTCCATCTCCGATCGCCCCGCAAGAAGCAGACATCTTCCTTCTCCACTGTCACGGAGGCGGTTATGTCGCCGGGCATCCAGCATGGGGCGCCGTCGCGCATCTGTATGTAGCGGAACAACTGCAGAAGAAAGGTCTATCCGTGGCGGTGTTTAGTTTGGATTATACGCTTGCACCGAAGGGGAGGTGGCCTACGCAGTTGAGGGAGGTGGAGGCTGCATTTGATTGGGTGGTAGGCGAGCTGGGTGTTCAGAGGGAGAGGGTTGTGGTTATTGGGGACTCCGCGGGGGGTCATTTGGTGTTGGGATTATTGGTGAGGTTGTATTTGAGAAAGGTTGAGGGTATAGCGGATGAGGATGGAGAAGGACAAAGGGAGGACGATAGACCCGGCGCAGCGGTGCTATTGAGTTCGTGGGTGAATCTGCACTCGTCGCATCCTCGGGTGCTCGCGCTGCATTGGGAAGAGAGGTTGTTTAAGGTAGGCCTGGATAAGTACTGTGAGATGGTGATGGGGGATGCATCGCGGGAGGTGGATGAGCTGTATGGGAATTTTGCGGTGGGTGGGGAGAAGCGCGGATCTTGGAAGGAGATTCTACCGAGGAAGACGTGGGTGTCGGCTGGGGAGGAGGAGTTGGTGTTTCGGTATGATATTGAGGATTTGGTGGAGAGGGCGAAAGAGGATGGGGCGGATTTGCAGCTGGAGGTGACGGAGGGGAAGAATCATGCGTGGCAGAGCGCGGAGGCGTCTGGGCAGCAGAGTCGATTTTTGGCGCTGTCGATGGATGAAGATGAGGGGGATTTAATGCAGGGGTATAAGCGCGTTGCGGAGGAGATATTCAAGATGATGGTTTGGATTGAGTAAACTGCATGCGCTGTGTATACTCTTAAGGATATTCCGGCGGTTAGGACTGTCAAGCCGTTGATCTCTATATGGGACATGCCAGTTACAGCTTCGGCTTATAATCTTTGAACGCCTCATACACAGCCTTCACATACTGCACCGTGTTCTCATTTCCCAGCGTCCCATACCCCATCTTGTTCATCGCATAAGTGATCGTCATCTTGCGGTCAAGGTCCATAATCCCGATAGACCCTCCGAAGCCTCCCCAATAACAGACTCGTCCGTCCGGGATCCATTTCAGCGACCGTTCCGCATCTTGCGGGGGCAGGCCATATCCCATGCCAAGCCGAATATAATATCCCAACACCAGATCCTTCCCGCTCATCTGTTCCTGGAAGATCAAATCGATCGTCTCTGGCGACACAAATCTCTTCCCATCCACCTCGCCGTGCAACGACACGATGGACAAAATGCGATTGACGGCCCTCGCGTTCGCAAACCCTGTCATCGCCCCGATCCCCAGACGTCGGAATTCTGGCGTATTGCAAGCCTCGGGGGCCAATTTACTGCCGCGGAAGGCACGGGGCTGGATTTCATCGCCGTCAAAGGAGACCGGCAGTGGCGGCGGAAGCTCCATCTGGCCGATACGGGGCCAGTGCTCCTCCGACACGGGGAGATGGAAATCCGCGTCGCGAGGCCCGGCAAGTTCGGCGTGGATGAACTCACCCAGCGTCTTGCCGGTGACGCGACGCACCAGCTCACCGATTAGATAGCCCTGACTGGTCATATGGTAGCCCGAGGCGGTGCCGGGCTCCCACCAGGGCTGTTGCTGGACGAGCTTCTCCAGTGCAAACGGTACATCATAGAACTCGTGCGACTCGAGAGGCGGGTCCCATGAGGGCAGACCGGCCGTGTGGCTGAGGAAGTGTCGCACTTGGATCTTCTCCTTGTCCGGGGTCGCGAAGTCCGGCCAATATTTGGCGACCGGCGCGTAGGGGTCCAGGATGCCGCGGTCCACGAGGATCAGGACCGCGAGGCTCATCACCGTCTTGGTGATGGACCAGACGGGCACAATGGTGTCTTCTTTCCAGGGCTCGGTGCGGGCTCGATCGGCGTATCCGCCCCAGATGTCGATCACGGTACGGCCCTCGATGTTGACGCAGATGGAGGCGCCGATCTCATCGTGCGAGTTGACTTGTTTTTCTAGCAGGTCGCGCACGGCGGCGAAGGTGGGATCGCAGGTTCCCTGGACAGAAGTCATGATGGCTATGGCTGAGGTGGAAGTTGTGAGATTCTGTCTTCTGAATGCCCAGCCGAAGGGCCGAGGTAATCTAGCTTTAGCGCCGACGTGACCTTACTCATAATGAGACACTGTTGATCACGAGGAATTAGTTAACTAGTCAGTAGTAGGTTACTTAGTCACTTGGGCAAAGTGGACAGATATGCCAAGCATCCTGATGGATTTAGTTTGCAAAGAGCTTTTGGCAGGCAGCAGCTCGCAGTCCATCTCCCGCTCGCGAGGCCCGAGTGAATCTCCCCAAGGCTGTTTGTATTTAATGACGTCATACATCTCGGTCGGAGTGTCGATGCCGAACAAATTTAGAGAGGTTCCTTTGATTATGCGAAGACTATGCTCGCCTCTCCAGGGATAATCCAATGACCGGGGATTATATAGTCCCCCCGGCCGGCACAGGTGGTGATGTAACCATGGAACAGAGTTCCATGATGCCATCACTCTCCCCTTCCGGCGATTCCAGGCCATCAATAAAACCACTGCCCGTTCCTGTCCGCCAGGCCTCGCTCGACACAGGACACAGCTTTTGTTGTTCCAAGACAAAATGGCCTCCCCTGGCAGTTCTAGCAGCACATTATCTACCCAGCAGGAGCGACCGCGAAGGGACAGCAATTATGCAGCCATTCGGTCTCCCACGCTCAGTCGGCGGCCGACGAATGTCGAACTCTCGCGGATAGAATCGCTGCGAACGACGCATCAATCGACGGTCGGATCGACGACAGGCCCGGAGCCGCGCGAGAAATGGCTCTCCTTTGGCGGAGGGAAGGACTATCCTCCCCTTCTACCTGATCCGGAGGACTATGTGGTGGAGTTCAGCGAGCAGAACGATCCGATGCATCCGCATAACTGGCCCTTGCGGACCAAGTATGACATGACCTAACATAGCCCAAATGTTCCATCGATTTAGATAGTAGATGTTTACTGACAACACACCAGGATCATTCTCTCCAGCATCCTCGCCTACGTCACCTTCGTCGCGTCCTTTTCCAGTGCCATCTTCTCCTCCACGGTCGGAGCCACCAGCGCTCAGTTCGGCGTGAGCACGGAGGTCACGACGCTCGGCGTGACGCTCTACGTGCTCGGGTTCGCGACCGGACCGACGTTCTGGGCGCCTGCCTCGGAGCTCTACGGTCGACGATGGCCCATCACCGCCGGGATCATTGGCTACAGCATCTTCACGATCGGGACGGCCACGGCCAAAGACGTGCAGACTATCATGCTGACGCGGTTCTTTGGCGGCGCATTCGCCGCCGCGCCCCTGGCCATTGTGCCCGCCGCGTTCGCAGACATGTACAACAACCGCACGCGCGGCGTCGCGATCGCCATGTTCGCCATGGCCGTGTTCGTGGGCCCGTTCGCGTCCCCGTTCACGGGTGGGTTCATCACCATGAGCTATCTCGGTTGGCGCTGGACCATGTACATCTCCGCCATCATGGGTTTCCTGGGCGTGGTGCTGCTGTTGCTGTTCTTCCGAGAAACGTACCCGCCTGTGCTGTTGCAGGAGAAAGCGTCGATTCTGCGCCGGCAGACCCGGAATTGGGGCATACATGCGAAACAGGACGAGGTGGAGATTGATTTCAAGGAGCTGATGAGAGTGAACTTTAGTCGACCGTTTCGGATGCTGTTCACGGAGCCGATCGTTTTTCTGGTCACCGTGTATATGTATGATGACTGGCCCTTTCTTCCCCCGTTCAGAGGTTGACGGCGAACAGGTCCTTTATTTACGGTCTCATGTACGCGCTCCTGGCAGCTTATCCGGTCGTGTTCCAAGGCATCCACGGCATGAACCTCGGCGTCGGCAGCTTGCCCTTCATTGGGCTCATGACCGGCGAGTTCCTCGGCGGCGCTTTCACGCTGCTCGGTCAGAGATCGTATAATAAGAAACTGGCCAGCAATAACGACATGCCGGTGTCAGAATGGCGTCTGCCGCCAGCTATCGTGGGCGGGATTGCCTTTACCATGGGGCTGTTTTGGTGGGTTTGCTCAGCTCCTTCGTGTCTCCTAGAGATCATGAAAGTGTTAACCAGAAACCACAGGTTCGGCTGGACCGGCTTCACGGGCAGCATTCACTGGATGGCGCCTACCGCGTCGGGCGTGCTGACCGGATTCGGTATCTACGTGATCTTCCTGCAATGTTTCAATTATCTGATTGATTCGTATCTGCAATTGTAAGTCATATATCGGGCCGTATCTCCTCGACGCACCTCCACACCGACTGAGAAACCGCTAACGATAGGACAGCGCCGCGTCGGTGTTCGCCGCCAACACGATCCTCCGATCGGCCGTCGGGGCGTGTTTCCCGCTCTTCTCGCGGCAGATGTTCCAGAACCTAGGGGTGCAGTGGGCAGGCACGCTGCTGGGGTGTTTGGCGGCGATTATGATTCCCATCCCGCTGGGGTTTATGGTGTGGGGGCCCGCGTTACGGCGGAAGAGCAAGTTTGCCCCGTCGGCGGCGGTGTTTGAGGAGAAGTCGGGGTAGGGAGGATGTACTGTGTACACCGTATGCAAGGGAGGGTGGGGGAACAGTGGACAGTGAACAGGTGATTGTGCATAGTATTCTATAGGGTATCTTCAATCAGCGATGAATCAAGGGATCGCGGCCCTCGTGTGACGAACAAGAAATGAAAGGACGGCCATCCCGGCGCGTGCCAAGTCCAGCCCTAACTGCAAACGAGGGTAGCGTTGCACCTGGCACAGCCTATCGGTCTTACGGTCTCACCTTCAGAGATAAACGATAATATATCTAGAGATAAGCCCATGTCCGAGCACACCGTCAGCACACAGGAATGGCAGCTCCGAATCGGCGACATCCGCCTGTTAGCATGAATCATCCACTCTAGTAATGGGTCGCCACCATTAGCGCCACCGTGACGGGTGCTCGGCTCTCGACTCTCGACCCACGGAGCTGATCGGCAAACGGAAGACTCTTCTTTCCGTCATGGAATTGGAAGCGATGGCACTGGTTGGCGCAGGGTCTTCTGCCAAGCTGACCGTGTCCAGAGGGGCCACTGATAAGGAAGAACAAAATGGAAATTTTCCCTTCGGTCGCGTGGGCGGAAAAAATCCAATAAATAATAATATTAAAGAGCTCGGCTTGGGCGTTTTTGTCTTTCTTCTTTTTTTTTTTTTCTTTTTTTTCTCTTCTCTTTGGGTCTTCTTTCTTGTTTCCCTTTCCCTGTTGTAGGGCTTGATTGCCTCTCCTCCAAGTTTCCCCCCATTGTGGTTTCTTTACCCATAGTTTGTCCGACACTACCGATCTGCCTTATCATGGGCTTCTCGAACTGGGTGCACGACACCAATTACGCGGTGGCAAGGTCCCCCGTGGGACGATGGTTTCGTCTGGAGAACTCGGGCCATGTAAGGGAGCTGCGATGCTTCACGTACCGTTTATCGAATTGCAAACCCCTCTGAGGAACCAATTTCTTCGGAGGGGCACACTGACTTGAACCGTCCGTTGGAAACAGCCCCAGGAGCGTAAAGGCAGCTTCTTCTTCACCGAGATTCGCGCCGGCCTGGCCACCTTCTTCGCCATGGCCTACATCATCAGCGTCAACGCCACCATCACCTCCGATACGGGCGGTACCTGCGTCTGTCCCCCCGAGAGTCAGGCCGACAACTGCAACACGAACACCGAGTACCTGCTCTGCGTGCAAGAAGTGAACCGCGACATCGTCACCGCTACCGCCGCCATCGCCGCCCTAGCCACTTTTTTTATGGGGTTCCTGGCCAATCTGCCCGTGGCCCTGGCGCCCGGTATGGGTCTGAACGCCTACTTCGCCTACACCGTCGTGGGGCATCACGGCTCCGGCATGATCCCATACAGCATCGCCCTCACCGCCGTCTTCGTCGAGGGGTTCGTCTTCCTGGCCCTCACCTTGCTGGGTATTCGACAGTGGCTGGCCCGCGCGCTGCCGGCGTCCATTAAATTGGCCACCGGCACGGGCATCGGTCTGTATCTCACCCTGATCGGACTGAGTTACAGCGCGGGTATCGGGTTGATCACCGGCGCCACGGACTCGCCGCTGGAACTGGCGGGCTGCTCGCAGAGTCAGCTGAACGACGCGGGCATGTGCCCGGCCAGCGACAAGATGCGCAGCCCGACCATGTGGATCGGTATCTTCTGCGGCGGTGTCTTGACGGCCCTCCTGATGATGTACCGCGTCAAGGGCGCCGTCATCATGGGTATTCTGCTTGTGTCTATCATCTCCTGGCCCCGTCCCACCGCCGTCACCTACTTCCCGCACACGGACATCGGCGACAGCAAGTTCGACTTCTTCAAGAAGGTGGTCACCTTCCACCCCATCAAGCATACGCTCGTCGCTCAGGATTGGAACATCGCGGAGCACGGATCGCAGTTTGGGTTGGCGTTTATCACGTTTTTGGTGGGTTTCCTGCACCTTCGGGGTTATGCTATGCCGAGACTAACCGCGTCGTCTAGTATGTCGATATTCTGGATACTACTGGTACGCTGTACTCGATGGCTCGCTTTGCCGGTGCCATTGACGAGCGCACGCAAGATTTCGAGGGCAGTGCCATGGCTTACGTATGTCCTTTCGCTTTCTTTTGATATCGATATCTCCATACTAATCCTGTCAGATGGTCGATGCGATCTGCGTCTCGATCGGCTCCCTCTTCGGCATTTCCCCCGTCACTGCCTTCGTGGAGAGCGGCGCCGGTATCTCCGAAGGTGGACGCACAGGACTCACCTCCTGCGTGACCGGCATCTGCTTCTTCATCGCCGTCTTCTTCGCGCCCATCTTCGCATCCATCCCTCCTTGGGCGACGGGCTGCACGCTCGTCCTCGTCGGAGCGCTGATGTGCAAGGCCGCGGCGGAGATCAACTGGCGGTACTACGGCGACGCGATCCCCGCATTCCTGACGATCGCGATCATGCCATTCACCTACAGTATCGCGTATGGGCTCATCGCGGGTATTCTGAGCTACATGACACTCAACGTCATCACGTGGTTGATCGAGAAGGGCACGTTCGGGCGCGTCGTGCCGCCCAACAAGGACGAGAAGGACCCCTGGACGTGGAAGGTTCCCGGCGGGTTCTTCCCGCCGTGGTTGCGACGGGCGGCGCGCGGGAAGAAGGACTTCTGGCGTCCGGAGGAGGACGAGGATATCGATGTGGGCGTCGGTCCGGATGGGTCGGTGTCGTCGCAGGATCGATACGCCGAGAAGACGGATGGGAGGAAAGGTCTTCCTGCGTGAGGTCCATGTTTGGTAGACATATAGTCACAGACTGGATCATGTAGTGATGGTTTGATAGAGAGGGGGATTGTAGATATCCTAGATAGCTTATTAGGTAGTACTCAGTACTCGAGTAGACTGTAGAATGATATACATAATATACATTGATCTATTGATATATATCTCTATGTACGTACTCCGTGTGACGCTCGTGGTCAGGGGTTAGGCTGGTCAGGTGACTTGGTCATTTCTCACACCTGGGAAGCCCCACCACTGGCTTCATCTTCTTTCCTTCTCCTCTTGATGTTTGTTATTCTCGTCGAACAGCTACCTAGATAGTTGAGGAATGGAATATCTTCTCTACTTGATTGAGCACCCATCACGCTCCGTAGGGCTTCGATGGTCACGGGCTGGAAGTCAGTTCCGCCTAACCAATCAGACGCGTGCCAGACCCGCAGACGGCGTTGTACCGTATGGTCACGACCTGCGCCTCAGCTTTCAGAGTGGCAGGCGGTGAGGCTTACTGTGACACAGAGTTTGTGGTAACTTTGGTAATTACCTGTACTACTGATACTGCCGCATGCGGGGAAGCGACTTGCATTTCCGGCAGCCAATGGGAGAAGATGACGAGTCATGCGGAATGGAGATTTCCTTTCTTGCCTGAGGTTCTTCCCTCTTCGCCCTTTCCAGGTTCTCGCCTCTCTCTCTGTCTCTGGCGATCTCTTACTTCCTTCTCTCCTCCTCTCCCTCCTCTCCTCTCCGCTCCTCTCGTCCTTGTCTCGTCCCTGCTTGTACACGCCCAGCATGGCTTGACTTCCACTCGTTCTTTCCCCCCCTCCTCCTCCCCCTCCTTCCCTCTCGCCTCTTCTTCCCCTCATCGGCCATCGATTCCTCGCCATGTCCGACTCCAAACGTCGCTTGGCCCCGGCTCCGACCGGTGCAAACGCCGGCCCCGATGCTCAACAGCGCAGGAAGAATGTCGGCACCGCGTGTCTGGCCTGTAAAGCGCGCAAACTGAAGGTACCTCTCCGTCTGTCCCTCACCGTGCAATTTCCCCTCCCTCTGTCTCGCCGTCCTTATCGCCACCGATATCCACATCTCAAGCCACCCAGCTCATTAGACCCTCAAGTGGGGTCCGGTCATCCAACCCATCCCAACATGACTTCTCGTTCCCAAGCACTCGATCGAAGCCCTCAATTTCATTTCGCATGTCGCTAACAATCTGCCCTTGATTCTGCCCAGTGCACCGGCAACTCGCCCTGCGCCAACTGCGTCAAACACGGCCTCGAATGCACCCTCAACCAAGCCGCCGACAAACGCCGTCGCGGCCACATGAAGCGCAAGATCGACCTCCTCGAAGATAAAGAAGACCTCCTGATCGGCCTGGTCGGCATCCTGCGCGAGAGCGGCAACCGACGCACCATTCCCCTCCTAAACCTGATCCGCAGCAACGCCTCCCTGACCGAGCTGCGCCATTACATCGACCACGAACTACCGCGGGCCGATCTGGCGCGGACACCTGAATTGGTGGAGGTCTGCAATGAGGTACAACGGTTGCAGCAGAACGAGGCCCGGTCCGTTCGTCGCATCCTCGATGCGAAGCGCCTGTCGGATATTCCGCGCTTTCGCGTCCCGGCTGGTCCGTGGACCACTGTCACCGAGGACGATGACTTCGTGTCGCATCTCGTCTCCTTGTGGTTTACGTGGTGTCATCCGTTCTGTAACTGGGTTGATCGCTCGAGGTTCTTGCGCGATATGAAGGCGGGGTCTAAGGCGGGGGCGGCGTATTGTTCGCCGTTTTTGGTCAATATCATTCTGGCGGATGCGTGTGTATGATTTCCCCTAGTGCTTTCCTCTGATGCTTGTTTGGTTGTGAGTGGATACGGAATGTGGGATCTGGATGCTGATGTTCGTGGTCTAGGCGTATTCGGATTATCCCGAGGCGTGTGCGAAAGCGGAGGATCCGACGACGAGAGGGTCGCATTTCTACGACGAGGCGAAACGGTTGCTGGAGAAGGAGGAAGGCAGGATTTCTCTTCCGACGGTACAGGGACTGGGAGTGCTGTGGACTTGGTCAGTTGCTTGACTTCTATGCTGGATGAGTGGTGATGCTTACCTGCAACAGTGCCGCCATGACCGGTCGGGACCGCCAAGGTTGGATCTATCGCAGCCAACTCGCATATTCCGTACAAGAGCTCTCTCACACTTACTCGGTTTTGGCGCCGAAAACCGACGAGGATACTCTGCGCATGGTCCGAGTGATCAGCAACACTCACTGGGGCCTGTTCAATATCGCCACGTAGGGAGACCCCGTTCCCACCAGTCGGGAACCATCAACCCGCCTGGCTTTTTCTCATTTTGTTCTTTCTGCTATATCCATGAGAAAGGGAACAACTGACCAAAGGCCCAGGGTGCACGCTTTGTTCGAGAAGAAGATGCCGCCCATCAAGCCGCCGCAACGAGTGTCCTTGCCGCCGGTCAGTCACGATTCCGACCAGGATGACTGGCAGCCGTACCCAACCTTCGCCGAGGGGATTCGGTCGCACACGGACTGTCTGTTCAACGCCCTCTGCCAGTTAAACCTGATCACGTACGACCTATGCGCCCTTCTCTTCCGCGGCGACCCGGATTGGTCCCCTGTCGAGTGCGACCGTCATATCGAGGACGCGCATACCCGGTTACGCCAGTGGTCCGATCGACTGCCGGACTGTCTAAAGGGGAATCAGATTGAAGCTCCGCATATTTTGTCTTTACAGTTCGTGTCCTGTCTGGTTCTCTCTCATTCGATAGCTCCACTAACATGACAAACAGCATGTATTACCACGCCATTATAATGACTCTTTACGGCCTCTCAAATACCCTCCCATCATCATCCCCAAATTCGCACACTCACCCTCATTCTCAGTACCATAACCACCTCCACCTGGAGGATTCCTACAACCACCCCCGCCTCTCCTCCGCCCGCGCCATCTCCCAACTTCTCCGCATCCACCGCACCTCGTGGGGCGTCGACCGCATGCCCGTCCACAACATCCACTTCATCGCGGCCGCCCTCTTCGCGCTGCTCGACCACCTCTCCGACCCGGCGAACCGCGACGCCTTCGTGAACATCAGCGTCACGGCGAAGGCGTTCTCCCGACGCTGGAAATCCAGTAAGGCGATACTGAGGTCGTTGCGTGCCACGGCCCGCGAAAGAGCGACTGAGTTACCGACCGAGACGGAACCGTTGTTTGCGGTGTTGGAAATTCAGGGTCAGGGCCAGGCTTCTTTGCAGGGGCAGGGACTCGGCGTGTTGTACGGAAACGGCCAAGCTTCTCGGTCGGCTAATTCAAAGGGGAGAGAGGAAACGGTTGTGTCGACGGAGGGGGGCAGTAGTGATCTTTCTTGATTGCTTTGCAGTGTTTGGGATTCTTCCCTGCTTGCTGAACTCCTCTCGTCGGCTTGGTTTCCGGTACAGACAGAGTATATCCTACTGCTGCCCGGGTCTTCCCGAGATATCCATAAATTATTGGGTATTCAGGTGACATAACCATCTGCAACCGGAGGCTGCCCGCAACAGAACGGTCCAAGCAGACTAAATCTGCCGGCTCTCCCCTCCAAGGAAAACTTATCTTCCATTGAGAATGCGACTACTCGCTCCTTTGCCACCGACTGCATACAACTCGCTAGACGGCACAACTAAACACACATACATATATCCACACACACACACACACACACACACACACACACACAGCATAGCACAGCATCTAGACGACCTAAGATGACCTAGATGACCTAGACGACCTAGACGCCCGATCAGACTATTTGCATTTCGGAGTTGGCGTTCGTATGCTTGACTTTCTTTTTTTATGGGGAAGAAGAGCATACCGTATACGGAAAATCGTCCTTTTGTTGTTTGTTTATTCTCTATACCACTAGAGACTTTCCGGGCTTTTAGGGCGTGTATACATTTAATAATGATTTTATCTTATATATTAATGAATTGGTTGAGCATCTTTTAATCATATTTCAAGAACCCATGTTGGGTTAATACATAGTGACTTGAAAGAATTTACTAAGCTGCAATTTAAGGGATTCTCTATGCATGTCTTTATTCATATCATCCTGTCTACTACCTACTACCTACTTCATGTTAAGTTAATGATTTAAGTAAGAAAAAACATCTACCACGCCACTTATCCAGACAAAAATCCCCATCCATTCATCCTATCTATCTCTTTCCCTATCCGCACCACTCCAACCCCAAAAAAAGAAAAACAAAAAGCAACAGCCCAACGCGGGGCTCGAACCCGCAGCCTTGTGATTAAGAGTCACACGCTCTACCGATTGAGCTAGCCAGGCGCTGTTGTTGAAGACTGTTTTAAAATAATGTTCCATAGACAGCAACTTATCGTGAATGACCTCATTTTCAAGGTTTTGGCGAACTTGGCTACGTTACATATTTCGTTCTGCAAGAATATCTATTCACCAGTAATGTGGGTTCTTATTGTTCTTTTTACTCTGCTATGTGAAAAATCTCCTGAATGGAAATCTAACTTATAAGTAATGACTATTGGTAGTTTATAAATAAGAATGATAGAGAATATAGAATATGGTATCGCGAATTTATATATCCCTAGTTATTGTGACGACCTGAGACGTCCTGAGTGTAGAGCGTTGCCTTACTCAGGTTATTTGAATGGTTTGCACCATTTCATTCGTTTGTCCCACGCAGTGGGTTTGTTTACTGCTTCATGCAGTAAATCGCTGTTTTCTTCGTTTTCTTTCCTCAACCTAGTGTTTCGTAACTAGCCTACAATAAAGATCATTTCCTCATTCCTGAGGTTATCACAGTTATACTAACACCAAACCAATAGCACTCACAGACACCCAAAACAAGCCATTCCAGCCTCACCAGACCTAGTATCTTCACAATATCTGTGACTAGTGATGTACAGCATTCATAGTGTATATATAAATTATCGATCCAGGTCCCAGGAACAAAATGAATTCGTCTCACTGATATAACACTGTCAACTAGGAAGTAGTGGATGGATCCTACTAGCAGTCAGCAGTCAACTTTCATTTACCTCGCTGCGAAAAGCTCCAGTTTGCGTTATTCTGTATACTCAGGAGGATCGATTTATTCGGCTTCGAGTTTGCGAAAGTCGTGGTTTCTGTTAAGCTTAGAGATGTCAGGTTTGATTGACTATCATAGAGCTGGAGTCGTAGCTTGAAGGAATATTGAGCGTACGCTACGTAAAGTAGTCACATACCTAATACGTATGCTCGGTCAGAACAGCCCTAGGGACATTAACCAGGTCTTGCTTGATTTCACTGTTGCTTGCTCGTGGGAGGTTTGGATCTGCTAATTGGACCACCCTTCCACTGCTTGCAATTAATTGGTGTAAAGGGGATAACTAAGCTACTTATGCGAAGCATTTGGGATATTTGGATGCATGTGATTTGGATCCTAAGATGCGAGTGGGATCTGTGGGAGAGAGTGTGCGGGAGGCTTATGCTGGAGGGAAAGGATTTGCGGTTCAGGTTGGCGATGACTCGTTCTGGACGAGGCTTTTTGTATAAGGAGAGCGTGAGACAGAGTAAGTGTTTGCTAATATTAAGTAGGTAGTAACCATTCTGTTTCTTTTCCTCTATGAATGTGAACACTGCAGAACACTGGAATGTTCGGGGGGTTGTCAATGTACATTATTTCCATTTCTTACCATCATTGCCGGTAGGAGATCCCATCTTCCTGGCTTTAAAGTGGTCCAAGACTGACTGATCTTTGCTCTGACTGTTCTAAATATGTTTATTTTTTCAGTAAAGAAACTTCATTTCATCAAAGACGTAACAGTTCATACAGACATTTCCAAACAAAACTAGGAAATAACTCTTCCTAAATGCTAAACAACCCCCTTAGCCACTACCACCCCTCCCACCCTCCTCATCCGCTGTTCCTGATACTTCTCCCTCTGCACCCGCCAGTAATCCTTCAACTGCACCCGCCAATGCCACAATACCCAGATCATCACCGTCACCAGCGTCAACGGGATCGTCACCGCCCAGTACATCCAGAACGTGCTGGCTGTTTTCCAATCGCTGTCGTCTCCAGGCGCGAAGTCGAAGAAGTTGGTGCCGAAGAGGCCCTATTATTTTTATTAATCATGGTTAGTTTTGGGGTTGAGTTCGTGGACAAGGATTGGAGGTGGTGCTACGGCAACAGGGTAAGGGGGCTGGCCTACCGAAACAAACGTCCCAGGCAAATACACCAAACTGACGACTCCGACGGTTTTCATCATCGCGCTGTCGGATTGGGCGTCACGGCCGTAGCGCTGAGAGACGGTGTTAAAAGCCTGGGTTTGGTTTTATATTGAAATTAGTCTGAGTGCATGGTAGGATGATAAAATTAATTTGAAAAGGAGGATGATAAGAAACACGAACGAGGTTAATCTCATTATGCAACCTTTCCGACAGCGATAGGGACCGCGTTTTTAGCGAATGGAGCTGCTTGGATAGGCAGTACAGTCGCTGCTGTGTGTACAAGTACACACCTCTCCCTTTCTGCCGCGAGTCGGGAAATTCTTCGCGCCAGCGTGCCTGTTCTGAGATGATACTATGGATTGTGTTCTCAGCGACCTCGAGCGTCTCATTGGAGTGGAAGATGTGGCGGCCGGTGTCGTGGAGATGAGGGAAATTGATTGGTGGAGGGTTTTCTCCGTCTCGTGACTATTCATGAGTTTAGTTTATATTTATCTGTTAGGGTTGAGGAATCAGGTGGATGGATGGATGGATACTTCGGGGATAGGACAAGGGCGAGGGGGGATGAACCTTTTCTATACCTCGAACCAGATCTCGCAAAGACCAAATCGAATCATCGTATAGGGTAATGAGGGTGCTTGAGAACTCCATATGCCAACGGAACGGATTGATTCGGGCTTTGATCTGCGGCAGTTTGTGCTGCATCCGGAGTTGTTGTTGCTCGGGGAGGTTCAGCACGAGAACAGTTTGGCGCTTGTCGGCCATCGTCCAGTCGATTAGAATTGTGGTCTGGACCCATTCATATTCGTTTGGTTTGTGGACCTTTTTGACTTTGAAACACGTCCATGATACTATTCTCGTTAGAGGTCATGGTTGTCGGGATTAATGGGATACGGGAATAGGCATACCGTGGCGAATGATCTGGTCGTCGTCATCGTCGGAGGCAATGTAGTCACAGAAAAACGAACCGTTAAGGTCGTCGTTGATTATAGAGCTGAATCCATCGGGGAATGTGATCGGGATGTGCCTTTCGAGTCGTCTTTTTTCGAGTATTTTTTTCTCGAGTGGTTTAGAGGAGGTGAAACTGCAAGGATTAATATAATATCCTATCCTATGTGCAGTATGTTGTAGCAGGAATAGACGCACATTAACCGAGTAGAAGACTCGCGAACTGGCTTCTGCGCGTGTATGAGTGACTGTTCTCATTTATAAAGCGTTGGCCACTTACCGTCAACGCATCATACAAATCCGAATCGCCCCTCTGCCAAGGTTCGTTCTCTACCATCAATCAAATCAGTACATGACCAACTATACCCTAACGCAGGCGCACATGCATATAAACATACCGCACTGTTCGAATATTTTAGCTCGAGCGTGAATCGACACCATGCCGACTGTAACAAGGGTATCTCGCTTCCGGAAAAAGAAACCCCAGCGATCGCAAAGAGCCGAGCACGCCGGCTTTATATTCGTCGGGCAAGGGCCCTGCAACACGTGCATTAGTGATACACAACACAGCCGCTGTCCCTCGAGTCTGCCTATTAAACGTTAGATCTTTGGGACCGGACGCCCCAGTCCGTGCATCGCGGGGGGAAGGTCATTCGAGGGCCAAGGCAGCCTTGCCCGCTGTTAGTGTCCAATGGTGTTGGTGTGGTAGCCTAGTGAGCGCTAAGATTTGCCCCACGAGCCTGACGGGGTGGATGCTCGGATTGAATAGCTATTATTATCAATGCTCGTGCAAGGTTAACACAGGTGTTCAGGCGGTGATATCGAGAGAATGATTGGATATGGGATTCTGATGTCGTGCATTGTTTGACTTGGAATCAAGGTTTGCCTCGGATATATTCTGTTATTCTTTCTTTTCGAGTACTACTACCTAAGCGCCGTCGGTAGTAACACCCGGTTCGGGCCCGGGTAATGAGCTGTGTTGGACAGTACAACCGCACCTGCACCTCTCTCTATTGTTGCAAATGCATCCATCGGGCGTTTATGACTCACGAACAACCCGCTCCTTGCGAGGACAGCTCAGATGCATTAGTGGCGAAGTGCTGATGTCGGCTGTGATGTAGACCAATAGAAAGAAGCCAGCCCATCCTAGAGTAGGAATACGCGCCAGAGGCGATTCAAGGGATAACAACCAGAGTCGTATGCATGGGTCGAGCCTATCATCATCCAGTGTATCCCTGGAAATACTCATCGGGGAACTAATGCGTGGAAGAGCGGCTGGGATGGCCGCGGAGTTGCAGGCAGCAGAAATGGGCTCATTCGGACGAGACGGTTCCCAGGTGTTCTCCAGACCACATGGCAGTGGCTGTTTTTGTACGGCTCGGATTAATTGATCGAATAGGCGTGTTTGATAGGTGAATTACTGCGCGGAAGAGGAGAGATGTTGTGAGACATAAGTTACAGCCTCAGCATCGCCCGATTGAAGGTTCGAATGTGGCGTCATGATCTCATAGCAACTCCTTGCAGCCCTAGTATTGGGGATTACCGCAGATCGTGGCGACATGAGCGATGCCAGAATGGATGCAATAGGCCCATCAACTGTGTCGAGACAATCGGTCAGATGATAACTATCGGTCTGTCAATCCCGGATCTACTAAATGTCTATTGGATTGCCCAGTCCGATCTCTTCGTCACTTGGTCCGATATTCTGTGGAAGCCCATCGCGTGATGAAGAACTGGGTTCAGAAAGAGGCGTATCATGGCATATGTTGAAATAAGGACAGATTAGCATAAATAAACTTCGAATACCGTCAGTCATAGACTTCGGAGTTCCTGGTTTGCGGCACGAAGCTTGTTTCCAAGGAAACAGCAGGTTTTCTGGCTGAATGTAGTGGCCGCGTGTTCGAGAGATAAACGAATGGCGGTTGTCTTCCCTGGAAGATGATGTGTTGGAGATCCTGGGCTTCGATTAGTAGAAATTGAAATCCGATATCTATAAAGCGACCTCGTCCATCCCTTGATCTCCGTTCGCATCAAGCTCACCCAAAATGACGACCACCACGACCGACCCAGTCCAGACAAGCTCCCTCTGTCCCGTCTCAGGCGGCTCATTATACTATGAAACCATCGGACGAGGCCCAACCCTCGTCATGATGCCCGCGGGGCACGGCACCGGCGTAGTATTCGAGCCTCTAGCCGCCTGCCTCGCACGACACTTCCGCGTCGTGCTCTATGACCGTCGCTACTTCTTCCGCAGCTGCAAGTGCGATCCAGCAGACAAGTCTCCAAGCCAGACGATCATCCAAACACACGCCGAGGACGTGGCAGCGCTGATCGCGCACGTCTCGCCGGGCCGTCCGGTCTACTTATTCACGACGTCCAGTGGCGCGCCGATCGCGGCGGAACTGCTGTATTCGCGACCGCATCTGCTTCGGAAACTGGTATTGCACGAGGCGTCCTTTTTCGCGCTCCTCCCACCCCGCGTGCATGAGCAGTACCGCAAAGACAAATCGGACTTGTGGTCCCGGTCCCACCAGCTGGGAGAGGCGCGGTTTAACCTGTTGATCGCACAATGGGTGCATCGGAGCGAGGAGCTGGAGCGGTTGAAAGAGACGAAGACGTATCGCCGATTGGCTTCGTTATCGCGAGTTGCGCAGCTCAACTGGTTGACGAACGAGTTGCCCGAAGTGTTAGAGTATGAGTTTGAGATGGACAGGATGCGACCGTTCCGTGATCGTCTGGTGCTGATGCGAGGGTCGTATAATTCGCCGAATGCTGCGGTCGGGCCAGTGACGAGTTTGGCGGATGCGTTGGGGGTTCCTCTGGAGGTTGGGCCGGGCGGACATGAGGGATATGTGACGGACTATGAGGAATTTGCCGGGTTTTTGATCGCAGAGTTGAGGGAGGAGACGGCGAGGTTGTGATCTCTCACTCCACTCGCGGTAGAGGGCGATCGTAGCCGTAATTGGAGACCTCGGTGTACTCCGTTCTCCGGTGATAGACCGATCTGCTCCGTTCCAAGACAATCGATAATCTTGTCTTTTGCATCTCCACCTTTCTCCACCTTCCCATGGTTGTGCCGGATGCACTACATCATCAGTGTCGGTGGGAGTGTGTACACCCTGTTCTCTGCCGAGTGCAGATCAGATCGCAAGAGACCTGTTTACTCCGTACATCCGTGAATATCAGCAACACCCTCCCAATAAACCTCGCTGCCAGGGAATGCGGGGGAATTCACTAGGACCAGACCAGTCATCCCAGCCGAGGAAAGCTGTTTATCGGACGCCGAGGAAGATCTACGCTAGAGACAATCAATAAAAGCCACGACGATCGTCCAGACCCGCAAGGACCTGCCCAATCGCGTAAACTGGGAAGCGCAGGGACGGACCTAGTCGTACTTGACTTCTCCAGCGGAACTTGACAAGGGCCGATCGCGCAGGAAACATTTAAGTAGCGTCGGTTCGCCCGCAGATCCAGGGCCGGACTTTGTGCATCGTCGTTCAAAATGTTCGTTCCCTCGTTGTTGACACTGGCGTTCGGTGTTTTGGCTGTTCAGCCTGGCGCAGCCCATGTCTCGCATCCTCCGAGAGGTCAGGAGGGAACATGCAAGAAGACTACGGTCGCGATTCTGTATGTTGATTGTGCATGACTTGGAGTTGACATGGCGAACTGACCGAGTCCAGGGGAGGTGGAATGGCTGGCATCTCTGCTGCAGTAAGTCTCTTCATCGGCGATCAATGACCTGACTAACGAAGATAGGAAACCCTCTCGAAACACAATGTCGACGACTTTCTCATTCTGGAATATCGCGATCGGATCGGAGGCCGCGCATGGCATGAGAACTTCGGAAAGAACAAAGATGGCAAGCCTTATGTGGTAGAAATGGGCGCCAACTGGGTATGTTGATTACCAAGTCACAAACGACTTAGAGCGTGACTGACCAGGATTTAGGTGCAAGGATTGGGCAGCCTAGAGACCCATGAAAACCCTATCTGGACGCTGGCAAAAGAGTTCAATCTATCAACAACCTACTCCAACTACAGTAACGTCTCGACGTATAACGAACACGGCTTCAAGGATTATTCTCATCTGCAGGATGAATACGACGCAGCCTCTGAGATCGCGTCTCAGAGGGCCGGGACGATGCTCAAGGACAATCTGCAAGATCAATCGGCTAAAGCTGGACTGGCTCTCGCCGGATGGAGACCAAAATCCAATGATATGGAGGCGCAGGCCATTGACTGGTGGAGCTGGGGTACGTCAAAACATTCTTCTCAATGAGCGAGGAGATGAGCTGAGTAGTACAGATTTCGAGGGTGCCTACTCGCCACTGGAGAGCTCGCTGGTGTTCGGATTTGCCGGCGACAACCTGACCTCCAATGGCTTCAGCGATGAGGACAACTTCGTGACGGATCAGCGCGGATTCAATCACATTGTCAAAGGGATGTCGTCCCGGTTCCTGCGTCCGAACGACACCCGTCTGCATCTCAACACCCAGATCACAAACATCACTTACAGCAAAGACGGAGTGGTCATCTCGAACCGCGACGGCAGCTGTGTTGAAGCCGCTTACGCCATCTGTACCTTTTCGCTGGGGGTTCTGCAAAACGACGCCGTGGCTTTTCACCCTGAACTGCCCGAATGGAAGCAAACCGCCATTCAGATGTTCACCATGGGCACCTACACCAAGATCTTCATGCAGTTCAACGAGACCTTCTGGCCCACCGACACCCAGTACTTCCTATACGCAGACCCTCACACTCGCGGCTGGTACCCCATCTTCCAGTCTCTCTCCACACCAGGCTTCCACCCCGGCTCGAATATTATCTTCGTCACTGTAACCAGCGAGTTCGCCTACCGTGCCGAGCGCCAGTCTGATGAGCAGACCAAATCCGAGATCATGGACGTGCTGCGCAAGATGTTCCCTGAGAAGAACGTCCCCGAGCCCACAGCATTCATGTACCCGCGCTGGAGCACCGAGCCTTGGGCCTTCGGCAGTTACTCCAACTGGCCCGCCGGTACGACTCTGGAGATGCATCAGAACTTGCGCGCGAACGCCGACCGGCTGTGGTTTGCCGGGGAGGCGACCAGTCCGACGTACTTCGGTTTCTTGCACGGGGCTTGGTTCGAGGGACAGCACGCCGGACGGGAGATTTCCCGCCTGTTGAGGGGATGCAAGCGAAATGAATTGAAGTGTGGACCGAGAACGCATTATGATGAGCTTCATGGGACCACGCCCCTGGCCGATTATACCGTTGTGAATGGCTGGGATGGGAATAGTTTTGTGGATAACAACGAGGACTAGTCTGGCTCCGGTTAATAGGATCAGACAGCCTGGCTTCATTTTAGACTTCACGTCGATCAAATAAACTATGACGATGTCAATGACGAGATTTATAGATAGCTGGAGCATAAATAGGGGAAATGAGTTGGCATCTAGTCACAAATTCATCTCGAATGATCATGCTGGACAAGACAGATTTTCAGTGGCATTGAAGTTTGATTTCTTTTCTAATGACATCAATTATAAACACAGAACTTTTCAAAACTATCATCACATAAATCCAACATCTCATCTCCCATCCGCTTTCTCAACCACAACAGGCACCGAACTCGCACTTCCTTCCTCACGCACCACCCTCCTCAACGCCCTCCAAGCATACCTCAATACATAAACCCCCAAACCCACAAAATTCACCCACACCAACACCGCAAAATAAACCAACATCCTGGGCGGAATCCACATAAACACAACAGAGGGATCGAAATCTACCCCCGCCCGCGTCTTGAACTGATCAATCTCCGCCAACGCCGTCGTCCCTGCATCATCATCCTGCTGCCCACCCTGCGCGGAACCCATGTTATCCGTCGCGCGCAATCCCTCGGGATCGTTATATATGATTGTTGCGACGACGCCGCCGAACACGGTCATGAAGAACAGGAGCACGACTTTACATAGGAGTTCGTAGAACCAGGTGCAGGTGAGCGTGAAGAGGAGGAGGGCTTCTTTGCGGGAGCGGCGATGCGCGGAGGTTAGGATGTGTGCGATTGATTCGGTGTCATGAGTGCCAGTCCCGGAACCTGTTGTTGGGTGGGAGATCACGAGGAGTCGAGCGAGTAGGAATGTGAGGAGGCTGATGGAGGCGATGGAGGAGATGTAGGTGCTATTGGTGTTGAGGACGTTTAGGGCTGTGAACGCCAGTGCGGTGAGGGTCCATGTGGTGAGGAGGAGGATGGCGAATGCGCTGAATATGTTCTTGCTGAGGGTGGAGGGTGTGAGGGCCATGGTGAGGAATGGCGAGATGGTTAATGTGAGGGTGAGTGGGATGTGTAGATAGATTGAGGAGAAGTGTTAGGAAATCGTATCGTGGCTTGTGGAAGTTGTTTTCTCGGATTGGTATGGAAGGCTGACTGTGCTGGAAAGGCGAATTTGCTGGGTTTTTATTTCCTGTCAGTTTTGGCCCCCATTTGGTTCTGCTGGAGCATATCAGCCTAGCAGTGTTTAGTTGCCTGGTCGGTACCTGGACTTGGTACGCTAGTTGGTTAGCTACAAGACTTTGTTTAGTAGTTCGTCGGAGTTTTGGGTTTCGTTCGGTTCGCACCGGATAGGAGTGAGAAGAATTTTTTGCTGGTTTGATTGAGAACTGTTATGGGTTCTATACTCTGCTCAGACTTTTGAAGGACAGACGTACTATAAATTTCATGGCAAATTGCTTTGAATCATCGCCAAATTAGCGGGACTAAGAGACCACTTCTGATTTTTTCTAGATTCGCTAAGCTCCATCGGTACTGTACATTCTAGACCATTTTATTATTGTCTGGGCAAACCACTGTTAACGGCACTGAGCGCTAAACTTCAGGGTGGAGCCGTAAACGGGGCCTCCGATGGAAACTCACATCAATCGGGCTCCATGATGTGGATAACCGGACGAGCCGGGAATAAATATTTCGATCAGCGAGAGTCTTCTAGGAGAAGCTTTGTCGTCGCCGCCATTGATGCCCTCGTAGCCTGTGTTGCACGTTCTGCAGGATTCTCAAAACTCCTGGTTATTCTTTAGCGTCGTGAGAAGGTGATTGAAAACGAGAATCGCATTCTGTTCTTGCTTTTTCTATGGATGTCCAAATTCACTTGAATCTGGAATGCTCGCATGACAGTAAGCATGTGTTATACTGACAGCTTAAAGACTGAGGAGTAGGTAAACAATACCCTAAAGCAGCTATCTTAAGAATCGCCTCCCAATAGATTTACAGAGAAAGTGTCAAGAAGTTAAATGAAGGAGCAAAATATGTAGAATCAAACATATTCTCGACTGATTTCAAAGGTCCAATTACTCCTCAAGAATACACACTTTCAGACCCTCCAAGCTTTAACCAAAATCCCCGGCGATTCCTCAACAGGAGCGCCCATGAGAAAATCACGACTAATATCAATATCTCTCTCTTTCACTACAGCAGACACATCAAACGCAAACTGACGAAAAACAGCCGCGAGAATCAAGATAAGTTGAGCCCGCGCAAGGTTCAGCCCGAGACAAATTCGCGACCCGCGACCGAACGTAAATAAGTATTTCTCTAAGCCCTTGCGGTTGTTGATTCATCGTTCGGGGCTGAACTCTTGTGGCTCGGCGAAGATCGCCTCGTCTCGCATGAGCCGGTACGGTGTCATGTCGATGATCGTGTTTGCGGGAATGCTGTATCCATGGTACTGTAGGGCCCGGTCGGGGAGTTGGATGGTGATTCGATGTGTGACGGGGCCGTAGAGCCGGAGTCCTTCATCAATGACGGCGGATAGGTATGGAAGGTGTTCTAGTGCAGTTAGAGATGGGGGATGAATCGGATCAGGGATCGCAGGGCAGAGTTCGTTGTGTAATTTCTGGCGAATGGACTCGTTCCTTGCTTAGCGTGCTAGTTAGTTCTTTCTGTCTGCTAAAGCGATGATGAATTCAGATCGGGACATTTTCTTTACGTGGTTCCTGAGCCAGCTGTCATAACGCTGAATGCTTCATCTCGTAGGCGTTATTTTTCTAGTTCGTTGGCCGGTAGTTTGCTGTTCAGGAGCTAATGGAATAAGGTTCGATGGTCGGTGTGCTCGTGTGCTGTGTCTTGACCGTTGCGAATGGCCTCTACTTGTCGGGATAGCTCCTATGTTTCCATTACCACAGCTTCCACGAGCAGAGATTGCTGCTAAGACTTTGGGAACATACCAACCGAAAGTCTAGGATGTCAGCCATAGCCGGTGCTAGTATCTTATTGATACGATCCTGACAACTTCTTAGCATTCCCTATCTTTGGGTAACAGAAGAATTGCAAATGCTTACAGGAAGCGAATAAGTGAAACGCATGAGCCACGGGATATGGATTTTCTATTACCAGACCAGTCAGTGCGTTGACCAGTCAAATGAATTACACCAATAACGTCTTACCAAAAGACTGAACTTCAGGAATCCATCCACATCGTCGAAACTCTTCTGCCCGAAGTCTGGTTGAAGGGTATAATATGGATCCCTGGCAAAGGCATAATCATTGATGATATCAAGCGTCACCGCCCCAAACATGTACTTCATGTTCAGTACATCACCGTTGCCACTGGCCTCACGTAGACGATTACATACAATGTCAATCGGCCGCCGCATCACCGGCACCAAGTCATTTACCAATTTTTTTTCGAAAAGAAAGGACTGACGGCACTGCGGCGGACTCGATGTACCTCGTGGGCCTGGGTGCCAATAATCTAGCTCTTGTTAGCTAGCTGCCCGTTTCCGATCTTGCGGTCTTTCCCTTACCGCTGGGTACGCGCCAAAAGCTCCCGCCACGTGTGGTGGTTTGTTCGTGCGCCCATTGGTCTGGTGGTAGACTTGATCGAAGTAATCGGGGTCGTGGATATGGATCTTGTTGGGGTTGATACGGATAATGGGCCCTGGTGGCATAAATTAGTTTGCCTGGTTGTGCACCTTTTTCGAATATGGATCGCGAACCGTATGTTCGATGAAGGTCTTCAAGGTGAAAGATGAACTGTCCTGGGAGAACGAGGTCGTATTACCATTCAAAGAGATATGTGATCTTAGCTAGAGGAGGGCCTGGAATGTGGGAAAGGGGATGGAAGTAGAGTCGATAAAGAGCGATGGAGAGAACCGAGAGGAGAGCCAGATATAGCCCATACGGGACGAGGGTAAGGGTGGCCTCTGGCATGATGAACCGAATTTGACACAAGATGAAGTTTGAATGTCCAGAGGACGGAATGGGTGGCAGGCGTAAACTCGAAGAGAAAGTCTCCGGGTAAGATTTATTAAAAATAGCGACAAAGAAAACGATGATCGTGGCTGGGCAAGGCCTATTACTTGTGGATCTGTTAACGTTATGCGGGGGTTCAGAGACTAACTGCTGAGCGGCATGGCGCCTTGGGGTCAGGCGCTAGTTAGCTAGACAGGGTCTAATTGAATGCCCCAGACGCAGGTCTACTGGCTCTAGTGATTCCACTCCAAAGATCAACAGAGCAAAGATGGATTTCTAAGGTCTATGAGTGCCTGATTTATCAGATATTTACCTATCACTTTTCATGTACAAAGCCCATACATTTACAGCATTTGGACCTTGAAACTGTGGGGGGCTAAAGTGCCTAGGCGATTGGATTTGTCGCAGAGTGAATGGGGTTAGAAGGTATCTCACATAATAATGAAGAATCCAGATGATAAAATGACAAAAGTCTAAATTTCGCTCATTCTGTATGCATATTAATAACTATTACACAACTTTCCAAACCATCTAAAAGTCCCACTGGTTCAGCCAATTTGCCATCTCAGCCCGATTAATCGATCCCAGCGACGCCATCGTCTTGCTCGCTTCCTTCGTCCTGGACACGCCAATCTCAGCGGAGAGCATCTCCTTGCCACCGGCCAGTCCGCGATAGAAGTCCAACAACTTCAGCGCAGGCTTTTGACGGACATTTTCATCCGACGGGTTCTTAATGTTCTCGAGCTCCTTGATCCAGTCGTTGATGGGCACTGGCTCGACCGGGTATTTATCCTGGATAGCCGGGATCATGGAAGCCCAGGGTGCCTTGTTCGGGTTGACGAGGTTGAAAAAGGCAGTTGGCATACTAGAGAGCTGGTTGCGTCGCGTCTGAAGAAGCTCAATGATGACGGTGGCCAGAGTATCCTGCGATTTTGTTAGCCTAATTTTGGGAATTGGGAAAAAGGAAGATGCTTACCACAGGGACCCAATCCATCTCATATCCTCCAAGACCATCGGGTACCTTGCCCAGTGACTTCGATGTCTTGACCAAAGTGGGGACCCATTCGTCCACATTCCAGGCGCCTTCCTTGGTAGTCGGACCGGCGATCTGTCCCACTCGGAAGATGCTCGTCGGCACGGCGGACTTACGCGACGCTTCAAGACAGATACGCTCTGACACATGTTTCGATTCGCCGTATCCCTGTTCTAGGGCTGCAGCTGGGTCTTCAACGGGCAGTTCTGGGACCTGTGGGCCCATGTCCTCTGTCCATCCTCCGATGGTACTGACCGATGAGACGAAAGAGACGTGGGCGTTGTATTTACTGTCAATGCTGAATTTGACAAACTCAAACAGTCCTTTGATGTGAGGGTTCTCGAATGATTCGAGGGGATGGTTAAAGTTGACCTTCCAGGCGTTGTGGATGATGACGTCTACCATCTCCAACAGCTCCTGGTATTTGGAAGATGGAAGACCGAACTTGGGCTCGCCAAAGGCCACCGTGAGGAATTCAACTCTGCTGGTGTTGTGTAAGGAAGCAGCAGAAAGCCCCTTGTCTTGGAAGCTTTTGATTTGACGGGACTGGGCGTCTGAGCGATTGAAACAGTAGACCTTGGCCACAGTCTCGTCATGCAAAAGCGAGTTCAAAAGGTATGTGCCGAGCGAGCCGGTCGATCCAGTTAGAATGACAGTCGACTTATCAGGAAGTGTGAAGTTATCACGTGTTACTGAAGGAAGCTCCTTGGTGTATTTGGACACCATGTTGTTGACTCTATCTGTCCGAGATGCAACAGACACGATATCTCCGCGCAGCACAGTGAGCAGGAACTGTGCCAGCTGGGAGATAGTAGAGTGAGCATAAATATGCTGGGGCGTGATCGGTTTCCGGTCGGCATCGAGAATTTGGAAGGAAGTAGCCTTGGTGAGGGTATTCGCGAGCTGAATCGTCTGCAGCGAGTCCAGTCCAGAGCTGTACAGATCGTCCTCGGGGGAAATGTCTTCACGGTCGATCAAAGAGCAAATGATGTGGCGAATGAAGGAGACCATGCTTTCCTCGTCAAGAGACTCGGGTAGCTTCACTTGCTCTTCTATGTCGGCAGCCGAATAGATCGCCTCGATCTCATCTTTGTAGTCCCGGTTCACGGCATTGCGTTGGGTCGTACCCTTGGGCGTCACCTTGAAGGGCTTGTCGCGAGACGACAGTCGGATCTTGTTCTTTGCAATGCGACCATAATTCGGGACAGTTTCGTTTGCGTGCTGGACAGTCGGCCACACGGTATCGATGAATTCTTTCTCGTCTATTTCTCCCTCTTCATCCCACTTCGGCTCGATAAGCAAGGAGGTCTGGAATCGTGATTGGCCGATGAGGAGAGCACGGTTGACGCGAGGGTGACTTCCAACGATCATCTCTAACGTCACCGGGTTGAGCTTTTCGCCGTTGCTAAGGACAATCACATCGTCACGGCGACCGTGGTATTTCCAGAGATTGGGCTTCGAAGGGTGTCGAACGAAGAGATCGTTGCTTCGGTACTCCTGCTTCTCGGGGAAGGTGTGGAAGATACCGTGGATAGCCCGAGAATCCCCCCGACGGGGAATGACCAGTTCGTACAACCCATCACCGACATCTTGCATATCCACTCCATAGTCCGGATTCCACTCGAAGTAGGTCCAGTCGTCCTGGCTCTCGGGGACAAACGAAATGATGAGTCCCATCTCAGTAGATCCGATAAGCGTGATTATCTTCGTATATTCTGAGATCTTGTCGCCGGTTTCTTTAGCCAGAGGAGCGCCGGCAAAGTAGACAGAGTCCAGCAAGCTGAGGCACTCTAGGGCTTCCTGTGACTGGCTCATATCTTCTAGAAGTGATGGAGCAAGTAAGGCTGCCGCTGGTCGCGTGACACGGATTGTGTCGATTATCAGCTCAACAGACAGCGGCTTGTCCGGAAGATTGACGAAGGGAATTTGGAAAAATATGGCCTGGATGTAAGGGAGTAGACCCATGAGGTGGAAAGCCGGGGTGGTCGCAAGGAACGGTTGGGACGAGGAGAATTTGTGCGGCGTTGTACACTCTCGGTCGGTACGGCTAGAGACATGTTTATTGAATTCAAACGTGGCACAGTATCCATGAGTCATGGGAATGGGCTTCGGCATGCCTAATGGAAGTTGCAATCAGTACACTGTAAACCGGTCTGGTTCATGAAAGCTTACCTGTAGTGCCAGAGCTATGAATGATCAATGCAACCTCGTCTTCGGCCTCGGCGTAGGATTTGGAAAAAGGATATGGCTGGGCTCCGACAGTCATAAGCACATCATCAACGCTAGGGACTTTCGTGTATTGTGTGCCTGGACGGAAGTCCCTGATCTCCGAAATCCTTCGTTCGTATTTTGTGGTGAAGAAGAATTTCTTGCATTCTGTGGCGTTCATAAGGTGTTCGTAGGCTTCATTAGACAGTCGAGTAGAGGGGAGCAGCAACTAAGGATTCCCGAATGTTAGCATTTGAAATGAAAGACGATGGAACGAGACATCTATCTACCTTGTATCCGGTCTTGTGGGAAGCCAGAATAAAAATCAAATACCGAATATCATTGCTTCCCATGTACGCAACAGTTTCTTTGTCAGTACCCCGTCCGATCTGCTTCTCGATCCACCACGACATCGCGTTTACAGAATCCGCGAGGTCCTTTGCGGTAACATCTTGAAAGCCGTCCTTGACGTCCAGGCCCCTAGGGACTATTCCGAGACGCTGTGTCGGGTATGACGAGGCAAGGTCGTCGACAATGTTGACAGGCAAGCGTCGTCCTGCTTCTTGAGGCATGTCGAGTCTTGAATTATTGGTATGAAAAATTAAAGTAGATAAGACAAATTAAGGTGTGTTTGTATGAGGGCTGGATTCGTAGACTGATGGACTGATGAACTGAATTGGCTGATTGAAATTCTACCAGAGTGCAGGCAGAGCCGGATATTTATATTCTTGAATCAGAGGACAGATACTCAGAAGCGCTGAGTGTCCGGCGAACTTGTTTCTAGAAACCCGCGTTATTTGCCATGGAGGAGACATTAGGGAATTATGCACGTCGATCAATCTGTCAAGTGCATAAGATGTGGACCTAACACATTCCGAGTAAACACCGCCGAATTCAGGCCAGCCCTGATGTCAAAGCCGTTTACCAGCAAGCCCAAAACAAGCCAGAGTAACGCAAGCTGCAGCATGACGATTTTTCAGTATCTTGCCGTCCGCCAACCGCGCCAAAATAGTGCTTAAACAAGCAAATGTGATCCTCGGATCCAGTATTCGGCAGGATCCTTGGCCATGGGAATATCCGACGACCCAAATGGGCGCAAAGCTTGGCTGGACTTCCTGGACGAAGCATTCAGCCGTAATACAGGCTAAGCTTTGCATACGGATGAGATGTGCCGTTGTTAGTGTCCGAATCCCCAGCGATCCACTTTCTGACGTCAAATCCGCCAGTCTGTGCTTTGTCCGAACCAGGTAACATGTGCCTATCGGCCCCATTTGTCTGCCTGCAGGTCGGATCTCGGCATACCAATGGGGTATGTCTTGCAAGGCGAGTCCCAGCGTTGTGTCTCCTTGCAGGCGCCTGGGCCAATGATCTATTATCAGTGGAATGCCGCGGAGCGTATTACTCTTCTGGGTTTAAACAACGTGTAACTTGAAGAGAATGTGCATAGTGTAGTCATTCGATCGTAATCGCACAGGTCCGTCATGGACAGGGATGAGTGTCCAGGGCATTTGCAAGATCGGAGTCGAGATGTACCTGTACCTGTACCTTTCGGGCCGCCTGGATGGTCGGGTCCTCGGAATCGCGCCATGGAATGCAGTGAACCTTCTCGATATGCCAAATATCCATGACAGCTTCGGTTCTGTCCAGCCGTTGACTGATTGACCTGTCGATCTATTGTGATCGGTTTCCTTGCAAAAATCAATATAGGAGATCAGAGACGGCACCGAAAGGGAGCACTCGTTCCGAGAGCACCCACTTCGGTGTTTTATCGGTCGCAGCCAATACATCTCGTCTCTGTGTCTCACTTTGATGCTCAAGACCTGGAAGAATAGATTCCCTGTTTCCGCTGCATGATTCGTGCGATGGCATTTCTGTGAGCGCACCGGCACTTTTGTTCCGGGGTTTCACGGACTAGTGATTCCTCTCAGAATGAACAACGATCTGATTATTCAGGGCTGTTGGGACCATCAATTCTGAGTGTATCCTGATGAACATTCTGATAGATCATCCTCTAGTGTTCCTAGACAGGGAAGGAGTCCAGAAGTATGGGAGATGCCACTTTTCTGACCAAACCAGGCTAGCCGAGATGAGACTGGCGCCTGCCCGTCCCGCTCGTGGTCCGTTGCCCCGTTGCCTTGCTGCCTTGTTCCACGGCCCAACTGTATAGGGGCCGCCTCGAAATACGAGCTGTGACAACTGCAGGATCGCAGCTTCTCGCAGCTTCTCGCTCAGTACTACTACCCCTATCTCATGGATTGTAAAATCCGCTCTACCATCGGTCTAATGAACAGACACATTGTATGAGCGTCTTGAAAAAGGCCAAGCACTCAAGAACAAGGCCCACATGAGGCAAAAAGAGTAATTTACTAACATCTCCGAAATATGTACAGTTTAGGTACTCATCATCTAATCCTAATTAACCCTTCACCACGTCCTCGAATACCTTGAATTCCACCAATCGCACCTTCTTCTCGTCCTGTGGCTGGAAGACCAACCGGATCTGATTCGTGGTCACTTCATCCCACGAAGCCAGAGTAATTCCGTTGGCCAAGGGGTCGCTATACTTGGCGTTCGAGACGTCCTTCCACGAACCAGAGTCATTGGTCTGGATGCGGTAGCTCTCCGGCGCATCGAAGCTCTGCGTGCTGTTGGCAAAGAACGCGATCTCGGAGCTGGCGGTCTTCGTGGCGCTGCCAAATTCAATCTGGTACCATACTTCGCTGCCGTTGCCGGCCGGCGAGTCCCATCCATTCGCGATGTCCGAGTCAGGGAAGAACCAGACGCGACCATCAATGGCGCCGTGGACCTTATCCGCATCGGCGTTGGCGACGGACACGCTGCCTTTGGGGTGGTCTGAGGAAGTGGCAAGTTGGATGGAAACCGCGACGGGCTGGTCGAAGCTGGGGGGAGACTTGCGGCCGACTTTGGCTGTTAGACGACCGAGCTTTTCAGCGGTCGCGACGGTTTTGCCGTCGACTTCGACAATGAGACCGGCCTTGCCATACTTGTCTCCTGTTGCGTCCCATTGTACGGCGACTTCGTGGCCGTGGTAGAGGATCCGCTCGGCTCGGAAGTAGGACACGGATCCTGCGTCGGCGAGCGGGTTCACTTCGAGCACGTCGTCCTCACGGGGTCTGATGCCCACGAACCCGGACAGAACCTGATCGACATACCCAGAGTGGAAGTAATGCGGAGAGCGAGCTAGACCGACTATTGGGTTTCCGGTGTCGGGCTCGTAGTCCTCCTCGATATTGAGACCCCCGCGGATGGGGTTATAGTGCAACTTCGCGTACTGCGTCAAGATGTTGGTGTAATCGGCTTTAGAGATCACACCGGCTCCAGAGCCAGTTGGGTAATGGTCCAACAGATTGGCGAGGGCAGTGAGGACTTGTGTCGTCTGGTATGGCCAAACCGGTCCATTCCACTGGCACTCGCGATTTTTACCCTCGTACCGATACTGACGCATATAGTATTCGTAACTTGGCTCGTTGGTACGTAGACCATGCGGACCGGCCAGCTTCTCGGAGTCCAGCAGATGCTTCCACGACTGGGCATAGTCCTTCGTGTCGTCGGGTAGATCATGAGCCCAAGGGACGTAGCCAACGAGCTCGCGACCCCGGATGAAGTCCCAGTAAGTGACATGCTCGTTGTCCTGCTTGTATCGGTCGATGAAGTGCTCGAAGGTGCTGTTCCATAGGTTATCCTGCACCAGGCCCTTGATTGTTTGGGCTTGGTCCTCGTAGTCGTCGGCGACCGCGTCGTTGCCCTGAAGCTTGGCCAGTTTGGAAATCGCCAACGCATTGGCGTACTGGTAGCTGTTGATACTGGGACGGAAGGAAAACCCGCCGGTAAATCCATCTTCTCCTCCCGACGCGTCAATGCTGGAGATGGTGTACTCGGTCGCATCAGTTAGGGGTTGAATCCAATACAGCCCCTTGGACACGTCGTATCCGCCGATATCCATCGTCGAGTTCCAGCCTTCGAAGACAGTCTGCATGGCGTCGAGATGAGCAGTGGCGTCGTCGGCCACGCCATCAACTAGGTACCCCTGCCACACACCGTCGGCCATGCTCTCGGAGAATTGGTACGGATTGCCGTTGGAGCCGAACAAGAAGCTCGCGTATTCATTCTTGAATCGGCGATCGCGACACCATCGGCCCTCTCGGAGGTGGAAATTGGCGGCATCGATCAGCAGCGCATACGGTTGCACTTGCCAGCCTACATCCACGATGAACTCGGTGGATATGTAACCGTATGAACCGAGGTCTCGTTGATGGGCTCGGAAGACATTCCAGCGATAGTAATAGACGTCTTGGATCTCGGACGCACTGGATTCAAATATAGGAATCCGGTCTAGGTACCAAACCGCATCGTTGCCGAAATATTCCTTAGTGATCGCCTCGGCATCCAGAGCAGCTGCCCTCAAAACCAAGCCGGCTAGAGCCAGCGACGAGAAAATCTTCATGATGATCTGATCTGAGGCATCCTGGAGAAATTCTCAAACCGGAAACAGGGGTATATATAGCCATTCAGGGGCGATGGGCCCATTTCCCCATTGATCTTGGCCATCCGGTGGAGGATGAGACAGATAACATCATCGGCACAATGTTCAACAACTGCCAAGGGGCATGGTTGGCTCGGCATGCGGGGATCAACCGGTTCCTGGATGATCAAAGAGCGACTTATACTGACAAGGCAGGACTCCTGTGGGATGAACTTTATCGGAGCCCCGCAACCATTCTTCACAGCTCCTGTGGGGGATCCCCGCCCTTTTCCCCGAAGAATGTCCGTGCCTCTATGCAAGCCTTCCGCTATATCTACGATGTCTTACTTTTACAGAGACAGACAGACAGACAGACAGGAGAGTACCATTTCTTGGTGAGTCTGAAATAATCAATCTATTCTGGTTGAGCTGCGCGATTAAAATATACAGTCCCCATCTGAACACCTCGATGTCTTCGAAGCTCAGCCCACTCCCTGTTAATCGCGTGTTCCACACGGATATCGTCTTCATACAGTTCCTGAACCCAATCCATAGTCATGAAGAGGAGTCGTTCGGCCGCCCAGTGGCAATAACCCATGTTTCGTCGGTCGACCCGTGACAACTTCTTCCCTTCCCACCTTAATTCAATTTCCATCTCCTTCAGCTCTTCCCAGCGCGTGATTAATTCCTCCGCCTGATCATACATTGATTGCGCAACTGGATTACCATCCGGTATGTCGAAGCGAACAACATTCTGAAGGGCCCTCGTTGCGTCGATATGGATGGCCCATCCAGGGTACGGTATTCCTCCGCGCTGGAACGGGAGCTTGACCCACCGATCCTCTGGTATGGCTGATGGGAGGTCGGCTTCGTTATTCTCGGCATATAACTGAGATTCTTGCGGCCTCGTGGAGGGCGTTGGGCCCTGCTCGAATTCGAAGGGAGCGTCTTGTTCTGAAAAGGATTCGGGGTCGGCATTGCCTTGCTCTCGTCTCGTAGAGGAGTTCGATGATTGAGGCATAGCACTACTGTTCTTGGGTCCTGGCACGTCCTCTGCGTACTGGTTTCACAAAAAGCTCGACCAGAAGCTGAAGATTCCCACGACCACGAAATCAATGAACGGAAGGTATGCGAAGCTATAGACACTCGTCAGTAGGTTGGCGGTGAATATTTTGAATTCAAGATTCGGGTGAAGAACCTAAAGGTGTTTGAAGATGACCAAGAATAGGTGCAGATTATATCTTTCTTCATGGTTTCCTCAGTATATATAATAGGTTGCACACCCAGTAGGCTTTATGTCTCATTGATTGATGACAAACAGATACGGCCAAACATGAATGAAAAAGCATCAAGACCAGGAATTTACATTCTTTTAAGCTTGATTGGTTCTGGGAAACAGGCGATTTACTCCGGAAGCTTCCTGATTGAGGCTGTTTTGCTGGATTCTATCCTGCAATTCACTGGGAGGACCATGTTAGACTTTTATCCTGGTTGCTATCATTTCCAAATTGGGCATTTGTCTTTGATGAGAGCACGTTAGGGCCGATAAAATTGCTATTTCCACATTATATCTTTGTTTGGTAGCGATTGGGCATTGTTAGCTGTTAACTAACATTATAGGGGAACGCATCATCATCCTCTTTTGGCATGTACGAAGAGACCAAGGTCCAGGAGATTCTGCTCATTGGGTCAAGCAACAATCTCAACTAGTCAAAAGAGATGGTGCTGAAGATATCATGGGGCGGAATTGGGGGCTGCTTTGCTCATAAAATATATTAACGCAGGTTTTTTAAAAGCAGGAAAAAGTCTTGTATATGATGATCTGCCTTCAGACCGTTCATCGTGTGCACAGATCCATTCGGGAGCATAAAGCGGCGACAGGCAACCATCAGGTTGAATGCTCAGCCTTGTCCTTTCCCCGCCATCATAACATCACAACATCAACCCCTCACGAAATCAACAGACTGACCACATATTTACGAACAACACCATACAATCCCCGTCATCATGGAATCGACTCTCAACCCCCAAGCATCGTCCGAAAACGCGTCGAACATCAATGCCCTCGCCAATCTCATCCAAACCGGACAAGCCAAAAACATCATCGTTATTGCCGGCGCCGGCATCTCCACGGCCGCAGGGATCCCTGACTTCCGATCCCCAACAACAGGCCTCTACGATAAACTCGCGCCGCTCAAACTCCCATACCCCGAGGCTATTTTCCAACTCAGCTATTTCAAACACACACCCGAGCCATTCTATGCGATCGCGCGTGCCCGACATCCCCGGAATCTGAAACCGACCATTTCCCACGCTTTCTTGGCACTTCTCGCCAAGAAAGATCTTCTGGAATTTGTGTTCTGTCAGAACATCGACAGCTTGGAGCTTGACGCGGGCGTCCCAAAAGAAAAATCTCTTTCTGTACATGGGAATTGGAAATCGCAGCGTTGCAATGTCTGTCGGAAGCCGTACCCCGGAGACCTGATGAAAGAAGCCATCCAGAAGGGGGAGGTCCCGTACTGTTTGCACTCTGGGTGCGGAGGCGCCGTGAAGCCAGACGTCGTGTTCTTTGGAGATTCGCTCCCCGCAGCATTTGATGAAGAAGTCAAGCGTCTTCCGAATGCGGATTTGGTTCTCGTCATGGGGACCAGTTTGAAGGTTTATCCTGTGGCTGGGCTACCCAGGCAGGTTGCTGAGGGCGTGCCTCGAGTGTTGATCAATAATGAAAAGGCCGGGGATATTGGGTATCGGCCGTCTGATATGTGTATTCTGGGGTCATGCGATGAGACTATCTTGGAATTGGCTGATGCGTTGGGGTGGAGGGAGGACTTGGAGAGTGTTTTGCAGGAAGCCATTGCTAAGAAGGAGGAAGAGGAGCCGTACGATGGACCCGAGATTGATGAGTTGATCCAGAGATTGGCAGAAAAGTCGAAGGATAGTATGGTCTCTGAGGGACATAAGGGTATGCTGGAGAAGCATTTGGCGTCCAAGTTTGCTGGCGTTCTACGTGAAAAGCCGATTGAGGGATAAACGTCTCATGGGGCATTCTTGTGTCATTTTTCAGAGGTTCTCTAACTGTTCGTAGAATGGCCTTCTTGAGCTTCTAGATTTCCGTGCTCTGGAAAAATCAGATGCTCTGTTACTGTATAACCTGATGTCTTGCGTAAACTACGTAAGTGTGAATATGTAGACCATCTGAAAAGGGGCTCACAGCCACGTGCCGCCCCGAATCGCCGCCAGCCCCTCCAGGCTGCGAGGCTGCCAGGCCAGGCATCCGTTGTTGGGTGGGGCCCCAGGCAACAGTCACGTGATGAATCGGTGCCTGGGTTGCTGGCCGGGCCGTCAGCCAATCAGGGCACCTGGGGGCCTGGAGTATAAGGCCGCCGTCGGCACGGGTCCTGCCTCGTATTCCGGACCCCAACACTCTCTATTGCCTCACCCTCTACTTTAAAGCTTGCTCATAATCCAACATTGAACTTCTTCTGTATCATCATTCCTCATGCCTTTATCATCAACTAGCTGTCCACCTCCATTCGCCAAACTCAATTCCTTTCTACATGTACGCCTAAGACATCAGTAGCGTTGACTACTACACCTTACTCTTCCTTCAACGTCATCTCGACAGCATAGCCTCTTCATCGAATTTCTTCAAACGCTTCATCTCATTGGCATATACTGCCTCCTTGATCACGTCCACAATGCCAGCCGCTTCATTCAAACACTTCGTGATCTCAGTCAGTGGGGCTTTCTCTGGCTATAAACAAGGTAGCCAAATCGCCCCGCCCCACCTTGACTACATCATGCAACCTTGAATCTAACCAGCTTTTTGCGCACCACAGCCGATCTGAAAAAGATCATCGAAAGTCGTGGCGCAACATTTAGTCCCGGTGTCACGATTGGATGCACTCACTTGGTCACTACGCAGAGAGAAATCAACAATAACAACTCAAAATGTATGTTTATTTCACTAATATAACTTCCTTGGATCTCGATTATCTTGTCCAACATACTCATTTCTTCTACAGACATCCAAGCTACCAAGGTTTACAATTGCAATATCGTCTCCGTTGAATGGCTCATCGACTCACACGTGGCCAATAAGCCGCTTGACGAGAAGGACTATCTGTTCAAGTCCAACTCCAACTCCAAGTCTGATGACGAGGAAAGTGGCGATGAAAAGAAGAAGCGCACGTTGGAAGAGGCCTTGGATCTGACAGACGACCGCGCCAGCAAAAAGCCCAAAGACGCGCAGAAGGCCAACTCCAAGGCGCTCAATGTCCCCGTTGATGAAGGTTGCACTTTGAAAGGTGAGCCGAGTTGATAAAAATCTGTTACGGCCCAGGTGCTAATATAAATTGATCCAGGTTTTCGCTCTGTGCTTATCGATGACGCTGGTCTCATCTGGGACGCGACACTGAATCAAACTGTCTCGGGAAAGAACAGCAACAAATTCTACCGTATCCAGATTCTGGTCGACAAGTCCGGGAAAGACTTCAAGACCTGGACCCGTTGGGGCAGAGTCGGTGAGCATGGTCAATCCGCTCTTCTAGGCGACGGTTTGATAGAGACAGCCGAGGCCGAATTCAAGAAAAAGTTCAAGGACAAGTCTGGTCTGGCATGGGACAACCGGCTTGACGATCCCAAAAAGGGAAAGTACACCTTCATCGAGCGCAACTATGAAGAGGATTCCGACTCAGAGGATGAAGAAGATCAGAAGAAGGTTGTTACAGAGGAGAAAAAGCCGGAACCAGAGAGTACCCTGTCTGCGCCCGTTCAGGAGCTTATTTCATTCATCTTCAACCCCGATCACTTCCAATCCGTGATGGCATCCATGTCTTACGACGCCCAGAAATTGCCTTTGGGTAAACTGAGCAAACGAACCCTTCGAATGGGCTTTCAATACCTCAAAGACCTCTCCGATCTCATTTCTAATCCTCGATCGGCGAACAGAAAACACGGCATGAATTTCGCAGAAGCAACTGAACACCTCAGCAACCAATATTTTACGGTCATCCCACATGTCTTCGGTCGCCATCGACCACCCGTGCTCAATACTGACCCACAGATCAAGAAAGAAATTGAACTCCTTGAAGCACTGACCGACATGGAGGTCGCCAACGATATCATGAAAGAATCGAAGGATGAGGATACCATCAACCAGCTGGACAGCCAGTTCCAGAGCCTTGGATTGCAAGAGATGACTGCCTGTAAGTCCATTCAGTCTCTCTTCGTTTTCTTTCTCTTATTCGTTCGATGCGTCTAACTCGTTATACAGTGGATCGTAAATCCAGCGAATTCAGTGAGCTCTCAAGTTACCTATTGCAGTCGCGCGGGTCCACCCATCACTACAGATACAACGTAAGTCAACCACGACCACCTACGTCAAAGCCTTTCCCTCCCTAACACAATCCACAGATCATGAACATCTTCCGCATCGAACGAAACGGCGAAGAAGAACGCTTCCAAGCCTCCCCATACGCCACCCGCAACCCCAGCAACCGCCGCCTCCTATGGCACGGCTCCCGCAGCACCAACTACGGCGGTATTCTCAGCCAAGGTCTCCGAATCGCGCCCCCTGAAGCCCCCGTCAGTGGCTACATGTTCGGCAAGGGCGTCTACTTCGCTGACATGTCCACCAAATCGGCCGGATATACCTGCTCCTACAGCAGTGCCAACACGGGCCTTTTGCTTCTCTGCGACGTCGAGCTCGGCGACCCCATGCTGGAGCTCGATGGCGGCAGCTATACCGCTGGCGAGGAGGCCCAAAAGGCCGGCAAGATCGCCACCCTGGGTCGTGGGTCTTCTGTTCCGGCTGGGTGGAAGGATGCCGGTTGCGTTCATCCCGATTTGAAGGGCGTGCAGATGCCGGATGTTGAACAGGGACCGGCGGCCGCGACGTCGAACTGTCTCCTTTATAACGAGTATATCGTCTATGATGTGTCGCAGATTCGTCAGAGATATTTGTTCCAGGTTCATATGGGCTAGAGGGCTTGAACGACCCTGCAGATATTCCCTCCTTTCCTTTTTTTCCCACCGCTTCTTTGTTTGTTCCTCTTTTCGGCGTATCTAGAAATTTTTTTTTTTTTCTCTCATACTTGCTCTTTCCCTGTTCTCATGCGGCATTCAATAGCGTTTAATTTGACGGGAATTGTTAACGGTAGCGGGAGTTTCTTGCTTTTTTGGGTTTTTATTATTTCTCTTAATTTTCTTAGATGCAATTACAGTGGAATGTTGCCGTTTCCCATTCCGCAGAGATGGGAGAGAGAAGAGAAAGGTGAATTACCAATTAATCATGGAATTAGTTCAACGTAGTCAAGTCCATCTCACTGCTAAAATAACCAGTAGCTTCCCGTGATTGTCAGCGGCGGCTAAGCAGAACATAAATCTACAGAGTACCGGGGGGGGGGGGAGAAAAAGAAAAAGAAGAATTATAAAGAGAAGCATGCTATATTATTTTTGTTTTCTACTCTAAAACACCCAAGATCCATCACAGAAAGACGACAGAAACGCCATACAATGAAGCAAGAAAACCAACCACTCTAAGGTAAAATTTAAGTGCCTTTTAACGGCACATTCTAAACCACGGGCAGCTTGACTTGCTGGTGGCTGAGGTCGTGACGGTCCTTGAAGACCTCCGTGATGGGTCCCAGGCAGCCAGCGGCAGCGGCGAAGAAACCAAGGAAGGTCTTGCTGGGAGCCAACACACGGGACAAGTATTCGGGGTGGAACTGGACACCGACAAACCACTTGTGGTCCTTCAGTTCGATGATCTCCATACGCTCGCCCGCCTCGTCCTTGCCAATGAACGAGAGACCGCCGTCCTCGAGCCTCTTGATAAGCGAGGGGTTGACTTCGTAGCGGTGGCGGTGACGCTCCCAGACCTCCTCCTTCTCACCGTACAGCTTCCGTAGACGGGACCATTCGGAGCCCGACTGGAAGATGGTGGCGCGCTTGCCGAGACGCATGGTGCCGCCCATTTTCGACTTGTCGATCTCGGGCATGTACACGATGACGGGCTGTTCGCATTGTTCGTTGAACTCGGCGCTGCCGGCCTTGTCCATGCCGCAGACGTTGCGGGCGAATTCGACGACGGCCAACTGCATACCCAGGCAGATACCGAGGTAAGGGACGTTGTTGGAACGGGCCCATTGGGCACTCTTGATCATTCCTTCCGTTCCACGCTCACCGAAACCACCCTGTTATTTATTAGATGTGAAACTAGTGGTGGATAGAACGGTTACGTACCGGCACAAGGATACCGCTGGCGGTTGTGAGCTGTTGCCAGGCAGTGTGGTACTCTCCCGGCTTGTTGTTTCGGTGTTCCTCTTCCAAGTGAGACGATTCGACCCAGATGAGCTGCAACTTCCGTCGGCAGTGCATGGCAGCCTAAAGTTGTATCTTGTTAGCACCGGATGGTAATGTCTGCTTTCGAATTCACTTACATGTTCCAGCGCCTTGCTCACACTCATGTAGGAGTCGTGCAGACTAGTGTACTTGCCAACCAGGGCGATCGTAACGGTCTCGAAAACGTGATCCTGACTAAGGGCCAGACCCTGCCACTCCTGCCACATGATCTTGCCGTATTCCAAGAGTTTCTGTTCCTTGGGAATGGCATCGATTTTAAGAAGTTCGCTGATGGTGTGGAGGAATGCTTGCTTCTCCAGCAGAATGGGAACCTGGTAGGTCGTCGTGACGTTGTGGACGCCGACAACCTGGGCCCGCTCCACCTGGCAGGAGTTGGCAATTTTTTGGATGGTAGCCTCTTCCAAGGGGGTTTCGCAACGGCAAGCAATCAGATCCGGTCGGATACCAGCACTGCGCAAGTCACTGATAGCCCTTTGCGTGGGCTTCGTCTTCTGCTCCGAGCCGATCAAAGGAACATAGCTGACTTGGATCGCAAGGAAGTTGTCCTTTCCAGCGCGGCGTTGAAGCTGGGACATGGCCTCGACGAAAGGCGCACTCTCGATATCACCGACGGTTCCACCCAGCTATTGTCGTAAGCATTAGCTTTGGTCGCATTCGTCACCCGCTTTCTGAACTTACTTCGACTATAGGTGATAGGTCAGCCATCGTCCTCCAAAGTAAAGTCAAGAGCAAAACTCACTGATGCAAACGTCGGGTTCCCGTCCAGAATCGTCCACCGCGATCTTAGCAACCCGTTCGACCCACTGATACCCAATTAGCTCAGCTCATAAATCCATCCTCAATCAATTTCTGAATTGGAACGCACGTTTTGAATCTCGTTGGTGAGGTGGGGGACGATTTGAACTGACTATGTCAGTACCCATGACGAGGACCCAGTGTATCTGCCAACCAACCTGTCTTTCCGAGGTAATCGCCACGACGCTCTTTCGTGATGACGTGGTTGTAGATCTTTCCGGTCGTGATGTTGTTGTCACCTCCCAGCGTCACACCCAGATAACGTTCATAGTTTCCGAGATCGAGATCGGTTTCGGCACCATCGTCGCAAACGAACACTTCACCGTGTCTATCCATACAGTCAATTCCAGTCCGTGACATAGTTCGAGGGGCAAGAGAGGTGGCAAACGAACTCTAGAGGCTATTCCATCCACAAAAAATGAGCCATCCGCGGTACATCACAAGTATTGAGGGGTTCGGAATACTCACGTTCATAAGACCAGCATCGATGTTCAGGTAGGGATCAATCTTGATCGTGGAAACTGTCAAACCAGCAGTCTTGAACAGCAAACCACAGCTCGAGGCAATAATGCCCTTTCCCACACCGGAGATCACACCTGCCAGCCGATATTAGAGCGATTGGAGACGAAGGAATGAGAGAAAAAATTACATACCTCCAGAAACCAGAACGTACTTCATATTGGCAGGGGTGTAATGGCGTTATCGGCAGAAGAATGCTCAAAGATAGCCCTCCTGGTGGAATACCAGGGAGGGGGGGAGAGAGAAAAAGCGGATCTGCCTGCTGGAGTGAAGATAAAAAAATTCCTTACATAGAAATCACGTGGGCGGTCTGAGGCCGCATTGGCGGGGTATTGCCATCAGCTCTGCCCGACAAAGCGGCCTTTGCAGTAGGCGGTGACCACAGCGGTCTCCCTTACTTTTCTGTCCCCGGTTTGAGGTTGAACCGTGAGCCCGGCACTCTTAGGAACACACACCTATGGAGTAGAAACTCCATGGACCTGGAATTCTTCCATCACAAATTGTGCAAGATGATTGCTAGTATATGTTACATCTTAGATCTATTTTGGGTACACCGAGTCCTTCCGCCATTCACCTTTTCTCAAAATGTGTCGACCTTCCGCATTCTATATCCCGACAACCGTTCTGTAGTGGTAGCTTCCTAATCTCATAACATTCTCCAACACTCAACGACCGATGTAGATATGCCGTCTCCCCGAAGCCTCCAGACATGGCATATGAGCATTATCCAACGTCTGATCGGTGGGCACTCTGAAGTAGGTGCAGTTCTTGCAGTTCGTTTCCTTACAAACCCCCATAACATCAGGCGGTCCAAGAACAGGTCCATCACGACTGGCTTTTATAGATAAAAAATAGTGATTCTTAGGGAGGTTGATGTCGTAACAGTGATGACCCTCTGATCGAGTGAAGGTCCACTCGTAGTGTAGATGAGGGCCATGGCGTCGCGGGCAGCTCGGGCTGTTCACGTCTAGGGCACCGACATATTGGGTGGAGGAAAGTCGTGTGAGGAGCAGTACGAGGAGGATGGAGAATATTATCATTTTGAGATATAAGAGAAGTCCGAGTTACAGAGGGAGGATGGATATGAAGAATCTGAGTGTATATATGTAGCTACGGTGGTGGGCAGACTACCTGGTTATATATCGACATGTCTGTACCCCCTACTGCCTGAACCCATGTACCAGTTACCCAGGCAGCTGAGGTATAGGCGCCATGTCTATGGAATCCCGTCTTTTGTGGCACCTATTTGAGAACTTGCTACAGGGTAGACCGACAGATGCTCATTTAATTTCCACCGAGATACCGCTTGATTTAGTCTTGGCTTCAATCTCGGAACCCAGCTTCTAATTATAATAGAGTCTTTAATGTGCCACTGAGTCTATTTTGTCGCTGCCTCGTTTAATTTGCCAGTTTTCAATTGGTCCTGGAGCTCCGGGTCTCAAATGATGGCGACTGGCGAGAACGTTCGACTGGGCGACTGGAGGACAAAGAGGCGGCGGAACAGTGTCACATCCGGCGCCAAATCCTTGTGGATCAGCGAGGATGTCGGGATCTTGGACCAATGGCTCTGCTGGATAGATCGACACCCTGCAGGTGTGACTCGCATTTCGTAAACCTATGTATGTGTAGCCGAATGTTGGCCAGATGTCTTTGACTTGTCGAGGAGTGTGAAGTGCTCTTCCACGTTTGCATCGGCGACGCGCCCGCGGCGACGGGTCTTATCAATCACATCACGTGCGGAGATGAGATAAGCCGTCAACAGACAAATTTCTCGCATCGATCGAGCATTTGGAATTTAGACTGCACCCACATACTTCGTAGGATCCCCGGGATTCAGCATGAAGCGTACATATGAGGTACATCTACCAGGGAACGACTGTTTAATTGATTTAACCGCCGTCAGAATGCCCTCAAACTCCTAGAAACGCGAAGGCGAAAAGCGCGACCGAAGACGCCCGCCGTCTCCACTCTCAAGAATGTGGCCACTGCGACGGACAATCAGAGTCTCAGGGGACTGCCAAGCCTGGTAGGGATGAGAGAGTGGCTGCAGCTTCTAGGCCACACGGTAGGTTGCCCCAAAGATGAAGATAGGGTTGCCGTGGTCATCTGACCGTGCCTAGGACGACGATGTCAACAAACTGAACATAGTCCATATTGCCGGAACAAAAGGCAAAGGAAGTACTTGCGCATTCACGCGCAGCTTTCTGCATACGCATGGATTGCGGACGGGGTTCCCTAATCGAATCGGACTGTATACGTCCCCGGACCTGCAATGCGTTCGTGAGCGAATACAGATCAACAATCATCCCATCACGGAGGAGTTATTCACGCGATACTTCTTCGAAGTCTATGAGCGGCTTATATCTCCGGATATAGAGCAAGATGGGAAGACCAAGCGACAGCCGCGTTACTTGCAATTCTTAGCTTTGCTGGCTTTCCATTATTTCATCAGAGAAAATGTCCAGGCAGCGATCTTCGAGACTCACCACGGCGGAGAATACGATGCTACTAACGTGATACAGAAACCCGTTGTGACTGCGATAACGTCGCTGGGCCTCGACCATGTTGATCAGCTCGGCCCGACCATTGAGAATATTGCCTGGCATAAGTCGGGGATTTTCAAACCTGGCGCACCTGCATTCTCCGTGCCTCAGGAGCCCGGTCCGTCCGAAGTCCTGAAAACCCGCGCTGCGGAGCGAAGCACAGTTTTGAAGTTTGCCTCTACCGATGGTTGTCTTCCACCTGACAATAGAGTACTCAGTGTGCCGGTCCAGCGACTGAACTGCTCCCTGGCCCTCGAACTCGCAATGGCCTTCATACATCTGAAAGAGCCCGGGCAAAGTTTAACCGCGGACGATGTCAGCGATGCAATCAAAAATTTCTCGTGGATAGGGAGATTCGAGGTTATCGATGACGGAGCATCCCAATGGTTTGTTGACGGGGCGCATAACACATTGAGCTTGGAGCAGACCGGAGCATGGTTTGCGAAGAACATTCATGCTGAAAGCCCGCAGAAGTGAGTAGTATACTTGAAACCGTACCAAATACAATGGGGTCCATGAACTAACATATCCGATGTTGCATCAGACGTCGCGTGCTGATTTTCAGTCATTTCTCGGAGGAGCGTGATGGGGTCCAGCTTCTGGAATGCATCGCACGCACACTGCTTGAAAATGATGCGAAACCAGATCATGTTATATTCACTACATATCAAGAGCGGGAGGATGGGACCTCCAGAATCGGTACGGGCTTGACGATTCCGCAACGGACAATGGCTGACAATCTATGGTAGATAAAACACTGAAAGTACCGGAGACACCTTTGCCTGATCTCTGCGGGATATATTCATCGCTTTGGAAAGCATTTGATCCCAAGGCCACCGTTTCAACTGACGCGACGATCGAAGGAGCGATTAAACAGGCCAAAACAATAGCGGCACAGGAGGACGGTGTGCAGGTGCTTGTTACAGGCAGTTTGCATTTGGTTGGCGGTGCACTTAATCTCCTGCGACCGTAAAACTGTGTGTTGGCTGCATTCTGAGATGTCCTTCCATGGTCACACACATTTGGTCGGCAGCTGAGATTTGTACAATTCAACATTATACCCAATCATATATTCCTTTCCTATGTCAAAGTCATTTTTGCTCTCGTTTCAACTCTTTCGTTTTATGTTATTACATCTTTTCTTTGGAATGCGGAAGGCATCGATAGCGCTCTGGGGCAGCAGTCTAGCGCAAGCAGATTTTTTTTTGCCAAAACGCAACAAGGCTAGAGAGTCGGAAATTACCGAAAAAGATCCCTCAAATAAGATTCTACATGGAATCGAGAAGGGCAGCGCGCTCCAGCGTGCATAAATCCGCCAAAAGATACTAGAAAACGGATTATTCATCACCACTTCTAACTGCTGAGTGACAAAATGTGAATGATTCAGGTTGTAATTGTCAAACAGCGGGCCATTCCGTCAAGCGGCAGGATGCAATCATCGCTTGCACTTTTCATGAGAGGATTTAGATCGGCTGGGGTCACATTCATCCCCAAGAAGGATCTTCAGGCAAGGATGTTGGTTGCTTGATTCGGCGAGTAATAACCATACAACCAAGAATTCATGTCGATAGGAAACTTTTCCCAGCGGATCTGAGACTTCGTTATGGCGCTATGCCCAAATTTACATTCCTTCGTTGTTGTATTGTGTTGCAGAACACAGGATGCTTCGTCTAATGCCAAGAGAGCTGTGGACATTAAACGGAGGGTTCATTGATTCCTTCGGCGCCACGGCGGGCCAATATGCTCGCCCTCTACAGCCTACACAGCCCACATGGCTTGTTTCATAATCGCATTTGGCGCTCGGTATTACTAAGAAATAAGCTGAAGCCGGGATTGACCAGAAGCACAGCCGACTAGGGTCCATGGGGCCGATTAAGGGCCCTGATGGAAGCGCGAGTCCCGGATGGTCGGCCTCTACTCCACTATTGGCCTGGTAGTTTCTTGGTAGGGCCGAAAGGGCCTTGGAAGACGAACTAAAGAAATGCAGAAAGTTGAATGTAACCGTCTGACCTATCGCGGGCTGAGCTTGCAGAGATGCCTCGCCTGATCCTATTCCTGGATAATGGGGGTGGTAAACGCCCAGTGCTTGGGCTTGGGGGTGTGCTTGCTGTTGGGTTTGGTTTATCTACCCCCATAGACCTACTTCCCTGGGAATCTTTTTCTTTCTTCTCTTTCTTCAAAATTTGTGCTGCTCTTGCCATTCATTAAAATCACCCCTAAGGTGGCTGGGACCACTGACATTCCTTTAAGAACATCACACTCATTCAATCAATACAATGCGCGTTAATACTGTGAGCAAAGCGCCCCTGGGCCTCCTGGCCCTGTATGCTACGTCGGCATCTGCCTTTTGGCGTATGATGTGTCCTAGTCGCCTTGTCCAACAGCGTGCCGACCCTATTATGAGCCCCGGCGAGGTGGCCGGACATGTGCACACCATTTCCGGAGGAAATGGTTTCAAATTCGACATGAACTACGACGACGCTCGCGGCGGAGACTGTTCGTCGTGTCCTATCAAGCAGGATCTGTCCAACTACTGGACTCCCAAACTCTACTATCATGCCGAGAACGGCAGCTTTATCAGTGTTCCCCAGATTGGCGACCAGTGGGAGAACACCGGAGGAATGAACGTGTACTACTTGTATGTACTCAAGACTCTCTTACCATTCCCCCCAAATTTTTATAGCTGCTCGACCGGGCCTATCCGATTTGAGAACTAACCCACCAAAGCCAACGTGGCGGTCCCAACCAGGAAGAAATCAAAGCCTTCCCCAAGGACTTCCGTATGGTCGCTGGAGACCCGTTCAAGCGCAGCTTCGACGATGACGCTGCCTCCCAGGCCGTGAGCTTCGTCTGTCTCGACTATAACGCTGAGCCAAAGCCCGAAATCAACGAGTTCCCCAACGAAAACTGCCCCGACGGTCTGCGCATGCAGGTTTTCTTCCCCAGCTGCTGGGATGGTGAGAATCTGGACTCGGATGACCACAAGTCTCACGTCGCCTACCCCGAGGGCAACTTCAATGACGGCTCTTGCCCCGAGAGCCACCCTGTTCATCTCGTCTCTATCTTCTACGAGGTCCTCTGGAACACCGGCGTCTTCGCGGATCAGTGGTACGGCGACTCGCAGCCCTTCGTCCTGGCGAACGGTGACCCCACTGGATACGGATTCCACGGTGATTTTGTAAGTCCCCTAGTCTTCCTCCCCTCTCACTACAGTCAGGACTAACTGATAAAAGATCAACGGCTGGGACGTCGACGTCCTCCAAACCGCCATCGACAAGTGCCTGAACCTCAGCGGCAACCTCGAGGACTGCGTCGACGAGAACGGCACGCCCGTCTTCGAGTTCTTCTCGGATGAAGAATGCCAGGCCTGCTCCGTCCCCAACCTTGTCGACGAGGACATCGACGGAATCTTTGAGAACCTGCCCGGCTGCAACCCCCTGACTGGCGGACCTGACCGTGCTGAACCCCAGGAGTGTGATAAGCCTGCTCTTCTGGAGGCGCCGGCTGAGAAACGCAAGCGCCAGCAGCATGAGCATCTTGCTCGTCACCGTCACGGTGCTCACCACAAGGCGTAGATTAGATAGTGAAATGTCTTGTGGATAAATTGAGACGAGGTGATTTTTGTGACGTTTTATATATATTTTTCTATGATTGGGGAATATTTTATGTGTATGTGTGTAATATAAGGGGTTTCATATATTATTCCTGTTGTAAAGCTTGTATTCTAATGAGTGAAGAACTTGCCGCTTTCTTGAAAGACTTCTATTTCCATAAATTGGAAGTTTACATTGTTCCTGGAATAGGCGAGCTTTCAAGTTAGCAAAATTAATATAGGATCCGTTATGAACGAAGTTTAGAATACCGGAGAACAAGGATCTAAGGATCTAGTCTATTGCAATACAGACCAAGACTAAATTAGAATAAATATAGGCGATGAGGAAGGAACGGGAAAGAAAAAGTGAATCAACATACCAAAAGCAAAGGAAGACACAATGAATGCTAGACCTAAGTTCCAAACAAAGCGACATTGGAGGGAACAAGAAAGAAAAGAAAAGAGTAGAGAAGAAAGGTATTTCATGGATAAAGACAGGTGTACCTAAAAGCTAGGCTACCTTCACAAAGCAAGGTCAATATCCTAGTCCCCAAAGATTTGGCTATTCTCAGTCTCTAGCAACTGTATAAACTGCTCTTTGATGCCACTGATTAGTCTCAATGTTCGACCACGATTATGAAACCCACTTCTGCAAAACCAGTGTTCATCCAGCATGAGCTCCTCTACTCCTAGAACAAGCTTGGCTAAGTTAACATGGAGTCCCGATTTCATAAGCTCATCAACCTCAAGTAATACCTCCGAGTTGCATCTAGACGCCCAGTATGAAGAAGGTAAAACCCATTGAAACGCCTCCAACGTATTGTGGATATCATTTATTCTCTCCAGCCCATGATCGCGACAATGGTATATGGCATCAATTATCATCATGGCAATTTCCAGAGGGACGTTCAAAAAGGAAGGGGTCAATGATACTTGGCGACTAGTGTTAGCATCACACACGACTTGAGGCAACAATTTTTCGATACCCGGTATCCGAAAAGGGCTTCCTAGGGTGATGTGCTTCGTTTCCTCCCAACGCTTAAGATAAATGCCCCTGGCACCTTCTCGCAGTCGTCTAATCCATACAAGATTATCTTTAAGATTGTCGGCCGTCAAGGCACACCAACGTGGCCGAGGGTTCCATTCTCTCTCGTTTGACCTCCAAAATATCTCTAGAGCTTGAACAAATGAACGAAGATTCTGCATCAAGAGCGCATATCCTACGATGCGGCTAAGAAGCATCCAAAAATGCGCATGGATTGAATATCCTAAATAGGTGGCGGGTGGTGTCTTTTCATTTGACGAGAAAAGATCCGCTTGTTGTATATTGACATACCAGCGGCCGCCATTATACGGATGTCCTTGAATGAGAGCAGTGCCATAACGTCTCGGTGCTTTCCGGGAAGATCTTGGATATATGCCGGACACGGACAACGCTTTCGTTTCTGAATGAATGAGAACTGATATTATTCATGGTTAGTATACTCTATGACTTGCTCGATCGTTCGTGCTGGGGTTATTAACCATAGCAGCAGTACATGTCTTTTGGGGGCGGGGGCACTCACTTGATCGACGGAACCACATCCGCAAGTGGGGCGTTTTGTTGAAATCCGTACTTTCAAATTCCACTGCCGAGACTGTCGTGTTCAGCTTAAAGTTTCGTCTGTCTTTTAAGTGTAATTCTTTCCAGTCGTTCCGCTCAGATAGAGTTGTATCATCGTCTTCTTTTTTAAAAGGCACTGCGCATACTGTGTTATCATCTTCTTTTTTAATAGGCACTGCGCATACTGCGCAGCGGTTGCGTGAATTAATGACCATGATGAGTAGACGTGACTGAACTGAAAGGAAACGCTATGATGATTGGCTCAATGTTGGAAGAGAAAAGGTGTAATTCTGTGGGATGAGGTCACTGATGAGGAATTTATAAGAACGCTTTATGACTCGGGCATTCACCGGATGATTTCGAGTAACAGGTAAAGCGAGTAAATATTTATCGAAATTTTCTCGATACTGAACTTTTTACGACCTAGCGGATTTTTCCACATCCTGAGACAAAGGAAATCAGGCTAATTAGAGTCTGGGATTCTTATGGCGCTAGCACTGCGTAGCTAGCGATCTAACCATTCATGGACCCAAAGATTTGCTAAATTCACTACCTAGCCCAAGCTGTAATGAAGGAGAATAAAGCTTGGCAAATAGAAAATTAGGCAACGGTGTCTGGTGGGGTGTGGCAGGAGCTGGGAGGATGTGGCTACATCATTTCTCCCGTGTCTTGGGTCAACTTCTTGGGCCCCTTCTCATCTAAAGTCAAGGTAAGGGTAAAAGTGTTAGGAGCTAGACGAGAATATGACTACGAGAGAACTATGGAGACAGCTCTCGGCTCATAAGATAACTGCTGAACCCCCGGATGCAAATTAAAGAGCAATTTAGAGCACATGCCAGAGGAATGCTCTTTGCTCCAAGGAGTACAATGTTTGGCGTTTTTCTAATATTGAGTGGTTGGTCACATTGGTCTTTGCAAAAGAACTCATATCGACTGTACACGGGTCAAGGCAATCCATGTAAGAAATTAATTTAGTACTGAGTATTAAAAAATAATTTCTTAGAGCATCTAGTTTTCTGGTTACTAATGAATCCCTCATTAATGGTGGTAAGCACTGAGATATTTATTGCTTTGTCATTTGATAATTTACAGCTGTATCAGCTATCCGAATATCATTTTTAAAAACGGACTTTCCAATATCTGCAACTAATAGACATGGTTTAGTAAAGGTTTATCTTGGTATCGATAAATTTGTCTGAATCCGCGTTTACCTTGTACATATAAGCTAAAGAATGCACATTCTAGGCAAGGGAGTCGGGCCATTAATCACCACCAGTAAGATAATAGTTTTTTTTATCCAATACTTGGGTGACTTGACTGACGAACCCCTTACCTGTCGGTCGGCTCGGAGCCGACTGTCTTTTACTTCGAGCGAGATTGAGTTTAACGCCAACGTTCAATATGCTTGACGGAACTTAATTTCTAAAACGCATGCGTAAATAGGCTAGCATGATAGGAAGCCCCAAAATGTTACGGAATCGCCTGAAGTTCTGACACACCATATAAGTAGGTCAAAATAAAAGCTTTTGCCTTGAAAGGGTCAACAACATTTCAATCAAGACGTCAGCACCTCGATAAACTTGCCCTCTTTAAGTACCAGTGAATATTCACTTGTCTGGCCGCATATGAAGATGCATTTCGTAGATGTCTGAGTGCTATTGTAGTAGTGCCATTGTGTACCACAGCATAAAAAGGGGACTCTCCTTGCTGTCAGTGGTTGGAGACGCCTTCGCGCAAGGTAGCAATGTCATGCATACTCACGTCAATCCTATTGTGACTTGACTGTTCACATAGTGATGGCGAGGACGTTTCTGTCGATAATGATTGGAGAATGAAGGGGAGAGTAACACGTAATCGTGGAATATGATTCGATCGGAAATATTTTTGCTTAGAAGAGGCAAGGAGCTACGGAGTAGGGAAACGCTCTCCTCGCTGCGAGAGATAGACATCAGTCAACAGCCGTTAGTGAAATACAGTAAGAAGTGGAATGAGGACGGCCTATTCCGGTAGAAAACCTCCAGTCAATTGAAAGCTGCAGCAGGAAATAGTACTGCATGATCACATTGAGTCCGTCAACAGCCGAAGATGTTGGAATATATAAAGATCGAACAAGGTAGAGGGTCTTAGACACTTTCTCAAAAGCGAAAGTAACCATCCTTAGCAGATTCAACGTTCCCAGAGCCTAGCTAAAAAGCTTCCACGTCAAGATTCGCGATCAAATTTCACAAAGCCGCTCGTCTAGAATGCATTTCCTCCAGACCAACGGAAGCATCCCGGCCAGGACTCCGGATCAACAATGGGCGCATGTTTTCCAAGCCCAGGATACCGGTAGGAGCTATCTTATCTGACTCTTAGGCGACACTGACGTGCTTTAGTGATCGAGCTCAAGAAGATCCCTGTTCCTCAGCCTGCTAAGGACGAAGTTTTGGTTCAGCTTGAGTACCCTGGTGTTTGTCACACGGACTTTCACGCTTGGAAAGGCTCGGAAATTTGATACCTGCACGAACGCATAATCTAACTTGACCATGTTCCTCAGGCCAATTTCCCGTAACTTAGAAGAGCAATCTCGTAGGTGAGTTGTTATTCCCTGAGCCCACCAGATGCTGAGCGAAAGATGTTGATACTATTCTTGCTTTAGGTGGCCACGAAGGATTTGGTTACGTTGCAGCATTAGGAGATGATGTTGGTGATATCAAGGTTGGAGATAAAGTCGGAAGACAGGTAAAATACTGACTGAAGAAGACATAGAACAAAAGATGCTGACTGTCTACTGCAGTGGATGAATAGAACCTGCGGTGCCTGCGAATTTTGTTCTGGTGGCAACGAACCTCTCTGCCCGGGCCTCCAACTCTCCGGATATTATGTGGACGGTACATTCTAGTAGTATGCTGTTTGCAAATCTGGGAATGCGGTGCGAATCCTACCCGAGATTCAGCTTGAGGTCGCAGCTCCGGTACGTACGAAGAGTAGCCCGAGAACTTTGTCACACTCTCTCCTTTCTTTTCATGTAACATTTCCCCTCTTTGGAGATATTATTGATAATTCAACGATCAGATCCTCTGCGCTGGTGTTACCGTTTACAAAGCTCTCATGGAAAGCAACATGAGTACTGGGAAAGTCATAGGTAAGCCATATTCAACCGAATGAATCAACGCACAGAAGACTGTGAAGGTTCTCGCTGATTCGCAGTCTCAACCTATCGTTGGTGCTGGCGGTGGACTAGGGTCGTTGGCTTGTCAATATGCGAAGGCCTGCGGGTACCGTGTGCTTGCTGTGCCTATCGGGCCTTTGAAGAAGAGGATGTGTGAAGAAGAACTGGGAGCTGATTATTTTGTCGACTATAAATCCCCGAAGATGGTGGATGAAATAAAGTAAATCACTGGCGGAGGTCCACATGCAGCCATGATAGTTGCTGCTACCGAGGGCCCCTTTCATCAAGCACTGGAGGTAGGTGAGTCCAGATCAATCAATAATAACCAGAATTCTGAGTCTGCATAGTACATCCGGCCTGGAGGAACTATCGTTGCAGTTGGTCTCCCTCCTGGCAAGATTTCAGCAGATATCTTTTCCATGATTATCAACAAGGTCAGTATTAAAGGATCATACGTTGGAAATCGACGCGAGACAGAGGAGGCACTTGAAATTGCTGCGAGGGTTGGATTCTCCGTGCAATCTCGGGTGGTGGACTTTGCCAGACTTATGGACATTTATAAGATTATGGAAAAAGGTAACAGAACCTCTTTCTCTCTTGAGTGTCACAATAATTAACCTGTCTCAAGGTGAAATGCAAGGGCGGGTGGTTCTCAAGATTGGGAATGACCCGTTGAATGATTCAGATCACCAATCAGAAACAAATAGCCTATTGAATGATCGAATCGAGCATGTTTATGGCAGAACGCTAACCAGATCCCACCTCCGAACCATCGAGAAAGCTGGGAGAGACTTCCGTTCTGATACTGTAACTGTGCCCACGGAGAAAGTGATGCAGGTAGGCCAAGTTTCAAAGTATAGCTCCGATATGACGCTACGATAACTAATGTATCATGTTTGACAAGGATATCGTCAATGTTTCCTTCGGGGACAACATCTATGACGAGGGTGATGATGCATCAGTTAGGGCCCTACAAGACAAGGTGGCCCAATTAACGGGAAAGCCGGCTGCTCTTTTCGTGCCATCCGGAACTATGGGTAATCAGCTATGCTTGCGAACGCATCTTCAACAGTTGCATTTCCAAAGGTCTTGGGGCGCCAATGGGAAGTGTCATTGTGGGTCCTAGAGAATTTATCGATCGTGCAGTTTGGTTCCAGAAGATGTTTGGAGGAGCAACAAGATAGGTAAAGCCGCAAATCATGAATATATATCGCTGTTGATAGATGTACTGACAATTGAATTAATATGACTAGATTGGAATGATGGCTGCGGCTGCATCAGTTGCACTAGACACAACATTGCCTCTACTGCCTGAAGTCCATGCTCGCACACGAAAAATGGCCGAATATCTCAATGCGCTTGGATATGAATTTGCGCTTCCCGTTCATACAAACATTATCTTTCTCGATTTGAAGAAAATGGGCATTGCACCATCTTTGTTTGAGAGCCACTGCAAGCAGCGTGGATTGAATGTGTTTGGCACAGGAATACTAGCCTTTCACCATCAAATTTCTACGGATGGGATTTCGAGGTTCAGGGAGGCCATGCTTGACTTGATTTCCGGCGTGAAGAGGCCTGGTTCGAAAAGCCTTGGCAGATTATGGGGCCCTTCATACGCTTAAAGTGGTCTATGCTTTGAATGTGCTCGTATTGCGCAGTCATTCGGTCTACTGATTCTGCACCAAAATCAACCGCCATTGTTGACTCTCCTTTTTAATAACATTGCCCAAGACTGTCATGCTGATGGGTTTTATCATCTCATTCATGAATTGATAATGAATGAAAAACTGGTTGCTAAAGCAATTTGAGATTTCAATACTGAGACTAAAACAAGAGAAAGAACTGTAAAATAAGTAATCCAAGATACCTAGTAGAGCTGAAGATATTGGTACATATGTTTGACCATAGTATTTCTGAGTCCCTCGTTATCGAGACTACTATGTTATGGTTGTGCATCCTATGCTCCCAAAGTGGCTGAACCCTATCTTATCTATCTGCCTGCCCCACTTCTGATATCTCCCGGATGAGGGGCACCTCTTTCCCCCCATTTACCCCACATGAATGTAGATCCAGATGGACATCCACTTCCGGTGAGAAGTATACATCACTTAACTATATTAAATTCCTGAAATCGATCGTCATATTCCAAATTTGCCTTACCGCATGGCATTGCCGGCAACCTAGGCTCATCTAGAATAGTGTAATAAGTTATCGCATTGGTCGAATGATCTAGAGGAGATCCCGAAAAAGTAAATGTGGCAATAGAATAACAATGGTTAAGCGTCTCTTACAACGTCATAAGTGCTTAGCAATAAGTTTATTGCATTGTGAACCTGTTCAAATATTCCTCAAGTTACCTGTTTGTGACGGCGACTGTTTGATTAGAGAATGCATCATTAATGATCAGGCTGAACCACCTTCTAAAGTTGATTACTTGCGAGGATGGGCTGGGCTATGACATGACCCAGACATGCAACGAATGAGGCGTATGCCCCCATTTTTGATGCTTACCAGGTTATTGAACCCTCTTTATCTTATCGGCGATTGAGTGCCCTATCTCAAGGACTCCCCCACTCTTGTTATCTCCGCGGCTGTTAGCTCACAGTACATAAGTTTATATTGCCCGCGAAGACGATACCAGCGACCTCCTTTGAAAACTAAGTAATTCAAACAAAAAATTAAAATGTGGTGGCCTTTCAGTCAAAACAAAACACAAGAATATCCCCAACCCCGGGGCCTTCCAGCATCATGGTACCGGTCAGACGCAATGTACCAGCTCGAGCGCTGAGCGATATTTTCTAAGAGTTGGATTCTCCTCACACACTCCAGCCGATTCACGAAGCCAGGCGACTTCCTATCTTTCACCATCGCTAATTTCGGCTTCTTCGTGATCCGCGACCGAGACGGCTCTGTCAACGCTTTTCACAATATCTGTCGCCACCGCGCATTCCCAGTCGTCCAGTCCCGCTGTGTCACTTCCTCCATTTTAACCTGCAAATACCACGGCTGGTCCTATGGGCTGAAGGGCAATTTAGCCAAAGCTCCCCATTTTGAAACAGAGGCTAATTTCGACAAGTCAAAACAATCATTTCTCCCTGTACATGTGCACGTCGACAAAGCCGGGTTCGTACGGGTGAACCTGCAGGCTAGTGAGAAGCCAGATGTCAACTGGGCCGAAGAGTACAACAAGATTGACGAGCAGCCGCGCATGCAAGATTTCGACTTTGCTAAGGATTACTCCTTCGATCATTTTTGGGACATGGATGTGGATGCGAACTGGAAAGGTCTCGTGGAGAACTACAATAAGTGTTATCATTGCGCCACGTCGCATCCACTGATCCGTGGCGTCTCTGATCTCCCGAGGTATCGCGTTGAACCGAATGGGGGATACATGGAACATCATATTTATAACTGGGAGACCAGCGATGCGCAGCTCAAGCGCGCCATAACATACTTTTACCCTACAACGTCGGTGACAGTGACGTGAGTACTCGGTCATGAAGTATGATAGTCAAACTGAATAGAGCTGACCGGATTTGTGCAGAGATAAATTCTTCTACATCCAGCGCATGTTTCCGGTGAGCGCGACGACCAGCAAGATCCAAAACGAAGTATATCGGCACCGGGACGCAACGGATGAGGAATTCAAGGAGATAAGTGCTTTCTATAGGCAGGTATTAGACGAGGACAGGGAGCTGTGTGTTGGAACACAAGAGAACCTGGATGCGGGTGTTTTAACCAACGGCGAGTTGCATCCAAGCAAGGAGAAGGTGAGCATAAAGCATGTTACTCCTTAGAATGCCATAACTAACAGGTACTGCTTAGGGTCCTGTTCACTTCCAAAACACGGTGAGAGAAGCTGTCATGGAGCATCGGCGAAAGGAAGAACACAACGGCGGACAGGTAATATGGCCTGCAACCCCGGCTCCCCGGATGACACAGAAGCTCCACGAGGAAGAGGCATTTTGTTCGAAATTAGAAGCGGACGGCTCTCTAGATAGGCCGGAGCTCTTGTGGTGATACTTCGGAATACGACCAACTGAGGTAAACGATTCAAGAAAAATTATTGAATCGGGATCATACATCATAATGACAATAATGTTAACTCCATGACTGAAACAGGATGTTTTCTCGGCGCACGACAAATTCGCAATTGTTGTATTTTCGAAATAGGTTCTTGATAGAACATTGTTTGGTTGCTGCTAAGTAACGCAACTAAATTGCAACATTCAGCAGCAAAGACAGTAGCACATAATTTGTCAACAGTCATTATAATATATGAGAATCATTAAATTAATGTTTTGATCCTCCAGATAAACCCATCGCTGCTTTGATGGGCTGCGCATCGGTGATTACTAAGCAATCGGCTGTTCACTTTCATAAAACTATGCGCGGATGGGATTGATTTGCTCATAGACTACCCTGGAAAGTTATTTTGAATGACATGTGAAAAGGATTACTTTTGTTGAGACAAAAATAGACCGAGGCTCTTTCAGTCTATCTGTACTTGCTCTCTTGTAAGGAAGCATCTCGAATTGATCCTATTAATGGAATGTCACCTCATCGTTATAGTGTGGAGAAAAGTGCCCTAAAAACCAAACCAATTGGGCCCAACAGAATAACAATTCGCAAGCTGATCGATCCACGCCACGACTAGTCGGCACGATCTATGGCGATACAACACTGCGTGGGGATGAATGAGTCTGACTGAAGTGATCCGTTCGTGGTGTTAGCCCGTGAAACACACGCTAAATTTCCAAGGGGCAAGTTGTTGGGGACCCAACAGACGGGAGCCGATGGGCTGATCCTCCCTTGGTACGATTGGGGACTAAAAATCAGGGTATCATGTCACCAGCCCAACGGTCGTTGACTCTTTCGTTGGTACTGGCCAACTTGGCCATCTAGACCATGGCAGTTGTATTGTTGGAAAATATGAGCACGTGTGAATGGGCCCAGATGGGTGCATCGCTAAGGCTGATATATAAATGCAGTCTGGCTTGTTTAATCTGTTACCTGTCACTACCTGGCGCTAATTACTCTTATTCTGGCTGTCATTAATATATTTTCTCTTCGATCTTGGAGTTGCTGCCTTCCGCTGTCAACTTTTGTTCGGTGTCGCAGTTTGAATTGATCTAACAACCCTGGGGTAGAGAGGACCGTAAAGGCTCACGAATATGGCTCGGTCTCAACAAAAAAAGATGGATGGCAATGTCCATATCGCTGATACACCGATTACTGCTCAAAACTGGCATAAGCATGTTAACTGGCTGAATGTTTTTATGATAATCGGAATTCCTCTCTATGGCTGCATACAAGCCTATTGGGTTCCTTTGCAATTGAAGACAGCTATATGGGCTGTAGCCTATTATTTCTTCACGGGTTTAGGTATCACAGCAGGTAAATCATTGCATATGCTCTGAAAAATATCCAGTCATTAACCTTTCCTACCATAGGGTACCATCGCCTTTGGTCTCACACTTCCTACTCCGCACGATTACCTCTCCGAATATGGCTTGCAGCCGCAGGTGGTGGCGCTGCACAGGGCTCAGCCCGATGGTGGGCTCGGCTACATCGCTCGCATCACCGATATACCGATACATGCAAAGACCCCTACTCAGTCAGCAAAGGGTTCGTTTATTCCCACCTGGGTTGGATGGTCCTCAAACAGAATCCCAAACGGATCGGACGATCGGACGTGTCGGATCTAAACGAGGATGCCGTCGTGGTTTTCCAGCACCGTCACTACTTGAAAGTAGTGTTCACAATGGGCATGGGTGTTCCAATGCTCGTCGCCGGCCTCTGGGGTGACTGGTGGGGCGGCTTCATTTATGCTGGGATCCTGCGAATTTTCTTCGTTCAGCAAGCTACCTTCTGTATTAATTCGTTGGCTCACTGGCTTGGTGAACAACCGTTTGATGACCGCAATTCTCCGCGCGACCATGCAATCACAGCTCTCGCGACACTCGGCGAAGGATACCATAACTTTCATCATGAATTCCCGTCGGACTACCGCAACGCGATTGAATGGTATCAATATGATCCCACCAAATGGACGATCTGGTTGTGGAAACAAGTCGGGCTTGCGTACGATCTGAAAAAATTCCGAGCCAACGAGATTGAGAAGGGTAGACTGCAACAAATGCAAAAGAAGGTGGATCAGAAACGGGCATTGCTCAATTGGGGCACACCGCTGAGCGATCTACCGGTAATGGAATGGGATGATTTCTTGACGAAATCAAAGACCAAGGCATTAGTCGCTATAGCTGGGGTGGTTCACGATGTGACTGAGTTTGTTGACGAGCACCCAGGTGGTAGGGCTATGATTAAAGCGGGAATCGGGAAGGATGCTACGGCAATGTTCAATGGGGGTGTTTATTACCATTCAAATGCTGCTCATAATCTGCTGTCGATGATGAGAATTGGGGTGATTCGTGGAGGTAGCGAGGTGGAGGTTTTCAAACAGACCCAGAAAGATCATTCATCTCTACATGGTGGGATTTACTGATGCCATTCATGCACCACGGTTTCTATTATTGACTACATACCCATCTTATGTATACTACCAAGATCTTATCCTAATATCCATGTCTCAGCATGCAACCTCCCACATTCACGAGTTGGTAATCAAGGTAACTTGAACAGCGGCAAATCTGAAAGGGTCAGCAAGGTCTAATTACTGAAGGAAGTAAACCTACGCAGAGACCGCGGCGAATATTTCAACTCGGCGAGCTCGAACTAGGAGCCCGAGAAACATGGAAAACAGGATGTTGTAGACGATGACGGTTAGTATTCTTCCGGCGGTGTCTTTAACAAAGTAAAGTACAATCATGCATGAAGCAGGAAGGACCGCTGCGATAATGATGCTGACTATGTAAGTGAACGACCTAATTCTTTTGTCGCTGTAATGCGTGGTTTCAAGACCTTCGATATCATGGTCCTTGTTGCCGTTAGCCTGAAACTGAGAATTCAAAGAATGCATAGCTTTACTTTGAAATGTTGGCCAAATCGTCCCTGGAACCATTCACTAGATTGCTCAAAAATCCATCGCGACATTTTGTCAACGTCTTGCTCCTTGTCGGATACGGTGATCATGTCATTGTTATTCTTCGAGTCATAAATGTCCATTTCAGCGCATGTCGCGAAGTAGACATTATCCTTCACACTCTGCTGCGCGAGCCATTGTTGAAAATTTAATCGATCGTTCTCATTCGGGTTATTAAATTTTAAAATCTCTTTTTGTTGTATCAAAGCCTTGTCTATGTATACAGGAAGTAAAAAGACAGAACAGTCAGTAAATGTTGCAAACTGCAAACCCACTACTTCAACTGACATTGAATAGTGAGTGTGGTGGGCTTGACAGGACTCACAGTAGTTTTCCATTAGCTCACGAGCCTCCAGAAACTTCAACCATTGCGCTTTGTCTTCTTGTTTTGCACTTTTCAATGAATCCTGTAAGCAACGTACGGAGAACTGGTAGTATGGCCTATCCTCGTCCTCAGCGGCTTCGTCCTTGGCGATTATTTCCTCGAGGTCTTCCTCGATATTTGCCAGCTGGGCTTGATAGTATAGTAGGCTTTTCGCGCCGAGTTTGTCGAAGCGTCTGAAAACAGAACAACCAGGGTCTCTCGCAAAAACTGCTGCAATTTTGTCGTAACCTTTTGGTATCTTCTGGTCGCCTAGAACCGGCATCGTTTCCGATCAATGAGTGTCTCATAAAGCCGCGATATGATGGGAAGACTTGATCAAGGAATAGGCTATCTTGTAGCTTCCTATACGGCTCCTTATAAAGATGGTGAAGGTGTTAAGGAAAGGCACACATATTTACATTGGAGTACATATCCTCGGAGCTGCCCGATTTCTGGGGAGTGTAAAGTCTTTGGCTGAATGAAACAACCTTGAGCAACGAAACCCAATGGAGCCCGCGAGGCAGTTTATAGTTGTCAATTTGGGCAGAAATATCATGAATGGACCACTCAAGATGAGGCTGACAACCATCCAATTATACAGTTCTGTTTAGACGTTCCCATACGCCCCGAGCCTCGGCCAACAAATAATACAAGGGTGTTTCTGTGTGAAAACGATCGCATAAGACGGCCCGATATCACAGCCCCGCAGAAATACGGTTACTTGGTCTTGTATGACTGGAGGGCCTTGACTGGACAATTTTCATCTATTGATCCAGAGGCTAAAGCAGAGTTTTCCACGTAGAAAAATTGTCATTTCGGGCGCATCCTTCCACCAAAATCAAGCAGAAAATGTATTGATCCATGCGCCATAATACAAGGAATGTGAAAGCTTACAGTTAGTATGTGGCACGTCATTGCTGTAATCTTAGCGTTCAACGTGTCCTCTTTTTCTCTTTATTTTTTCTTCTTTGAACCTCGGACCAGTTAGTTTTTATGTTCCCTTCCCTCTGTGACTTGATCTATTGATAGACAATAGATCAATATCTGAATGCAGCAAGTATTATTGTGGGTTCGAGGAGCGCAGCCTGGTCGCAACCCACGGATCTGCTCTGTATAGGCCAAGCTGTCGAACTGAGGCTCTTCCAAGAAGAACGTCAAACTCAGTATCCCTAACGACATAGAATTCTGCAGAGTACGGCTTCTCTCGGCCACAAATAGTCCAGCTTGCTTTGCACTTTCCCAGTGGCTGAACAGTAGGTCGATTCCACCACGTTATGTCGTTGCCCGTAAAACGTTCCAGATGAAAATTTAGTTTTTTGTACACTGCTTCGCTCATAATGTTGATTTCCGTTTCGAAATCGATCACCATGCGCCTGCGAATCCGGGATTTTCGGCGTGTCTGAAGCATGACATCGTATATGTAATCGCATTGACTAAGGTCTTCACATGGATCGTGAGGGTAATTTGTATTTCGTTCACCTAGTGTCCGGTGCAGAGAATCCGTCAATTGCTCCCGATTCACAGAGCTGCTTGGTCGGGCTCTTGTTGTTGAAGACCCATCTCCTTCCATGCTTGTCTGTTCCTGGCTGAGGGAACTCTGACCATGTCTGATCGAGTGCGACTCTATACTGCCCTTGTACCGACCCGTATCCGTAGAAGGGGTCCATTTGTTTGGAGAGGAGCAAAGTAAGATTGCTGAGACAGTATTTTTAAATGAGCCCATGAAAAAAGACATCTTCTTTCGTTAGCTACTTGAACCCGATGAGGAAACCAAAAACCCTTCACTGACCGCGCAATGCGCATGTTTAATGATGGAAGCAGTGCTGCTTAAAAATTTCCACTTACTGAATGTCCATTCGTATCATGCTTATCCCAATGAGTGCGCTGTTGGGATGTGCTGGTTTTATGTGGCCTCTGCTCCCCAAGGCTCCGAGGCTCCGAGCCCCTATTCTCTGTCTGGTGACTCGAAAAAACTCTTCTTGAAAGATTGAAAGCCATTTTAAATATAGTTGTTTGGTTTACGATAAAACCAAATTGGTTGAAATGCTTGGTGGGACTATTTGAAGGGAGACTCATTGGCAAAACTATGGTGAGATCTTGTCTCAACTTTATAGGCTAGTAGGGGAATGCACCTTGACACCCCCGCCCCGACAGCGAAACAAGGGCCCATTCTCTGTGATTATGTGCGTTGATTGCATTTTTCTCGGCATTTCCTTTTTTCGTAATGCGTGAAGAGCCTAATTCCTTCTAGTAGTGACCGATTTGTTCTCCCAAGAGGTCAATATTGCCACGCTTATTATATCTGCTTAGAAATATTTCCACTTTCACCAGTAATGCAGTACAACCTTGATAAGGCGAATTTAAAATCGACGAGCCTTCTTGGGGTAAAAAAAGGAAATATTTGCCGGGGCCTCGCTTTTTGAATAGTATGTGGCCCTGCTACCTGCATGTAATCTAGCACTTGATTCTACGGTGTGTAATTCTCAAACTACCCGAAGGGTTTTAGCTACCTATGGTCTTTCTTCAATAGTAATCCAAAATTGTAATCCATTCCCCGGGAACTTCGTGCAGTTTTTCAGCCGTCATTTTTGGGGTTTCGAGTCTGCTGCGCAGCACGAGTTCTGTCCTCTTCGCGCTTTCTTTTTTCGAAATTCTCTGCATTCTTTCGCTTTTGCTTTTTATCTTGCTCTTGGTCCTGTTTCTCTGCTGCTATATAGTTAGAATATGATACTGAGATCTTTATGGGGAGGGACTTCATACTTTTACCAGGATTTGAAACTCTCAATGTTGCGACAGGATCACCCTCTGAGTCTGGGCTGTCTGGAGGAAAGCAATTGGGGCTCAGAATCACGTGTAAATGTCGTTCGTGCAAGTCCCCTTGCCGGAGCGTATCATCGCTCATAAGAACATAGAATGTTTGGTTTACGCTTCTAGTATCGCCATCCCTCCAAATCTGAAGGTCGACTACATCCCGAACGGCAAATTCAAAACCAGTTCGATCAATCAAAAACTTCTGTTCCCGTCGAGGATTGACTTTGATGCCTTGGAGCAGCCTAAGCCCTCTCTGAGTCAAGATATTGTAATTGAGCTGATCAACCATAACTGCGTTAAGCTGAGGCTGAAGCTCGCCTGGGCCAAAGCACAGGATACGCATCATAGTGAGGCTCGTCTGTCATAAACTGGTTAGGAAGTTCGTTTTGACAAGCTGAATGAGAATAGATGGAACTTTGTATAGAGTGAACGTACCATATAGTTCAGTCAGGCGATGTGCAAGAACCAGGTATAGGACAGTTGTATAGCCTTGTAGGATATTCTGTTGAATGATTGCTATATAGTATTTCACCTACACTATGAGGCTCCATCTTAGAGCCTCTTGGTTCACAGCGACCGCATCAAGATGCTACTGTAGATTCAGCTCCTGGAACCAGCATGTTTGCTTCAGCGAGAGAAACGTACTTGGTCGAGCTTCCAACATCCCCGCGAGAAGTTCACGCGCTACTTGCCGACACCCAATGCCATCGCAATCATCGTCATGTATGGTGTGTTTCCATGCCCAAGGAAATTAACATATATTAAAGCATTGGACATGCCCGAGGAGAAAGGTGGTCGGAACTTCGGAAGCAGTCATGACTCGTAAGTATAAGCTATCTAGGCCTCAGGCAGCTTTCTGTATCCTAGCATTAGTGCGGGTAAACATCATTGGCTGTGGAATCATACACTTGGCCTTTTAGGTCAATCGACGAGTAAGCGTCAATAGCCTTCTGCATTCCGAATGTCCGTAGTCGGTAGGGGATCTCTCTGTTTTTACGAGGCTGTTGTTCTGCTGTCGAATACACCGCTTCATAATCGTGTGTTTCGATCTCCATCCAGGCTCATGGGCTTATCATTGGAGCTCCCTATGCAATTGATAGAAATTGCATGCGAGTATGCTTTATAGGGTCTTCGATTTTGGCGACAGCCGCTCTGTCATTATTAATATCAGTGCCATCTTATGCGTACGAGGAGTTTGATATGTGAAAGAAAAAAGCAAAAAGAGAAGGCAAGCATAATCTAGAGCTAGAAAGAAATGAGAAAAAGAACCAATCAAAACACAAATCCAGACTGGACAGCCTCATGAACACAAAAGAAATAGTTTCGGAATAAACAGTCAGCCAATTCCAACAACATACCAGTACCATGGACCAGGGATTTTGCAACCCTCCTGAGATCCATTTCAACGATCAGCCGACCTAAATTACAGGGCAACGAAAGATTAACTGGATCGTCAGTCAGCCTTTTGCGCGTACATTTGCCCTTTCAATGGGTAGGCCTACGCCCTGGATCCTGACGTGGAAACTTCCTAGCCAATCCAACGGGTTGGTTTGGCTTGCTTGGGCCTCCATGCAGATCTTACTGCCTCACTTCCAATGGCTGGATCGCGGCCCTTGCGCCGCATGCGCCCAAAGATGTTATGACCGCAAGGCTGCGGGCGCTCCATAAAACGCAAACAAAGAGATTACAACCCCTGGCCTGCATATTGCAAAATTTCCGAATGCCAAGACAATCAAACACCGCAATTCAGGCAGCCTACAGCCTGTATCCAAATTACTATGTAAATCGTATAGGAATTTGGAAAATTCCTTTTGGGATCACAAAGATTCGGTTAAGATCATAATTTTTAGTTGAGATCATAATCTCGTACAGGATCAAATCGACTTCCAGAAGATTAACTTTTCAAGAAATAAAGCTTTTAAAAAGCGCAATTTTTACTATACAAATCAGAATAATATAGTTCTATTTAGTTAATCAGTACGGATTCTCTTCCCTCTCCTATCTCTACTATCCCGGAGACCCCCGAGGCCTCTCAGGATATCATTCTATAACGTTGGAATCACTATTCGGTAAATAACGGACGATCTTTAACTTTCCTATTAAACAGTATACAGCTAAATTCATCGTCGCCGCCGTGGTCGTCCCAATCCTTTCGAAGATCTCGATATCGATCATATTATGCGATTTATCTGATCCTCCGCAACCGCTCGTAGAATGAATTACGATCAAATCATTTACGAATTGGACCTTGATTGTAGTGCAAGGTTCCTCCGCCTTTTCGTATGAGAGACGTTATCCGCGCCCATGGAGGTTCTACAAGGTGGTAGGGGTGGTTGGGAATAATTTCATTCATTCTTGTTTTGCTTATTTTTTCGGGGTTTCAAATCATCTCTATAATGTTTAATATTACACTGTGTTTATTACTGTTTAAATAACTAGTTCCAGATCGATTTTAAATATATCGAAAGTAGCGTTGTTTTCGGGAATTTGTAATATGCAGGCCAGGGGTTGTACCTCCCGTCCTCACCGACAAGGCCCTGCTCTCGCTCTAGTCCACGTAAATCATATGGCTCACATCTCTTAGCTCTGACCTAGCATTAGGTCCTTTGTAGCTGGGATGCTGGAACTATCATGACCTGTTCGCTACGTACCAGCCTGTATGGTTCCTTTTTCAAATGTCTGAAAAGTGGCTCCTCATTGCCACTCTACGTGGTAGTATCGCATGTTCATTAGTTATCTAGGCCGTAAATACAAGGAACAAGGATGGCAACAGGAGAAATCAAAAGCATCGCGACCAATTTAGTATAAACTCCTGTGAGCCTCTTGTAGCGCCGCCGACTCCTCTGAACTCTTTAGCATCCTTCCACTGCAGATGTAGTTTGCTGCCTGAACGCCATGTCATGCGAGAGAAATCATCGTCAAACAGGCAGTAAACGTCAATGAAGATGTAGAAACCCGAAATGTACATGAGCATCTGATAGCCCAATTTAGCAACGCAAACTGATATCGTACAGGCCATTAGTCATGAAAAGGAAGTTGATAAGCTTCCGTGCCTATTCCAACATAGATGAAGTCTGAATGCCCATTGTCCCGAAACAATAAGACAATGGAGGAAAGTAAAAAGAAAAAGCCGACAATCGGCAGCGGAAAGAAGCCCAAAGGGAAGGTCTCGGATAAGGAGCGGTAAGAGGATCCCATGAAGCCCTTGCATCGAGAAATTTCTTATCCATTTAGGCCAGAGTCAAGTTTCGATCGACGGCAGGGCGCTCAAGTCCGGGACCGGGTCTAAGAATCTCGTATCTAATGATGTCGCTTTGACCGAGAACCGCGTCGTAATCTTTCATATCGACGACCAAGAAATCGGAGATATTGGTTATCATGTGGCCGGAGATGTGCCATTCAACGTCCCTAACAATACCGTACGGCCTGATCACTCCGATCGGCGAGGATACAGTCTGCAAAGGATACAAAACCCGGTCGTATGGCTCCCACTCGAGGCCCAAGTGTTCAGATCTCTCTACGCTGAGGAGATTGCAACATGACTGTGTGTCTATTACCATCAAAACACCACCCTTTGTGCCATCCGGGCTAATGATATAGGCGGTTTCTAGAAACAGGTTTTTCTTTCCGGTCGGACTCGGCATGACACCAGGAATGTCGCCGGTATCGTTGTCTAGCACAAATGGAGTTGTATGCTCGGTTCCAACGTATTGGGACACAGTAGTCTCGGTGAAATCTGGTACCGCGAGGAATGACGGGTCGCTAGACGACGACGATAATGGTGTCAGCCCACTTGCGAAGTTTTTGGCTGCGAGACCGTCTCGCAGGGGATGATCATCTTCCGGCAGAAAGGGTACTCGAAGACTGTTACTCTGACTATAGATGATATTGCGCCGCGGGGTACTCGGCCCAGAAAGTTGCTCTTCGAATCCAGCTGTGCTCCACGGATCCCAGGTAGGTGTTTGTGTTGATTGATTACGATAAACTGAGGAAGCGACCGTGAAATGACCGGCAGGACTGACTTGTTCCGTCCGACGTTGTCTCAAGTTAAATAGACTTGGGGGTAGGATATAGTTCAGGAACCATATGAACCTTCGACGTTTGGGCTTGCGAGACGAAGGCCGTTGCTGGACGTCCTCACGGGAGCCTAGGGCCGTCGTCAAAACAAAAGGCCAGAGGAGACCTCACCAGCCGTTTATTTGGCGTTACTTCCTCCAGTCAAGGTATTACTCACTGTTTAAAATGGACATGACAATCCTGGTTCTCAGTCCGGAGAGCTGAAAAGAGAGATGATTCGCCTCGACTTTGCAACTTGAAAAAGAAATGGGATATGGTAACACAGACTCCGTGAAGGGCTCTGCAGAGGATTAAGGAAAGAAAGAAAGAAAGAGAAATCCGTTGGTTCATCATTCAACCGAAATAATTGCTGCGGCGGACTTGTGGAGAGCCCAGACGGTAAGAACAGCTCATGACAGGATGGGCACTTTAGCCCAATCATTGCAATTCTGTTTTGAAATTCATGTCGTCTTATTTCACGAAAAATGTTTGGAACAGATGTTCGACTGGTTTCCCATTCTGTGGGGGGCGCGGGCAGGGCAAATTGTTCACCGATTGCCACAAAGTCAGTTTTCTGGAGACTTCTCAAGGCGAAGTCGCCTTTTACCTCGTTTTCTTGCAGTAGGAATTCCTGACTAACTACCTCCATCCATCACTAACCACCGGTCTAGCCGTCGTCCGGTCTTTCTTTGCAATAGGATTTGCTGGCAGCCGGTGCCAAGCTCACTCGTTCTCACTGACGACCCCGTTGCAGAATAATACTAAATGGGTTTATTTCTTTTGGCACTCGGCGTCCTGGTGACTTCGCCTTGACACGTTGGCACCTACATTGTGGGGTTCCAGATAGCATTCGTCACTTGGAATAGAAGCACACGCTTCTGAACCGCTGGAGAAAAGTGTGACGGTACCAACGGAACCCTACATCCGGTGTCATGTCTAAGCCTTGTTCCTGATCTTCTTATGATGGCGGTCCAGGTGTGGCTGTGACTATCTGCGAGAATATTCTACCCCTGATGCACGCCCACTCAACAAAGATATTCCAAACGTCATCGGTTGTTTTGACTCAGTCTACCGATGCAGTCGACGTCTAATCCCGGTTTTCGAGGGTCTGGCCAAACTGAGCTCTACCGCAAGGTTGCAAAAGTTTTTTGGACGTTCATGGTTTGGGGGCGCGGTTGTTTTCTCACGTCGATCCCGGCCGCCCTGAATACAACTGGAGAATACAGTTCCTCCCCGCGAGCGAAACAAAGGAATAGATAAATCTTCAAATTAAACAAATCAACGGCCTATGATTACACCGGCTTAGTTTCTCCGGTCACCTTCTCTCGGTCTCCTGGTCTGCTACGCGCCATAGATGATTGATCAGTTGTAAATTAAGTTCACTCTTGTACCTATGCGGCCATTCCAACTTTTGGTTAGACTGTCAATATTTACTAAGGGTTAAGGTTTCTTCTACTCCTTAGTTTTACAATAATACCTATGTTCCGAGCAGCTCGCCCAACTTACGGTCATGTAACTACGGAGTCGAGGACCATGAGCCCTTACTAGCTCTAATAGGGCAATACGAGTAGATTCGGGGCCAAGAATGTGTGATGAAACATGCAGGGTGGAGAATTCATGCAAGGTCATTGCCAACAAGATGAGTCAGACGTTCATTTCTAATTAACTCACTAACTAGTGGATTGATTTATCTTTCAAATATTCTTAAACATGTTCATCCGGGCCCCCATACCGGGAGAACATTGTTGGCTTATCTGCATAGTTATTCCGCGTGCCCTCTAGCACAACTAATACTTCAAATCATATCCAGGGCTTGACATATAATGAGTTTCGTTGCATGCATTTCATTCTACCTCAGCACCTGCAGAAATTCACCAACATTCTTTCCCACGACTTCTCATCCGCCAACCAAAGCCAAATCTACTTCAACTCCTCTCCCACCCTCTCAGTCCACACCTTCGATCGATTCGTCAATGACCCCTCCAACAGCAATACAATACCTTTCCCATCACCAGTGAGAGCCGCGTTGGCTAGCATCTCGATATTTGCTCGAATATGCAACTGCGTCATGGCCATGTTCCGTAAATGGTTAGCCCCCGAAGCCAAGGCACTCATTCCGAGCATCCAGTTGAAGACCATGGATTCTGCGGCTCGTACGAGGACATCGTCTGTGCAGTTCAGACGAGGAAATAATTCGTGATACGGTACCGGGGAGTGTTGGCTTAATTCTGCCGATTCTTGCTGTACTCGGCACAGGTAGTTGAGAACGGTTTCTTGGGGTTTAAATGCAATGAGCTTGAGAACACAGCTCAATACTGGTCCCGCGACGTCAATTGCCGTGCTTGAGCTGGATGATGCAGGTGGGAGAAACGGGAATTTGGACCGGGAGCCTTCGAAGCTCATGAAGAATGCGTGCGTGTGATAAGTGTGAGAAATCATGAGTAGTGCCACGGCAGAGCGCACTTAAACTTCCACTGTCATTTTTGGATGGGCTCTATTCAATTGGAGCAGCGATGGAATTTCGAACGTCACAAGGTGGCCATTTGCCAACTCTCTCTCGGGACTGATTGTTAGTTCGGTCATTGGGTGAGGCCATACGACATGACAGTGGTCCTTGATGTCATTTAGGTAAGAGACATGGTGGGCAACTGTAGCCTCAGCTACAGGTGACTTGCGTAGAGTATGGTAGGTGTCGGCCCAGGATTTGTAGCTGACATGCGAATGGAGCGGTTGGCCACCTAGCGCCCGGTCCAGGTCGTCGTGCAGTGACATATGGAAGGTCTTGTCGAGAACACAATGGCTGACTAGTGTTTCTTAGCTCACGGCTTCGAGCTTCTATACAATCAAAAGATGTGGATAGTACTGCTCCAGATGGCAGCAGAAGATTTACTGTTTGTGATGACAACCGCAGATTTCATTTCCTCTACATAGAGTATCAACGCTCGGAACAGTGGCCCGGGCAGCTTAACATGATCCTTGAATAGATAGTCCATCGCTATCTATTTAACATCATCCGTGTTTTGGACTTGTCCGTAACCCAAAATACATCGGTCCAGCGTGTCCCGAGACTGTCTTATCAAGACGTAGAGTCCTAGTGTAAGACCCAAGCGGGTTGGATCAACCACCACAAGTGATAGAAGAATTGGATTGTTTGGCAGCAAAGATTCAAGGGAACCCCGCATTGTCTTCTTCGTTGCCCCCTTGGATAACACGGTCGTACGGATATTCCATGTGTCCACGATGCGTGGTTTGCTGATGGCCTGCATAAAGTCCGTGCACGGAGTGACCGCGGTGACATCGTTCCAGTTCAAGGAAAATGGGATAAGGGCTTCCTGTACGGCAGCTTTTGTTTTCAAGTATCCTTGCGGATCGCCTCCAAGATGTATCACGTCGTGTACTCCCGGTGGACTATAGTCAACCGGGGACACAGAAGAGGAAGATAGCAAGCTCTCTGGCGTTGTCTGGTTGCATGTATCCTCTTTATCACGCTGTTCGACCAGTTCTATTTGCTCGGCAATTGTGGACGCATTAATCCAGCCTTCGAGCGGAAAATCAGTCCATTTTCCTTGCGCAGTCGATCTCGGGTAATGAGCATGGTGATACTGTCCGCGAGGTACGTAAGAGGGGCCTCGACGTCATCCTGAGACTGATTGACCCCAAGCACCGAGGCCCATGCGGCAGTAATTTGCTTTCCCGCCAAGACATCCTGCTGCTGTGCCTGACTTGGATTTCTTTTTGTCACCAGTTCTGCCAGTTTTCCTTTTATTACTTTGCCAGAGCCTGTTCTCGGGTAGTCATTCACGTGGGGTGATGGAAGGGAAATCACGTCGGACGGTACGTAGATGTTTCCCAGTACGGTGCGCACAGTGCTTCGCAGCAATTATGCCTCCTCTAGGCTGACCTCCGTTTTAACAACGGCGACGGGGACCTCACCTACGATATCATTGACTTGGCCGACTATTTGTGTGTCCATATCCGCAAGTTCCGGTAACATGGAAAGTACACCTTCAATACTGGCCGGGGAAATGTTTTCACCGCCGCGCACAATGATATCTTTATCACGGCCCACGACAAACATTCGATCGTCGTGGTCTATAACTGCTTGGTCCCCAGTATTGAACCACACTTTTCCATCGACCTCGTTAAACTGCTCACTGTGTCCAGTGAAGTAATCCGATGCCAAGCAGTCGCCTGTAAAATGAAGCTGGCCAGGGACCCCGCGGGGGAGGATAATTTGTTCATCCCCTGAGTATATCCGAGCTTTGCACCCGGGTATTGGCTTGCCGGCAGTGATATCGTGCTTTTTCTGCAAGGTTGTCGGGTCTTATGCCGGTCCAGTTGTGATGAATTCCCCCTCTGTCATACCATAGAAATTCTCAATTTGTGAGACACCAAAATGATCCACACATTTTTGCACTAACGCTGGTGTCAGAACCATGCCGGCAAACGCAAACCCTTTGATACACTTTACCTCGGGCTTTGACACAAGGTCGCGCAAGCTGTGCACCATGGTTGGAACCAAGGCTAAGAAGGCACATCCTTCGTAAACGATAGCCTTAGCGAGCGCAGGAGGGTCAAATTTAGGGCTAGCGAAAACGAGACTGCCTCCATTCAGCAAGGGTTGAAAAATGCATATTTGACCCCATGCATGACTACTTGGCAATGGGACAGCGACCTTTTCACCAGAGGATAATTTGCCCATGTCATACATTTCCCCAGCGCGTTAGACCAGCGATCGGCGCGAATGATACAGCCTTTAGGGCGGCTCGTTGTTCCACTAGTGAACAGAGCCATACTTTCTGACCCGCGTGGAGACGGAGGAGGCTGGCGGCTTGTAGTCAACAGAGTCTCGAATAGAATCCATCCCATTCGCGGACCATCCAGAACAATCAGCAAGTTATTCGTAGGTAATCGAAGTTGATCCACCTTATGAGCAATCGTATTGGTACTAGCCATAACAACACTGGTGTTGTGTTTGCCCTGCTCCACCACTTGATCAACCATATATTGTATATCGTCCGTTTTGTACAATAGGTCCGGGTTCAATGGGACTTAAAGTAGTCCAAGAGAGTACGCCGCCAAGCTTGGTAGGATGTACTCGGCGCGATACTGACATATAGGAAAGAACGGCGTGCCTGGTTTGAGGCGGTAGGTTGAGAGATTCGCGGTCAAGCGTTGGACGGCTTGGTCGAGTGTTCTATATGTCCACCGAAGATAAGAGCCTGATTCTGCGCTCGTGTGACCTAGTCCATATAGGTCCCTGGGCTGATGGGTGCAAATGATAGGTGCAGTCTCAGGATGCGCTGTTGCGACGCTTCTAAACTGATCAATGAGGGATCGAGTCGGCGGGCACGGCCCGCCAACAATTTTCCTGAGAGAAGTCATTGGAAAGACAAGCTTGAGGGAAAGTTGAAATCTTAGTTTAACTGCAGCAGACATTTCAGCTTTTGAGTATGGCCTCTCCACTTCCAATTATGGCGGTCAACAAAACTACATCTTCTCTCCTGCATTAACAATAAACAAGGAAAACCTAGCCAGTTTCAGTGCCTGTCGTTGAAAGAGGAACGCTGATGACATTCATCTTAATTCATCCAAGGTCTTCCGTAAACCGGCGTTTCTTTCCTGCCTTTTTTGGATTATCATGCAACACATGTTGCCATAACTGGAGTTCATGGCAAGATTCTATACCGTTCAGTGTTCCCCGCAAGGGGCACAAAACACTGAAACGGTTTGGGTACACAAATAATTTATGCATCTGGTCTCTTGTGTGTCCCCCTTACTGAAGTTTCGGGATTTGAGAACCCCTAGATGCCAACCATTACACTCCGGTCGTATTCATGCCCCCATGCTCAACGCGGTTGTTCCTGACGGAACTGATCTCGTGAGACTTAAAGAAACGGACAATGAAACTCAAGATATTTTAGAGAAAGCATTAATCGAACTCGCTGCAGCACTGTCACAAATGTTGGTGGAGCCTTGAGGTGACTACATCTTAGTTTAGCAGCGTGTTTGATCTGAGAGAGCTGGTTGAGTAAAAAATCATATCTATATTTGCAAGGAACGCCTAGGAGCCGTTAAGAAAGGTTCAATAAAGCATAGCGAATTTCCTATTTTGAAGATATTAGTTGTAGGCAAATCCGATTCCGAATGTCGTAAAAGTTGAAAATTTGGGGAGGTTTGGTCGAATGAGAGGGGATAAAAGGATGGATGTTGGGCATCCTCAAATGGCTGAGGCTGAGGACGATCAGGTGTCGGGGATTTGATGCCTGAGGTTGGATTCTTTTCAAGATAGTTAGTTACATAATATTTGGCTTAGTCATCTATCCCACGGTTGTGTAGTGTAATGGTCAGCACATGAGATTCTGATTCTCATAATCCCGGTTCGATCCCGGGCACGACCTTTTTTGTTTTTGCTGATAGGCATTCGTAATGGTAGAGTGTTCTCTGTTTTTCTGTGGAAAACACTGGAGTTAAGGGATCCTGGCACCCTTTTGGGGTTCCATAGAAGGAACTCGGGTTATGGTACCGGAATGAATTTTATATTATGTTGAAATACTAGGTATGTGCCACGCCCCTGTATGGAGCTGCAGTTCACGAAGTTGTAATTAAGGAATCGGATTTTTTTAGATGAATAGAGTGTAATACAATAGTTGGATGTAATGCAGAATGTGTACAGGTAATGTGGTGACAATAATTGATACATGTGCATCTTCTGGCCTGCCGAGGGCTCCATTTTGGCAAAAAGGATGGTACAGCGAAACTTTGCAATGGCTTAGAAGGCGTGAAAGACAGACTATGAATTAAGTCTAAGCAGATGGGACCGCAGAGCCGGAGGGCGGCTGCTGTCCACCGCCACCGGAAGAGCTGTCATCGTTGGTGACACCACCGGACGAGGTGAGACTCGCAGCATAGCTGACAGCGGAATCGTGGTTTGCAGTCACATTGACACCAAGAGTGATCCAACCAAGAAGGCCGTCCTCGATGGAGTCACCGAGATAGGCATATTCGAAGAAGGGGTCGGAGTTGCTGTCCTCAGTCTCAACCTGGACGACGTGATCATCGGCGTTCAGGGTGATGTCGACGGAGTTGGTGTTGTACGGGTAAGTGGCCTCGACAACAGATATCAGGTTTTGGTCAAAGAACAGCTGGCCAATGTGAGCGACATGACCGCCGGTAAGAGTGTTGTTGGGCAGCACAGAAGCACCGACGTGGGCGACAACGTGAACGTGAGTGGCGCGGCCATCATAGTGACCGGGGAAGACGGTGTTGAACTGAGCCACACCCTCCTCGTCGGTCTTCTGGATACCACGCAAAAAGGTCCGGTTCAGGTTGGCGGCATCATTTCCATTTCCGTTCATGGAGCTGTCGACACCAGAGTAAACACCGGTGGAGTTGCAGTTCCAAACATCCCAGTACAAGTCCTGGATCGGCTCACAGGTGTTGATATCAATGAACTGTCCATCCAAGATGATAGGGATACCGGCCTCGCCGTCACCAATGTCAGAGCGGATGAGCTCGCCCTTGACCCAGAACGGACCAATCTCTCCTTCGGGTGCCAAAAGGCAGATAGGGTTCTTGGCAAAGAGCTCCGACTCGGGGGTGTTGGAGGTAACATGGAGCGACGAGTGGTGGGTGGTGTTCACAACTTTGTCAGTGTCACGAGCGTTGAGAGATCGCTTCTTGTACATGTCGACGATGGCGGCACGACGGGCTTCCGCGCGAGCATTGATTCCGCGGCGCTCCAACTGACCAGAGCACTTGTCCAGACTCCGGCGAGCATGGTGCAAGAAGCTCCGCTTGCTAACGTCGGTGTAGGAACTGGGCTCATGCGCACCGGGGTGGGCAATAGAGAGGCCGGCCAGGGCCAGACCGGCGAGTTTTCCGATATTGGCAAAATGCATATTGAGAAATTTTGACAGCAGCCGCGATGAGGGAGCGGGGCGAGAGAGGGCTGAAAGGGAAGAAACTAAATGAATGGTTGATGATCGACTCAAAACTTTGAGGATCACCAGTTACTTTATATAGGACTGATTCTCAACAGCAACTCTATTCATGATAGACGACCAAATTCGATCCACTCTGCTCCCCGGGTCTATCTCCGAGGCCACCAAGGTATTCGAACCCCGGCCACAGGTTTTGTCACGATAATAACTCGTCATGGTAGTCGTCAGCCAGCCGGGATGCTGTAACAGATTAATCCACCCAAACACCGAGACTCTAGGCATCCAGATAATTCCCAGATAGGAAAAAAAGCAAGCATACTAGGGTCGACGCGTAGGAGCTCCATCTGGCTGACCATCAGGACGAGTGTGATTGAAGAGGAAGAATCGACCGGATGCTTGGCAGCGCTGAGGCGGAGAGGCTTGGCATGCTTGAGGCACGGGATCGACAGGACGCCATGCCCCATCGGGGAAGGCGCCTAGTCCCCAGCCGGAGCACTCTTGCTCCGCTGACTCATCGCAGCATCATCCACTCTGTAGTTCTGCAAGCAACTATCTACCCGTTCTTCCCCTGAATCAACTGCCGTCTTCCAATCACTGTCGACTCTTTGAAAGCATCGGGATTGATCCAAGCCGATTATTCATCGGAAGGAGCCCTGCGAACCAGTTACGGTCGTCTCCGAGTATGCACTCCCCACTAATTGTCCATTCGAGATAGATTTCCAGCTCACGTGCCTGCAGAACTTGTCCCGATTCACGGTGCTCGTGCCTTGCTTGCACGCTGGTCTGCAGAAGAAACGGTTGGCCTCGAACATTCGAAACCTCATAGATCTACTATGAGTGGTCCTCCTGTTTCCACACGGGGCGGCAAGGTCCGTAGCGCCTGCGATTTATGCCGGCACAGAAAGGTAATGTGGAAATTCTCATGTCGAGGTCTGGACCACAAGGCACAGCCACTGATTTGCAGGCCCTTAGGTCCGCTGTGATGGGGTCAAGCCTGCCTGCGAGACGTGTCATTTTGCGGGCGTGTCTTGCACGTTTACCACGACGCCGTCAGAAATCCGGAAAAGCACCCGAGAGTAAGACCCAAATTTGGTTGAGGTTTGAGTGCACTACATCTGATGAGTCTAATCGTGTGATACGTAGGCAGCTCTCTGAGGCGAATTCTAAAATCAGAGCCTTGGAATCTTTGATTGCAGCTCGCGATAATCTTCAAAGGCTTGGTCATAGCGCCCCGGGCCAGGCTTCGCCGCGAACCGGCATTTCTCTGTCGCTCGGCGACTCGTATCTGTTAGATACGCATCACGTCGAGACGGCTCTGGCCACATTCCGCCAACACATTGCCTACTGCGGCCCTGGAGTGCCCTATTTCAGCTTACGGGCATATTTCTATTCTGCTGTCAGCGAACGCACTGGCTCTGATCTGAACCTCGACCTCTTTTTACATCAAGTGGCTGAATCTTATAAATTGCATCACCACGTAGAGGAACTGCGACCCATTCCTCAAAAATGGCCAACGCCTCAATTGATTCAGCAATGCATAGACCATTTCTCCAGAAGTGGATTTTATTCGGTCTTTCCGATCGTCGATACCACCGTTCTAAGGGAGCTGCTCAACGCTGGTATCATGGATAACCCAACAGACCCAACCCACACTGCCAATTGCGCATGTCTCGTGGCCTTCACTGCTCTTGTTACCGAGCTTCATCGTCTTGAACCTGCTTTTGTTAACGCAGACCCCGATGCTTATCTCTAAACAGCTTTGGGTCTTCTACCAAAGCTGCTGATGGAAGCGCCTGATATGAGAACTCTGGAAACTGTGGTCATCATAGTGAGTTAAAACCATACAGTGCCATAGTAGGACACTAATGTAATATCCAAGATGGTTTACATTCTGCCCATCGGCCAAGCCCAATCCGCCGGTATGATGCTTGCAATCGCCGCCCGAATTCTCTACAGTCTTGGTGGGCACAGAACGAGGCAGCTTGACGAGTCGCAAGACCACCTCCCGCACCGGAAGCATTTACGCGCTCTCTTCTGGCTCTGCTATACTTTGGACAAGGAGATGTCTATTCGATACTGCGTGGCGCCTGTTATTAATGATGCCGATTGCGATTTAGAGCTACCCGAAAACTACGTCATGAGTCATTCGGACCATCAGTTTCTTCAAAAACCTCTATCGTCCGACGAGCTCCTCTACCCTTCGGATCTCCGACTTGCGATGATAAAATCCAAGATTTATCGTCTCCTCTACCACGACCACGGCTATACAGAGGATGAAGCGAGGCATCTTCAGCACATTCGGGAGTTAGATCAAGAACTAAGCGAGCTGAAATCGAGTTTTCCGATCGGCTTCGAGCCCGACTCTTTGGCGACCGAAAATGAGCCTGATTATGGGTTTCACGATCTTAGTTTACGGGGAGTTAACCTGCACTTGGAATATTATCTTTGCCTGGGCAAAATCCACGAAGCAAGCAGTGCGTGCGGAACACCATCGCCCAATAGCTGGTTGCCGCTCCCTTCAAGCGTGGAGATCTGGTCTCATGCTGCAAGATCTACATTGCTGTATGTTAGCCGGGCGCGCGAGTTCTTGAACTGGCACACTTTTTGGTGAGTCTATATCGTGCGGTATCATCACTAAATACACTAAGTTATTGACGTTTCTACAGGTTGCATGCACAGTTTATTCTGACCGCTGTTTTGTCGCTTTTCTGTTACATGATTACATACCCAACTGCGCCGACCTTTCCCAGGGATATCCAAATCATGCAGGATACAGTAGAATTGTTCGGCGACCTTCATCGAAAGAGCCATGAAACTCAATGCTTTCCACCAATGTATTTCGCCGAGGCTTTCATTCAAAGGTTAGTGTTCTTGGCTCAAGAGGCCTTGGTAAAAGCGACGAGGTGATCACAGTATTTCATTCGGAGCCCACATCCCAGACCGAAAACATTAACGAGAAATAAGCCGCACCATTTGACTAGGACTCATAACCTATTAAATATGGAGCCTGGACAATGATACCGCGCGGTTGATCGCTGTTTTGTTTTGTTGTCCAGTGAGATATCGCCAACACGCGCGGATATCACGCAAGCCAACCCCTCCAAATGATGCCATTTTGGCTTAATGTCCATCAGCAGACTCCTGACGGATCGCGGGACCGGGGAAATACAGTTATTAATTGTCGGCTCCTGGCTGTCCTTCTTTTTCATCCTTCCAGGTGCGCAAAACAGGGATCGACTCGCTTGTCGCGACGGAAGCACTAATACGGAGACTCTCACCGACTACATCTATCATCGGGTCATAAAGCTGTGAAATCACGACAATTATATTGAGCTTGCGACTCTCCGACACTGGATACCGAGCCGTCTTAATACCTGCATAAGGCCCTTGGCGAAGTCTAGACACATCGCCTATCATTCATATCATCAAGCCTGAGTGGCTACGGCATGGTCGCTTAACTGGGGAGACATTTTTGCCGAAAGATAACAGTTTTGACCGTTGGAAACTAGTTCAAACGTAACAAATTTGGCGTATTGCGTGCCAGCGTTATCTTGACACCCCATACCAAAATCTCCCGAATAAAAGCCCAGACTGTCGCCCAGCCATGACAAAATTGCCAAAACTGGGCATTTTCAAAAGCTCCTTCCGGTATTCGAGAATCATGTCAGATGACAAAAGGATAACCGAGCCGTTGGTGGAGGAGTCGCCTCGGCAAACCTACACCCATCTTCCTGGGGGCGTGCATTCTCTGCCAAACAAAGATGGGGTACGGACAGAAACATATACATCAGACGCTTCGGTGGATGGAGAAAATCCTTTTTCTGATCCGGACATTGCCGCAAGGTATGCGCTTCTATATGAGAAGGCTCAGTATGAATGTCGGCATGTGTTTGATCCTACGATGACCTGGACCCCGGGGGAGGAGAAAGCACTGGTCCGGAAATTAGATTGGCATGTGTGCTTGTGGGCGGTGGGTATTTCCAAGTGTTCTCCTTATCCAGCTTTTACTAATGAAAATTCAGTGTGTCATGTTCTTCGGGCTTCAGGTCGATCGAGGCAATCTGATTCAAGCGGTGTCAGACAACATGTTGGACGACCTCAACTTGTCTACAAATGGTAATCCCTTTACCACTTCCCTCAGCTCGGAGAAGGAAGCTTACGGCATGTAGAATACAACACTGGAAACATAATCTTCTATGTATCCTTCCTTCTAGCTGAGCTGCCATCGCAGCTGGTCTCGAAACAGATTGGTCCTGATCGATGGATCCCTATGCAAATTTCATTATGGTCGATTGTTGCCACCACGCAAGCCGGGCTAACGGGAAGAGCGTCCTTCTACGCAACGAGAGCCTTGTTAGGTATTCTAGAGGTTGGTACTTCCTATTATTTCCAAATGGTGCCAACTGACCCCGATTAGGGTGGATTTATTCCGGATATTGTCCTATGGCTGTCATACTTCTACACGAGTCGAGAGCTCCCGACTCGCCTTAGGTGAGAGCGAAGTTAGTTCTACGGCGATAATAACTGACATAGCATAGTATATTTTGGACAGCACTTTCTGTGACCACGATTGTCACCTCTTTCATGGCCTTTGGACTCCTTCACATGCGTGGTGTTCTGGGGTGGGCAGGCTGGAGGTCAGTAATACCGGCTACTTTAAACATTAATTGCATAAATTACAATCGCCGCAGCACCTTGAGAGAGACTAACGAAATTTAGATGGCTCTTCCTCATCGAAGGTCTCATCACTCTTGTAATCGGCTTGATATCCTTCTTTAGAATGCCCGCATCGGCAGTGGAAACGAAGAAATGGTTCCGTCCTAAAGGATGGTTCACTGACCGTGAAGTCCGAATTGTCGTGAATCGGGTTCTCCGAGATGATCCATCAAAGGGTAAGCAGAGCCTGTCGTCCCATTATCTGAAACAACATCTAATACAGTCAGGCGACATGCACAATCGACAAGCCATCACCCCACGGCGTCTCTGGAACGCTCTCTGCGATTTCGATCTGTGGCCTATCTATCTGCTTGGCATGGTTGTATACACTCCCATGGTCCCAGTGACTCAGTACATCACCCTTACGCTCAAAGGGCTTGGTTTCAGCACAGTAGGCCATTTCCTTCCCACCTCACGACTTCTATACTAACAAGATAGTTCGTAACCAATCTTCTTACCATCCCCAGCAGCGTGGGCCACATCATTCTCCTCCTCACTCTGACTCGTATAAGCGAGTGGTTGAACGAACGAGCCCTCACATCTATGGCCCAGAGCCTTTGGACGCTGCCCTGTGTCGCAGCATTGCGGTTCTGGCCTCAAGTTATGGAAAACGCCTGGGGAACCTACGCCGTGGTGGTGGTATTGCTCTCTTATCCCTATTGTCACGCGATCTTGGTAGGCTGGATATCCAAGAACTCGAATCATGTGGGAACAAGGACTGTTTCTGCTGCGATCTACAATAGTACGTCCCATTCCTTTCCCTCAACCCGCCCCCCCCCCCCAAAGCTCGTCTAAGTCTAGGAACAGTGTGTGTGCAGCTAGGCAGCATCATCGGAAACAACGTTTACCGCGAAGACGACAAGCCCAAATACCACAGAGGAAATTCAGTTCTGCTGGGTCTCAATGTCTTGGCTATTTGTCTGTTCCTTGCGACCAAGGTGTATTATGTGCTGCGAAACAAACAAAAGGATCGTGTGTGGGCTACTATGACGGAGGAGGTATGTTCCTGACTCTGAGTGTTTGATGATTTCGGATATACTAACCTCAGGCAGCAACGGCAAGACTATGTCGATAATACCAAGGAGACGGGGAGCAAACGACTGGACTTTCGGTTTGCTCACTAGGGGTTCGGTTGTTCTTTCTGATCTGGTCCCAGAGATGTATTTCTTAGGCTGCAATATATGTACACCGTCTCCAGGTAGGTTTTACGATGATTTGCTATTTTGGGCAGCCGCTTCAGGCTTTAGTATCCACCCGTGCCAGTGAAGCTTGATGAGTTCAAACATCTAGTTGAAGATGACATGCCAGAAATCCTAACAGTATTGGTTCTGTAAGCAACAAATATTCAACAAGGTTTAAAAACAAAGACGATCATCTCAAAAGCACCACCACTTTAATCCTTCAATTCTTCCCCATCAACTCAAACTCATCCAACCAACTCCTCTCATCATCCCCATCATGGCACCGCTTCACCTCATCCTCATCCATATTAACATCCTCAACATCTACAAAGACTTCTTCCCCAAGCTGGACCCATCCTGTCGCAACCTTCGCATCTCTTGTCCCCCTCAACCGTTCCATCAAGGACACCCCGCCATCCTCACCTCCCCACAACCCTGGATCCTTCCACACATTCACCCGAAACAATTCCCCTGGGCGGAAAAAGAAGTCCGGGCCCAAGTCTTTGTTCAACGGTGGGAACGGGTGTCGCGAGGCTTCGTGGATATCAGCGAAGGTGAGGATCAGGCTGTGTTTGATCTCGGCGAAAGGGACATATATGTTGTTTTCTATCCAGAGATGGATGTTGCTGGCGTTGAGAACGATGTTGGGTGCGCGGACCATTATGTGCGAGATGTGCCAGTCGAAGGGCCTGCCGTAGAGGTAGAAAGGCATTTCGTCCGGGTAGATCGGGTCTTGGGTACGCCGGGATAGGGAGTGGTGGGCGATGAGGTGGGAGAGGGTTAGGGGTCGGGGGAATGCGAGAGTTGGCGTGCTGTGGTCTTGTGAGATCGTGATGTCCGAGAGGGTTTTCCGTTCGTTGATGGTATTGGGGAAGAAAGAAGAGAGAGGAATCCTGTATTTACCTGGGCTCCTGGAAGGATATATCATTGACTACCGCTCGGCTGTCATGTTCGAAAGAACTTATGATTCTGGCCAGAGAAATACCGGAGATTCCTGTGACCGAGCATATTGTTGAAGGTCTGCTTTTCTTGGCGCGTTTGTGGAGTTTTTGGATCGCTGATGGTAGAGTGGCTGCGAATATGACCTGTTGTCGGCGATTTGCCTGGCGGAAACAAGGTCTACTGACTAGGTATACCTCGTTACAAGTGCCGTGAATATGGAAGTCGACAGACTCGGTCGTCAATATGTTGCGGTTGCGACAAGACTATACTCAAATTTAGCACATGTCTTCTGGGGGAATGCAGATAAGGCTAAGAAGGTAGATGGATGTTTATACCTCAACCTCCTCCTGTACAACTGCTCGAATTTCTCTCATTATCGTGGGGAAACAATCACTGCGACCCATGAACGGATTCATGACCGTGTTCCTGAGCACGACCAAGTTGTCTTCTGACTTCTCCAAACCGAGTCTCTTCTTGTATGACTCTAAGCACCTTCCATATCTGTCGACAGAGAACTCAGTGGAAGTCAAATAAAACGGCACTTCAGCGGGGTCAGCATTTGGCGAATCGATCGAGAGTCTTTGAACCACTCGTGTCATCAACTCATTTGCCTCTTCGATATCAGTATTTAACGATCCGTCACTATAGCTCCAGTTTAAAGCAAAAGCATTGATATTAAGATCCGAGCCCAACTTCCGCATAAGGGGCATGGTTCGGTGGTCTCTTTGCTTGGCTGTGTTACTTTTCATGATATCCTCATAGGATCTGTCAAGAATGTCCCACTGAATGCGATCCCTTTCAATTGAAACTTTGTTGAATGGGACACAGATAAAAGAGTCTTTCGAGGAGCTTAGGATTGCCCAGTGCGCGGCCATCTGCAGGTATGAGCTGCTGTCTGTATGCAAGGATTGGGATCGTACCTACCTTTGCACTATTGAAAGACACTTCTCCGAGAAGCGCGCCGTAGCCGGAGCCATTCAGTCCGATGCAATAATTAGACAGCCAAATGGACATGGCCGCCGCGCCTGGTCTGCTGCAAAATGTGAGTATACACTTTTCTTTTCGCTGTCAGGATAGGCTACTTGTGGAATACGTACCTTCCTTGCAATCCATTCGAACCGATACTTCTTTCTGAACCCTGCGCCAAGTATGGCACTGTAGAAGATATCAGATTCCCCATCCTCTTATCACGATAGACCACTCCTCCCGCTGGATAGGGAACATATCCCGCTTTATGTGGATCTACTGTGATGGAGTCGGTATGCTGAAGCGCAGCCAGTGAGCTTTCCGTATCTTCACTTAATTTCATTAGATGAGGGACTTCTCTGCTTCTCCCTTTGAGCCTGGAAGCCTGAGAGGAAGTTATGGGTAGATTATCATCGTCGCGGGGTAACATCGTTGTGAAATAACCACCCCAGGCTGCATCCGCGTGAACAAGGAAAGACAGACCTCGGGCTTGGTATTGACTCCTCAGGGCGAGGATCTTGCTTAGGCCATCGACTGCTCCAACTTCTGTGGACCCGATTATCGCAATGACCGCGTAGATGGCTTGTTTTCTTTCGAGGCATCCATGAAGATGCATTTGAAGCATCTCGAGGTCAACTCTGCCCTTCAGGTCCACTTCAATACCGACCACATTATTCGATCCGATTCCTAAGACCCCTGAACAGGTATGTATATGTTAGCACTCGCTTTTTCAAGAGAGGACCCACAGAGGCAAAGAAATGAAAAACAAGCATACCACCGCCTTTCTCCCACGAATAATGATTCGTCTTGCCCAGGACAAACTGCGTTTGATTCTCAATTCCAAATATACAGTCCAATGCTTCCGTTCCGATTTTCTGCACGCTATACCTCGTCAACACGGTACCCAAGAAGCGTGCTGAGATCCCAAATGTCCGGTTAAGCTGAGCGGGGAAGTTCAAGATTGTCTCAGGTCGCAGGTTCAACAGTTCCCACGTGTCCAGATTCTTGAGCAACTTCTCCTCCCCGGTACAAGTCCGAGCTAGGAACCGATCCGCGACGAACGCAAGATCGCCCTCTGTGATAGCAAGCCAGAGCGTTAGGGGATAATATTTCAAGTTTCGGGCTGTGAGTAGGAAATGTTAGGGACTTGTTTCACATCCCATCTGGCATTGACGATGAACATGAGAAAGACGCATTGGAAAAGGCAAATAGCACGACTCACCAACCCACATAGCTTCAATGTTCGCCACCGTCCCATCGCAAGTGACGTGGCCCCATCCTGGGACCTTCCCATCGTCGCCATTGCCAACGTTGTACCCAAATAACTGACAGAATTGGCTTTCGACTTCCGCCTCCACGGCCGTAGTCAAGGGACTCACTTCCGGGGTTATATTGTTGGGATTATAGAGCATCGCCATGAAATAGCCTAGCAGGGCGGGCATGCTGAGGTCGCTGCACATGTGGCCACCATATCGAGGAGACCAGTAAGGGATGGAGTGTTTGGCCAGTATCTTACTGGCGGAGCTGATAGCTTCTGAGATACGCATGGAGAAGGACTGAAACTCGGGGGTGTACTGCATGTTGGTCGTAATTGCCCTCTTGGAAATGTGTTAGAGGGTTCTTGGTCATCTTGAGCTGAAGGGTAAAGGGAGAGAAGGGGATACTTTGTCGTGTGGAGCATAGCTTTGTCGAGCGCTTTCTAGCTCATTCAGGATGGTAACGATGTGTTCCTTGAAGATGTACATATTTTCTGCATGAGGGCCTAAGAACCAGGTGCTGATGGCTTGGTGGATGGGATCATTTTCGTCCATGTCGGGTTGAGGTGATGCCAGGGGTGGAGAGCAGGAAGTGAAGCTTGTATTATTGAATGGTTGATCGTGGGATGTCTGTTGGAGTGCTAAGCGAAGTTCAGATAGTGAATAAGGATAGGCTATCGGAGATATCTGCACCATGCTGGAAACTTCCGGAACTGGTTGCATACAAACAAAGCGCTAGTAAGTACCTGGTGTTGCCATGCAGGACAGACCTGCATCGTCAATACCCACTTTATATATGTTCATACATGCCGAGCGGGACTATATCCGACCAGTAGATACACCTTCTAGAAGAATCGTAGAAAACCTCCTCATTGAGCCTATTTGGCACATGTGTATACTCCGAAACTCAAAGCGTGAGCTCTGTGGCTGATTACAGTTGACATCATCATCCTATTCTGCATATAATACATAACTCTGTAGAAATAAATAATCTAGATCTATTTCCTAATCGGAATATCTAAAGAAGAGCAGCCAATCCCACCGCTGCCGCTCCCAGCATCATCCCCGTATCCCCCGTCACTCTGGCCATTCCGCCACCACTACTTGTCGAACTGGACCCTGTCTGCGTCGCCGTCGCCTTCCCCTTCCCCTTCCCTGTCCCTGTAGCCGTGGAGTGAGAATAACTAGTGCCCGGCCAGGTGGGTGTCGCACTCGTCACCTTGCCACCGGTTATCGTCACCGGTAAGCGCGAGAAACTCGTAGTGGTTGTGGAGGTGTGGAGGCCCGAACTGGAGCCCGAGGCGGAGCTAACGGTTGCTCGGCAGACAGCCGTTGACTTCTTCTCGTCGACGGAGCAGATGATGGCGAAGAAACTTGCCGAGTATTAGCAGCTGACCCTTCTTCGTATCGCCATTGAGGGTTGGATTGACTCACGTGCCGCCAGTGGGATCGTCCATCATATACGTCGTTGTGGAGTCTTCGGCCAGCAGCGTCAATCCGGCGCCCATTCCGCAGTCATCTTTGTCTGTACCAGGACGACAATTGATATTATAGCTCGTTACGGTAGCGTCCTACATGCACGTATTAGATCGACGAAAAGATATGAAGAAAGAGAAAAAGAAAAAGCGTCGACCGCGAGAATCGAACGAGACCCGTTTCTGCTGCCTCAGGCAACAACCCCGGTCGGTCGGAACGGGTCGAACGATTGCGGGAAAAAACGGGGACTGACGTTTCCAATGATGGAGGCCACCAGCGGTTGCTCGTCGGCGCCGTAGACGAACATCGAGCTAATCGGGTCTTTCGCCGCGACCAGGCCGATCAAGGCAAGTCCGGCGAGAAATTTCAATCGCATCGTGCACGCACAATTGCGAGGATGAAAGGGGGGAAATCGGTCGGGGGTTACGGTCCAGGGGGAAAAGGGTTCAGTGAATGGGGATGGGATCATGATGAGAGGATGGGAACACCGGAACAAGGCCGCAAACAAATCGTGGCTCAGGGTCCGGACTAATTTAGCCCGATTTTGGCGCCGGATCAACACTTGAGTTCCAGGGACTAACTCAGGGCCAGACTCACCACAGGTCAGATATTTGACGTCATGACATGCTTTGCCGTTTCATGTCGGGTTGGATGCCTCAGGGTGAACTTGCGGGCAGATGCTCTGTCGAAGCCCTAATCGGATTTCCCCGAGTCCATTATCACAGCATCTTATCGCAGAATCTTCTTTCCTTGATTCCGCTAACTACTGTAATGGCCAAGAAAATTAATTATAGACATTCCTGCAGGACCTCCGACCGGGATCTGCGCCACACTCTTGATTGCTCGAGATTCTAGACTGTCTGTGTGCCAATGATTGCTGCCTGTTTGCCGCTTGGCCTTTGCTCTCTTTGCTGGACAGGACTGGGTGATCTCATAAAGAGTAAACATTGTGCCTGTTAACCATCTCAAAGGCCGGTCGAATCCGTCGTTATAAACCTCCATACTTATTGGAAAAGATAGAACATTTGCAATTTTAACTGAACACGAGGAATAATACCAAAAGTTCAACCCCTGATGTAAGTGAGACTTTTTTTAGTCGCGTCAAACATTGAGGATCATTATAAATTATTCGGCGAATTCATTTCTCAATATATGCAACTTGAAGTCAACGACAATCAGGCCGCATTCTGCTTTTCTCATGTGCCTCCCGTAGATCAATTGGTGTTCTTCTGAAAACAAATATTATGCCCAAAGCAACACCACAGCATAAGGGTCAAATATCATCTCCTAGATAAAGTGGACATGACAATAGGCATTATTGTTTAAGATCTTACCTGTTGGCACCGAGAATCCATGGCTTGGCATCTTGGAGATGTGGAGAGCTCGGCATTCAGATAGTTAGGGTTTTTTTTTTGCGATGAGTAAGTACCTCCAAGTCTTCAGGGCTCCAGGTCTCCACCTCCAATCTTGGAGATCAGAGCAAAAGGTAGTGGAGGCATGGGAATATGTTCGAGTGGGTTCTAATCCAAATATTTTGTCGGTAGAAAACTCGAGTGCTAAGCGTTGGAGGTGTGTTGAAAATCCCGCCAGTGGTTAATATTCCCCATTGGAGATGGTGGAGAGGGATTGATCAACAGGGCCGACCGTATAAAGCCGAGCTAATTCTCCATAACATGTTATGTAGTCTACCATATCACGCATTCGTTCTCCTAACCAAGACTTTCGCCGTTTTCGAGGTAAGATAGCTCAATATAGCGCAAATTTGAAGAAGCCCATACTGACAGCAATGCAGAGGATGTCTCAGCTTTCATACCATAACGACCCTGGAGCTGGTCAGAAACACAGTGATCTCTGCCACTACTCCCAAGCTGTCATCGTTGGCAACATCGTTAAATGCTCTGGTCAAGGGGGATGGGATCATCAAGGAAATCTGGGCGAGAATAATCCGAATGAGCAGATTGACCTCGCGTTTGAGAATGTCGATCGTGTGTTGCAGTCTGTCGATCTACGTGGATGGGAAGATGTATACCTAGTCCGGTCATACCATGTTGATATGGGCGCTTCATTTGACCGCGTGGTGGAGAAGTTGAAGAGAAGGATCCCAGGGCACCGTCCTGTCTGGACGGCCATTTCTGTGCCTCGTTTAGCGTTCCCCACGATGCTGATCGAGATCGAGGTGGAAGCTATTTTCAAAGAATAGGGGCTTGTTGAAAATCATATGACTTGTGTATTCATTTGTTCAGATACAGACGGCCGATTCCCATTCACAGACGAGCATGGAGCGATATGGAGGCGTATGTACCGGACTGGTGTATTTGCGATGACAATAAAAGAGCAAGCGACTTGCAAAATGATCCAAGTCTTTTTGAACGAGGTTTGGATAGCCTATTCTACCTACCTAAATTGTCACAGGGCTTTGAAAGATCTGGGAAGTTGGCACTTGTATCACGCGCGGGGGAGTGAGAGAAGAGAGAGAGCCCTAGCCCTATCTTCTCCGGGTCTCCCATCGCGGCGTCACCGCTTCTCCGTGCAAACACGACAGCAGAACCTCAGAGAGGGGTAAGTAATTGTGGAATGCAAGTAAGCTCGAGTTAACGGTCACCCCGATGGTATCCGCTTCTAACGGTGCGCCACCAGTCCTCGCTATCTGTCGAACCGGTCGTACAAGTGTAAATGTGTGGAACTGAGGGGGGAAAAGGTATGATCGATGGCCTATGCAGACAAATTTCTTTAGAAAGCCGACTGAATGTTCTCCGTCTAGGAACACACGTGGAACAAAACGTACTGTCGCACAACGTAGTGAATGTTCCTGGCATTCCCGCCGCGGAGGGAATTCGCAAAGAGGCAACGATCACCTCCTCGCGCGACGAGACATTCATGCAAGGAGGGGAAAACCGCAATTCTGCAGGAACAAGCGATATGCGCCGATTGGACACAGCTCCAGTTAGCCTGTTCTATCCGAAACTGCCACATCCGAACCCCTCACGAAGCTCATTTATCCATTCTTCGACTCATCACCGGGTGGCGACGACGCCATCCCGACCACAATCAGTCGACAACGCCAACTCGCAATCCGTCCCAAGAAAACCGAGATGAGAGAATGTCTTGGCCGGTGCAACCCTAACCAGCATCGCCGTCGGGGTCCCGTCGAATTGGCTCGCCGCCATACGCAGTTCTTATCTCTGCCAAGCGCCGCGACGCTCTTGGCCCGGCAGTCACTCCAGCGCCAAGGGAGGTCCAGCCGGCTCAGAGGCGGGAAATGCCTGCTTATGCCGTGCAATGGCGCTGATATGGCCTGCGATGGCGCTGGTCCTGGGATGCGGGGGAGGGATTCCTGACTTTCCGCAGGGAGACGCTAGTTGTGGTCACTGATCATGCGGTGATAACCAGACGGGGGAGAAGTGAGGGCAAGCGCAGGGCAGGCGCGACTATAAATACCTCCCTCCGCAGGCATTGCCTGAGGACCTTGAGGATTGCTTTCCGGCACGGATGGTCTGTCAATTGGCTGGTCTGTTTATTTTTATATTATTTTATTTTGTCTCTCGTTATGAAGATTGCTGTGTTGGCCTCGTTGGTCAGCTTGGCCTTGGCTAAGGGTCACCATGGCAAGCCGCCTGTGTCTCCGGTTGGTTTTGCAATTGCCCTGTCGCTCAGCTCACCGCCAGGTCCTCGATTGACTGACAGTTCCTCTGCTCTAGAAATCCTTCCCCGATGATATCAAGCTGAAGGATCTGCTGCGGGGATCTAAGGTGCTGGAGGACTTCGCCTATTCCTACCCCGAGCGCAACCGTGTCTTCGGCGGTGCCGCGCATCAGGACACCGTGGACTGGCTGTACAAGGAGTTGAAGAAGACGGGATACTACGATGTCTGGAAGCAGCCACAGGTACACCTGTGGACCAGGGCCGACCAGAGTCTGACTGTGGACGGCGAGTCCATTGAGGCCCAAACCATGACCTACAGCCCCAGCGTCGACGTCAGCGCCGACTTGGCCATCGTCTCCAACCAGGGCTGCTCGCCCTCTGACTACCCCAGCGACGTCGCGGGCAAGATCGCCCTGGTGCAGCGAGGAGAGTGCACCTTCGGCGAGAAGTCGGTCTATGCCGCCGCCGCCGATGCTGCTGCCACCATCGTCTACAACAACGTCGCAGGCACCGTGGCCGGCACTCTGGGCGCCCCTACCAGCGAGCTGGGCCCCTACTCCGCCATTGTTGGCGTCACCAAGGCCGATGGCGAAACCCTGCTTGATCTGGCCAAAGCCGGAGCCGTGACGGTCGACCTTGTGGTGGACAGCCAGCAGGAGAACCGCACGACGTACAATGTTATCGCGCAGACCAAGGGCGGCGATCCCAACAATGTCATCTCTCTCGGAGGCCACACCGACTCTGTCGAAGCCGGTCCCGGTATCAACGACGATGGCTCCGGCATCATCAGCAACCTGGTCGTGGCCAAGGCGCTGACCAAATACTCGACCAAGCACGCGGTGCGCTTCTTCTTCTGGACCGCCGAGGAATTCGGCCTGCTGGGCAGCGAGTTCTACGTCAACAGCCTCAACGCCACCGAGCTGGCCAAGCTGCGTCTCTACCTGAATTTCGACATGATCGCCTCCCCCAACTACGCCCTGCTCATCTACGACGGCGACGGTTCCGCCTACAACCAGTCCGGTCCCGCCGGGTCCGCCCAGATCGAGTACCTCTTCGAGGATTACTACAAGTCCAAGGGTCTGGCCTACTTCCCCACCCAGTTTGACGGTCGCTCCGACTATGAAGCGTTCATCCTCAGCGGCATCCCTGCCGGTGGCGTCTTCACTGGTGCCGAGGGCGTCAAGACCGAAGAGCAGGCCAAGCTGTACGGCGGCCAGGCGGGCATCGCCTACGACGAGAACTACCACGCCAAGGGCGACAACTTCACGAACCTTAACCAAGAGGCTTTCCTGTTGAACTCCAAGGCCACCGCCTTCGCCGTGGCCACCTACGCCAACGACCTGTCCACCATCCCTAAGCCCAACACGACCTTCTCCGTCTTCCAGCGTTCCTCCGAGCGGAAGCGTCGCAATGCCATCCGTCGCCAGAACCCTCGGGCTTTGTCGCACTCGCATAAACACGGCACTGGATGCTTCCATTCTCTGGTGGAGGCGTAAATAACCTTCTTGTGTATATATCCATCTTTACGGTCTCGGGTTTCTTCTCCCGGGAGATAAGCAAGGAAAGCGGTCTAAAAGAACCTCAGTTCACGTCTATGTATATAGACTTTTTCTATAGCATTTCAAATGATCAATGAAACATCAATACCAGGCATGTACTCTTCTTCCGTTTCATCCTTCAAACGTGTAGTAGTAAACCCTACTACTGATACATTCATCCATTCATCAACAATAGACGCTCGCTCATTCGAACCCACCAACTCCAACCAGCCATTCCCTCAAAACGCTCAACCCTTCCTTAAAGCCCAGCCTCCCTTTCAAGCCACCCAGCACCTAACCTCCTACATGACCACACACGATCCCCAAGATAGTCACTGCGCCTTGGGCGGGTACATCTTTCCGTCCTTCTCCACCTGCGGCGTGCAGCTGCATCGCTCGCTCTCGGGGATCGAGTCCATGACGGACGGGATATGGCTGCCACAGCCGAACCAGCTGGTCTTTTCTGTTGGAGGGTTAGTTTGTTTGGTTTGGTTTTGCTGTTGAGGCATATCGATTGGGTAAGGTATGGAGGTGCGAGGGATAGATGGTTAGATAGTGATGAGGGGTAGGGTCCGTACGGCAGGTAGAGCAGACTGCTTTCATACACATTTTGGTTCGTTTGTTTGCTTTGGTTTTCTGGTCTTGAGATTGGGGTTTTGGATGTGATAGATTCGATTGTGAGGGAGGAGGACTGGGGTGGGAGATGTAGAGGAAGATATATACAAGGGAAGGAAAGGAGGGGAGATTTCCGGCAATTCAGGAACAGGTTACCATTGAGGAAAGAAAAGTGGAGAGATCGGGGTCTTAGTCAGCGGTACCTCGTCTTCGCCGAAGTCGCGGGTTTCATTCAAGATGGAGTCCCCGAGAAGTTTGACTCTTCTGACTGTTTATGGAGACAGTTTGTTTTCTAGTCTACTTGGCTGTGATTGTGACTGGTCACTGGAGAGAAAACAAAAACTAAAAGAGAAGTCGTGGCCGTTCTTATTCCTATCTATTCTGTGACTCGTCAAATCAAATATCTTCGGTGCAATGGTACATCGTGAAAGGTCATTACTACATTACAGCTTCACCGTCCGGTCGGATCCAGGCGCGCAACATGCTGGAGCTGGCTCCGGGTGCAGTGTCGACTGGTTGAAGGCCTGGTTTGACGGGGGAACGTCGAGCGCGGGATTCTTCGTGAAGAAGCCGTCGGGTCTCAGCATCACGCTGACCCGCTCCATCGGCATGACGGGGAAGTCTTCGATCCGGGGGTTGTGGGTTAAGCCGAATGCTGTTGGTTTACGTTAGATCTGGCTATCCAGTCAAGTGGGTGTAGGTGTAGGAGTGGGGACTTACTATGCCAAAGCACCACGTCGTCATTCTCCACCGAATCCTTCCGCGCCACCCACTTCTCGACGCCCTGGCTTTCCTTACTTTGGTTCGTGAATTCGCCCGCCGCGTAGAGCTCGCCGTCTTGATACTTCGTCACCCAGATTGGCTTCGTCGCGAACCCGGCTCGCTTCACGCCGTACGATCGCGGACTGGCCAGGAGCATCTGCGCGGGCGACGTCTGCAACTTATACGCGATGGGTTTGTAGGTGATGGGGTTGATGTGGGAGTCGTTTCGGATCTTGAACACACGGTGACGATCCACGCTCGTGTTGGCGGTTCCGCTGGTCTTCAGGACCGTTTGCTCCGTGGTGTAGCCCACGTTGTACGGGTTATTCTCGTCCTCGGGCATCGGCACGCTATCTTCGTAGTAGACCGTGTTGTGGAACCCGTCGAGAGCGGGATCCATCCGGAACGAGAACATATGCTGATGGTACGGCGCCATCACGCCGGGTCCGACGTTCGTGCCCCATGGGACGGTGGTGCCGAAGGTCTGGTTGTCGAAAGGCACGGTGGAGAGGATGCCGGTGGCGCGAACCTCGAGCTCGATGTTGGCCGCTTGGTCGAAGATGAACGCGAAGATGTATTCGTAGTTGGCAACGGTGCAGACCATTTGCACCACGAGCTGTCGGTTGCGGACGACTGTTGCGGTGCCGGTGCGGTAGTTTGTGTGTTTGTGTTGCAGGCCGTTGTCTTGCTCGTGGAGACAGATGACGTTTTTGAGGAGAACCGGGTTGCCTTTGGCGTCGGCACGGTAGCCGTCGAAGTACTTGATGTGGCCGAGACAGTCGCAGCCGAGGGATAGCTGGTTGGCTGTGATGCCGAAGCCGACGTCGCCGACGTCGAATGCCTGTTTGCGGTGGTAGGGTGCGCGGGGATCTATAATGGTTAGAATCGGCTAGTAAAAAGGGTGATGTAGGTACATGCCTCCGTATGGGACAGTCATCTCAGACACTGAAAGTCGGTAGAATACGTTGCGTTGGTCATACGTTAGGTTGTGAATGACCAGACCCTCTCGGCTGTTGAAGCCGACCCGGAACTTCCACTTCTGCCACGAGACCAGATTATCGTTTACAGTGAACGAGGCGCCTTGCGGCTGTTGCACGATGTAGGGCTTCAGGTCGGTGCGCAGCGGCTCCTGTAGCAGATCATGTGCGTATTGGATGGTCTCGACCGGCTTCCACGGTTGAGTTTCGGTAGTCTGAGAGTCAGGACCACCAGGGAGGTAGTCCATGCGCACGAGCTCCCGAGTGATGCCGTCGAAGACGGGAGAGAATTTGCAGGGCAGCGAGTAGTGGTTGTTCTCGGGATGGTCCGTGGCCACGATGTACATGTAGCATTGGAACAAGCGACGGTGTTCCTTCGGATTATCGGTGCCATAGATCCAGGGGTCATTGCAGACTGTCACTCCGGCAGGAAGCTGGAGTTTAGCCACTTCGGTCTTGACGGCCGGGTGCTGGAGACACATGGCCTCGATTTCGACGAGCTCGTCGGCATCGACGGGGCCCTGGTCAAGTTAGTACTTTGTCCAGTCAGTTCATGAGTGTAGAACACACCTGGATCTCCTTCGGCAGCTCTTTGGCATAGAGTATTGACCGCGTTCCAGCGTTCAACAGTGCCTTGAAGAAGGCACCATTATCCGAGCGATGAAAAAGGACTTGCAGCAACCGAGCCGGTCTAGGAGGAAGTGGCTTGCCCAATCTCTCGGCTTCGATGAAAGGGACAACTTCCTTCTTCGTTGGCTCCTGGATATCGATCTTCTTGTACCGCAAATTGACCCCCGGAAAGGCCGCTGCCAGGATCTTGGTGGCCAATTGGATCTCCCCAGGGGTGATGCCGTCAAAAGGATGTGGTAGTGTGCCCGTCATTGTGAGTTTATTGTTTCATTGATGTTAGAAAGTGGTAGGAAAAGAGAACCGCAGGGGGAAGGCCGAGTGGCAAGCGTCTTTATATAGATGCCGGAAGCAGGTGGAAGAGAGTTGCACCCCCTCGTGGATCCCTTACCTGATAGACACCCGCTTCCCCAGGCCAAGACATGTCCCCGCTCTGATTGGCCCGCAACCGACCCGGCGTATCTGTTTCCCTATATGGACTAGTGTCAACGTCGATACGGGTCACGGGATCGCCAGTTTGGCCTGTTTGCACTGAATACTTTCCTATCTGCCATTCGGTCTTCCCTCCGACGTCCCCGTGATTGGTGCCTCGCGCCGTCGATCGATTGATAATAGCTGTATGCGCTGTGCTACCAGCACATTATTTTTTCCACCGTTGCTGACGATGATGCGACTCTGTCCTACGCGAAGAAATAACCAACAGATGGTGAACAGGCGAGCTCCCCATGTGGAGAACTCTTTTCCGGGGAAACATGATCTCGTTCCTCATGAATTGACAAGAATTCCACCGAGGAAATCAAGGAGAGCGAGGAGAACATGAGGGCGTCCTCGTAATTGTGTACATCCAGATCCAGACTGTGCAACCATAGGCATAAGGCACCAAGGCATCTACATCATCTCCTTATCTTATCGGTGCACTTTGCGGGGTCGCTGACTCATCACTCATTACCGCCTCTGCGTCGCCAACGAGATCAACAAAATGGTCCTCTTCAACACAAATGCCAAAAGTCCCCGCGACATGTACTATGGACCGTTCGCAACGTATAAAGCGGACCTCGAATGCGTACGTCAGCATGCTTCCCGGGTCTTCTTTAATCGACTGAATTCTAACCGCTCGCAGCTGTCAACGATGTCGATCTCGAAAGGTCAAATGCTCCGGCACACATCCCTGCGACAAATGTCGTCAGCGTCGCCAGGAATGTGTCTTTGAGGAGGACCGGAAGATTATGGTCTCCGAGGAGTACTGCCCCCTTCTCACCTTGAAGCTTCAGGCAGTCAATTAACGTGTATAGCCTGTTTTTATCCTTGCAGCGACGAGTAGAGGAGCTTGAAGGCACGTCGTCACCGCCGCGTCGGAAACGAGCGCGTACGTTAAGGAATAGCACTCCGCCAGAGCAAGATGACCGTATGTTTCTTGATTACTACGGTGAATTTTCAGCTCACTTATATGTCAGGTCGTTCATCGGAGCCTCCGAAAGAGTTGACGCCAGAACCCCCGGAAGGCTATCGTTATGATGACCGATTTGCTTCTAACCCATTGGTCTCTCCATCGACATACGTCAAGCAGTCCGGTCGAAGACAGCGCGTGTGGTGTATGTATGTGCCGCCTCAACTCGACGTCCAGACTAACCATCCCAGTATTTCTGGGTCCCACATCAACCTGGTCCTTCAGTCGTCGCGTTCTCAGTGTCATTCAAACGCGTTTAAATCCCAACCATTTCGCTCCCATCCCCACCCCAGTGGATGGCGATGCCTATCAAATCCACTGGCGCAAGGCCAGCTCGGAAGAGGCTCCCGATATCAGTGGGCTTCCCTCGCTAGAACATGCACTTTACATTCTCAACACCGTCCAGTTTCATTTTGGTCATCTATATCGGATGTTTGACGAGACTGAGTTCTTGCGCCACCTTTACGGCTTCTACGAGAATGCCGCGGAGAAAGTGCAAGAAAGTCGTCTTTGGTACATCCAGTTCCTGGTCATTTTGGCTTTTGGTGATGCATTCTTGGCTCCTGTGCGCAAGGCAAATAACACGGCCAGTTGGACGAAATTCTTCTCCCGCGCGATGTCACTTTTGCCAGATACTACGGGCTTGTGGCAGGAGCCTACGTTGGCGATTGAAGTCCTTGCTTTGATTGCACTATATCTTCACTCTATTGATATGAGGGACAACTCATATTGCTACGTAAGTCATGCCATTAGTTTAGCTATGTTGAATGTGGCGCTGACCGTTGCAGATCGGGCAAGCAATGCGGGTGGCACTAGTGGAAGGGTTTCATCGCGCGCTACCAGTCGAGCAACTCGGCCAGAAATTAGTTGACAGGTGTAGCAATATCTGGTGGACGGTTTACATTTTAGACCGCAAGTTCTCGTCTCTGCAGGGTTCGCCAAACTCTGTAAACGATGAGGATATTACCACGGCTCTGTATGATGCCCGATTGGGTTCTGACAAGGAGGCTGCATTGAGTCTCCATGTGAAGATCTCTCAGGTGATTACTCGTGTGCTCAACAGTAAGCGTTCTTGACTCGTCCCATTCGTGTCCGCCTCTAACAGCAATAGCGGTGTATAGTGCCGATGGGAGGCTAGGCGGCAGATTTCTCCGCAAAGTGCGGTCTGTCTTGCATGAGATGACCGATCTCTCTCGGGAATTAGAGGAGGTTTTTGCCCATCGCTTTTCTAACTCGGTTGATGCCCTATCGGGAGTAACCACACGATTGACTCTGTCTTGCCACCTGGTACGTGTCCCCTCCATCAGACTCAAAACTCAAGCTGACACGACCAGTGCATAATCGTCACCACCCGCCCCCTCGTACTCAGTCTTCTCTGGGAACGACTCAGCTGTTTCGAGGAGGGCGACGTGTTCCGAACACTCTCATCCCCTGTCCGCACACTTCTCGAAGCATGCACCGATTCCGCCACCAAATCATTACGGATCCTATCTGCACTCCGTGATCAGAACATCCTCGGTATGCACCAACTATCCCTACCCCACCACCTAACTCTAACCCAATCACTACCAGAAACCTTCCTCCCCTTCGACCTCGAAAACCTCTTTTCCTCCTTCTTCGTCCTCTCCCTCATATCCGCCATCCTCCCAGACACCCTCCCGGACCCCAACTACCGCGAAATGGGCTTCAGCCTCCTCGATGAGATGATCTCACGCGGTAACCGCGTCGCACAGATCCGCAAGTCCGAGATCGAGCTGCTCGAGGAACTCTTCCAGCCCATGACACAATCATATATGCATCGCACCCAGCCCGGGGCGAATGCACTCGCGCATGTCATGGCCCCGTTAGCCCCGAGTCAGCTTCCCGAGCAGGTCAACACCCCGATGACCGCGTTGGATACGACAGTCCCCACTTCGGCGATGCCGGCTGGTCAGGAGGAGGATTTAGGGTTTGACTGGCGAGATCTGGGTCTGTCGATGGATCATATGCTCTCGGTGACGGATCAGTTGGATGCAAATAATTTGATCCTGGATGCGGAGCGGGAGGGGCTGCAGGCGGATTTATGGTTGTGGAGTGATAATCCTTGAGTTTGGGGGATATACCTCTGATTTTGCAGTTATTATACCTATATGGCATTTAAAACGGGAGTTGTCAATAAGCTACTTCCATGTCAAGATAATCTTACCTCTTCATGCAGCTGGAAAGCGTCATAATTGTGTCTAAAGTGTATGAAGATATATATTTCGTACCAAAGCACAGGTGGGAAATTACCACAATACCAGCCCATGATAAAACGCTTTGATTAGATACTAACATATCATAACCTCTAAAGAATAATACTCAATTGATTCCCTTCAGAAATGAGCATTCTGAAAAAATGAAAAGGGGAAAATACCCTGCCAGTCAACCAAGCCATTATTTGTTTGTCCTGTTTGCCACATTCCAGCTAACAGTCTTGGTGCGATATTCACACCTTGGTGCCCAATTTATAAGGCACTAAGGCACACAAATCCACCATAAAGGCCCGGCATTGTCAGAACAGAATCACCACAGCCACAAACTAAACCTGCTAGCCAGTCCGAGCCAAGATTTCCTACACATCCTATCTCTGTAGCAGTCTTATCCGTACAGAAAGAGAGGGGTTATCCGACGCACGGCACCCCCGCCTTGGCATCTACATTCTTCCACCAGTAAGATCAGTTAAGCATAGAAGATGTACATATACCAAGCCCAGGGGATAGAATAGAAAGGTAGATATAACAATGAGATACCCCTCATCACGCGCATGAATTCTTTCCGGATCAAATTAGTAGGTCAGTCTGCTAACCATATCACTCTACTTCATCGACTATGTCGCTCGCAGCGCACGCGCAAGACCTTTCCGCCTCGCTGGCAAAGGCAGGCCTCGTGCCTGGCTCGGCGCCGCTCATCCCTGATGCCTTCACGCCCAGCACGCAAGTGACGGTCAGTTTTGGAGAGAAGGTTGTTCAGTTAGGAAACTTGTTTCGCGCCAGTGAGTGTAAGACAGCACCGAGCGTGGAGTTTACGGCTGAGGTGAGATTGTTCATTCATTTTCTTTGTTTGCAACGCTTTACTATTTCCTATTCGAAGAGATTATAGACAGGGTATTTTTGAGCGAAAGAATGAGTGATAGATAGCTGACCGAATTGAACTTGGATCATGCTTGTAGCAGGGCGTGGATGCTTCGAAACGATACACGCTTCTCCTTGTCGACCCTGACGCGCCGACGCCCGACGAGCCGAAGTTCGCATACTGGAGACACTGGGTGCTCTCAGGGTTGGCGCCTTCTGGGGACTCAGACTCGAAGAAGGTACTGACGGAGTATTTGGGTCCTGGGCCGAAGGATGAGTGAGTGTTGTTTTAGTTTCTATGTGGCAGATGCTGGGATATGAGCATTGAGCTGATTGGTTATGATGCTAGGTCTAAACCCCATCGCTACCTGTACCTTCTGTTCAGAGAGCCTGAGGGATTCAATCTGAAGAAGGAAGATGTTGGGGGCGAGGAATTCGTGGAGAGACGTTCATTCAAGGCGGCGGAGTGGGTCGATAAGTATGGTTTGGTGCTTGTGGGCGTGAATTGGATGTTGGGGGCTGGGGATGGTTGGACTTCTTAGATAGGGTATAGATCTCTGCTACTATTTGAAATTGATGTTATGTAAACTGGTTATTCATTGGCTCAAAATGGTTTCTCTTAATAGAATAGGTGCGATTTGCGTATAGATTAAGCCCTTGACGAGATGTAACCTACAATGGGGGCAAAGACAAAGAGCGGCCCGGTAGTACAAGACATTGAAGCATGCGATCCTATTTTAAAATCGTATTCAAGGTCAGCTGACTGACTGGTTTAATCTCTTTGTCTACATCCATGTACCCTTATGTGTTGCAATGATATCTGATCAAATCGAGAATCGATTCATCAGTGGCGAAGTAGGCTAGGTATCTGAGGTTTTAGGAGGATTTGCAATTGATAGATATGGCCTCAAACATTAAAATCATTCTAGTTGCAGATCGCAATCTACACAGCTCCTATGTATAAATGGCCACCTGTTGAACACGATAGACTGAACAGAGCACGGAATAATATACCTGGAGATATTACCTTACTATACTGTTACAATTAGTATATTCTCAATGAAATAGTGCTCTTAGCTAACGTGTTTGGTTTCCTTTACAGACCAGGGTATCAATGGCTGTACTACCACAAGGGATTTCAGTCATTGATAAACAAAGGGGATCGTCAAATAATACAGTGACACAAGATCTACTCAATAGCCTCAATAAGCTTTTTCAATAGACCAGGGCCTTCTTTGTTCAGCCTTGTATCTTTCTTCTCCTGTCCAAAATAGATACTATGTAGTCCTAAAAATTTGCACCTAGTGGATAGGCTTAATTAAGATGAAATATAAAAACCTCTTCCAATCCAAGGTCTCGAATCTTCACCATGGCTTTACTATCCACTTTTCCATTTATGTAAAACATTTTTAATCTCATCAAGTCACTCGTTCAATCCATAAAACGCAGAATGAAGGTCCTTCACTTGATCTACCTCGGCTTTGTTGCCGGTACATATGCCGCTGCCATCGGAAACTTCAAAAACTCGACTGAGCACCTCGACACGGACAATACCGACACTGACGTCGATGACTGGCATCATGAGGAGGTAGTTGCCGGTGAATTCACATTCACCAAGAAACGCAGCCCGGTATGTCCTCTTGCCTCTCATACATGAGACAGTTACTAACAGCACCTCGCGATATCCAGACCTTGGAGACCAGATTTGTACGTTACTACGGCATAGTCCCGTCCATTTACTGATCACCTCTTGTCGATTATGTTTCTAATACATTGACTAGGGAATGCAAGATTGCCCCGCGAACAGGAGATGGGGTGATAGTTGCACGCCTTATAAATGCATGTGCAAGGACGAATATGGCTGTTGGTCTTGTAATGGGGCTCGGTATCGATGCCAGCCAGGTCCTCATAAGAAACCCGTCGTATGTTTGGGCAATTGAAATTTCTTTGATGTTTATGCATGTATATATGCTATTGGCGTGAAGAGAGTTGATGGTTTGGATGGTTGGTGTTATGGGTAGCTTTTCTGACTTGTTTAAGTTTAGCTTCTTATGGTTGTTAGTTAATGAGGCTGAGAATATGAAGTTTGTTGTTATGTTTATCCTTTATGGGAGTGAACATTCAACTGGAATAAAAATGTGTATGCAGGTCATCTGAATCTGAAACTCAAAAAAGTTTAAAACCAACCAGCTTGTCATAACACCTAATCGGTATGTCTTGATATTATTATCAATGATAACTTCAGCACCAGATCGCGTAGAAGAATCCAAGTCCCTATGATGATCATTTTAGCAACCTAAGCCTCATATCGAGCAAAACTAATACACTGTCAAGCACATATCATTGACTAATACTATAAGCAAACCATTCCCTACACTTATAGAGCCACTTCCTCTCGTCGTCGCCGAACAGCAAGAGTCGCAAACGGATCAGCAATCAACGTAGATCCAAAGCCCCGTGACCGTGGCTTCTTCCCCACGATCCTCAAGTCATATTTTATCAGAATATGGCATAGTACGACTTTGACCTCATTTGCAGCAAAGAAGCGTCTGGGACAGGAGTGTTTCCCTAATCCCTAGGATAAGTTGTCTGGGGAAGTTGTTTCGAGCTGCGCTGATGCTTTGTGGCCAGGTGATTCGCGTAGTTTGAGAAACCGATATGGGTCAAATGTTTTGGGGTCTGGATAGTAAGCCTCGTCCCATTGTCTTTCGGAGGATACCAGTATGCTGGATCCCTCAGGGATCACGGTGCCGTCGGATAGAAGGAGGGGCTCTTCTGCAACACGGCGCATTGAAACTAAATGATGGAAATGGATGGTTAGTTCTGGGTATTATTCAAGGATATTTAATGGGTGTTAGAAAGGGGACTAGGATCCTACCAAAACCAAGGGGTTTCAGCCTCTGACTTTCCTTCAAAACACTGTCCATCAATTTTAGGTGAGTCACCGTGAATTTATTCCACCCCTGCGGAAGAACAGCCTTTATTTCTTCTCTCAGAGCGTGTATCAACTCTTCACGTTCGGCCAGGTCATAAAGCACTTGTATCAGCATGTCAGAAGTCGTATGGATCGCAACGAAACTGAGCGTCAATTGGGTGTGAACAGGATTATAGACCTCCCCGCACATGGCCTCCTCGAAACATTCGATCGCGTCGAAGTATTTTCTCGGTATCTTTCCCTGTCTGAGAGCCTTTGTCTTCGCTATCTGTCGTTCGTGAATGATGGATTCCACGATCCTCGTGCTGTCACGTAAATATTTGCGTAGCCGGCGGCAAGAAGGCAATATTTGCGCCACCGGTTTCCGTAGGACACTAGGAACTATGCGCAACAATAGAGATGTTTGGACAATATCAATGGTGTAGTTTACTGCTATGTGTAGCCATGCAGGGTCTCGACAGATTGCTTCCCCGAGGAAGACTCGGGAGCTGACTTGAGCGATGATTTTGGTTATGCTTTGAGTTGGAGATATATTATGCCATTCTATCGGCTGTTAGAAGGAAATTATTATATATATCGCAAGGATAAACGAGAGATACGGATGGAATAGGGTACCAGGATTATCTGTCCACTCGGCATGCAAAACAAGGGCTGTTTCACCGGACAAGGCCGTGTTTACGTGCCCTTCAATAAAAATTTGTTATCATTCAATCAGATTTGCGACCTTGAGGAAATGACACTCTTACATAACATCTTCAGTAACTTGGTGCGCACCGCATTCTGGAACAAGCCATCCTCTCTAACGAATTCTTTTGTCGCTTCGAAACCAGGTATGTCTAGGTGCATCAAGTTCGCGAACGCTTTTCGGGGATTGAGAATCGGATTGTCACGTATTTCGTGAGCAAATTTAGGATGGAGGACAACTTGGTAGCCGGTATCCGTTATAATACCAAAGATGTTAGCCTAGAAGGCAATCGAAATTACCAAGTCGGTTAATTTAGGAATGTCCCCGGTGAGAAATCATGGAGCCACGTACTTTGGCAAGATCAGTTTTGACAAGCTTTCGTCCCTTTACTGAGAATCGCCATCTGGCTAAAAGGTCGGTAAGCTCATAGAATTTCGCTCCATTTATGAGAGGTATATTCTTCGGCGGGCCAGAGGAGCTGAGAACACGGAGGAGGATAACCAAGATGGAAATAAAAATTAGAGTGTTATATGTGGAGGACACTGAGAACAACTTCTCGACCTTGAGCATATTGTCAGTATTGATATCCATGACTAGCTTGTGTGCGTAGACCTCAAGTAGTGATTGGTATTGCTGCGATGGCAAGAGGAACAGGAAATGTTTAGGAATAATGATCTACCATCAATCTGCTGCGCCCTGCGATATACCTATAGGATGATTACACATGTGATGCGATTTCATATGCTTCCCGCAAATTTTTATATTTTTGAGTCACAGTGACAATGGACAGCATTGGGACTATTCTAATTCCGACTCGGACATGTATCATACATCAAGCCTTATTGCGAGGGAGCATCTAACGCGAGGACTGTTGCACATATCTGCAGGGTCTACATCTTACCTCTCCTAATCGCCAGCAGCGGCAGAGGTCTGACGCACTCTGCAGGATCATCAAATCTTGATTCCGGGAAGATGGGAAAATATCCAACCCGGTGACTGCCTAAACAAATCTAGTAAAAGGGGGTTGAAGGTTTCTGGTCCCTTCTAGGCAAGAGATGAATTTTAATTCCCTTTGTGACACGTGATACGCCGGTGAGCCACAAAGCATATCTGAGCCCCAATAGTTGTCAGTAGAGCTTCCACTTGCTCTGTAGCTGCATTTAGGAACTGTTTGGCTGGAATAATATCATCCGAACCGTGTAGTAGTTCAAATTTGAGCGCTGTAATCCGTAGCTTCCTGGCCGAGATAGAGCTATAAACTACGCAACGCACATTTCCTTAGCAGAAACAAGAAAATAAGTAGTGAGTAAGAATAGAAAGGAGAAAGATTGAAGAAGACAGAACAAGTTGTTTTGCTTCAATCTTGTTATCCGAGAGATGTGTCTAAAGAGAATGTTGGGATATTACGCCGACTCTTCAAGATATGCTTCTCTTCTAAGCCCCAAGACCCCATTAATTCAGGTCAAACTGCGATATAGCTGCGAATAATAACATAATAGTTGGTTTGTGAAAAGGAGAGCATATAAAAGCTTAGGTTCAGTCGGATCCGATCATGTGTCCTAATAAAAGGGATAAAGTACTAAAAGTACTAAACGAAAAGGAAGCCGGGCTACATCAGCCACAAAAATCAACAGAAAAAATGGTTCGTCACCTCATATCGTTTAGTGCAGTTATAGTTCAGGAACAAAGATGACGAAATAGTAGTCAGACCCGGGCATACGTAGACGGACCCACCTTTTTAGCACTAGACGTGGCCTGTGGATGTACCAGTTGAAATCTTTTCTTCTCGCCTATGAACCAAACGAACGTGTTAAGATGTGCTGTAATTCATGAATTATGATTGACATGGAGATTTGGTTCACGTGAAACCGGAATGCTATGATGTTGACATCGTTCATTGCCGATCCGGTGAGGCTGAGGCTGAGATTAACATGAAATGAACACTAGACGAACTACATACCATATTGAATAATGTATCTGCCTAGAAACGAACTAGACTGGCCGATAAGCTCTAGACTAGTCTGATTTTCGGCAAGAAATTTCGGCTCTAGTGAGTAGTCTCGACACCAATGGCCACGCCTAGTTGGCGTTGCGTCCAGAAATACCACAGCATAACGTACTTTCGAAGAAGTTCATGTTACGATAATGTGGCAATCTTTATTCATGCAGAGAGATCTCATCAAGCCAAGCCACAGTGAATTTCAATTCCCTGTTAGATCTGGTCAGGAATGTGCCGTCGCTGGGGGTACCGAGTACCCAGGGATGGCTGGTATGCTGGGCGGTGGATGCTGGCCAGAGACCGTAAACAATAGCCGGAACCAAGCCACAGTATAACATAAGTGGATGGGTCGATACTATTTACACTAACTTGTTGTTTTGCGTTTCATATATTGCTCGTCGCGTCGTCGGACTGGGGCTCTCTATTGACAGACGACTAGCTTTCGCCGGCAAGCAGCCCACCACACCGATTTTGGTTCTCTATTGCATGGTCAATATGGAGAGTCGGCGTAGCTGCTGACGATTCATCGCTTTTTTTATCTCCACTTGGTGGAAATCGCGTGGTCGATTCTGCGGCCTGGTTGTCGTTATAATACGCCCGCTTGATGCACCACGCTCATTGAATCAACACAGTCACTCTTTCTGATATTTCCTCCTCGCCCTCACTCCTTCATTTTCTACTGCTGCTAGAGCAGCGACCGTTCATTATGCAGTGGAGGTCATTCCTTCTTGTCATCTACGTTGCCCAGACAGCCCTGGGCCGGTCTCATATCCACCACCGTCGACACAACCATCACCAATATGTGGATCTTCATGAACCCGAAGCAAAAGCCGAGCTTGAAGCACGGCAGATTGTGAATTTCGACGCAGCAGTCAAAGTCAAGACAATCCTCGACCTAGAAATCGTCACCCTCACCACGATCATCGCCCAAGTTCCCACCGAAATCCCAACCACATCCACCGTCACCAGCGTCGTCTCAGAAACCGCAGTCCCGGAGACAAACGAAGACACCGCTCAGCCCCTTCTTAGTGCTAGCATCGACATCGGCATTGACGCACACAATATCATCCCTCACCACACGACCACAGCCACAGCAGCAGCCACGACCTCAACATCTACCGAATCCTCCGATTCCTGGACTACCCACCCTTCCAACAACCAATTTAGTACGACCGGCTTTGGCGCACGCACTAACTCCACCGGCACCGGGGTCAAGTACACCGGTAACGTCGGAAGCCCCTGGGGGAGCAACATCCTCGAAGTCAGCGCCGCCTCCGCCCATCAATACAAATACGTAGTGCAATTCACCCACAGCAGCAGTTCCGACTGGACCGTTGTCGTCTGGAACAAAATCGGCCCGGACGGCGAAATGACCGGCTGGTACGGCAATTCAGCCGTGAACTTTACCCTATCCGCCGGCGAGAAGCGATACGTGGCGTTTGACGAGGATAGCCAGGGAGCATGGGGCGCCGCGGAGGGGACGAGTCTGCCCACGGACGAGTACGGAGGCTACTCGTGTACGTGGGGAGAGTTCGATTTCGGGGACTACAAGAATGACTACTGGTCTGGGTGGGATGTTTCGGCGATTCAGGCGCAGAATGCAGGCCAGACAGTGCAGGGCATGAGTATCTGCGAATACGGCGACACTAAGTGCTCGTCCATCACTACTGGGGCTGGGAAGGTCGTCAACGCGTATGAGAGTGCGCAGGCATCTATCGATGGTATTGGAGGGTCGGTTGGACAGGGAGCTGTTCGGTTGGTCACTGTGCTGGATTATAGTGGGTGAGAGAGGGTTATTAACTGTAACCCTGTGCCTGTCTCTATTGGCTAGGTGCAGTCGTGTATAAAGATTCAATTTCGGCAGTATATACATTTGAGATACACGACTTGATTATATGATATGGGTTATTTGTGAAGTGCAATTAATAAAAATGTAGCGAATGTCTTAGGAAGACATGGCAGGGACGTTGATGGTCTTGATGGTCCACACCTTTCCACCCTCGCTAGAGCTGAGCCCCTCGTAGATGGCACCACCGGCACTGGCGATAGTGTCACCGAAAGTCGTGTCGGCAGAAGCCAGAATGAGTTCAGTGTTGAGGTACTGCTGGGGGTTGATGGTTCCGGTGCATCCGTTGTTGCACTCAGTGCCGGTGCCGTATCTGTGCTCTGTTAGCTGCTGACAACGTTGAAATACATTTATCCAACTTACCCTCTCATGTAAGGACCGGACTTGTAGGAGAAAGAGGACAAAGCCTCACCCGTCTTGTCATTGGTCACGGTCCTGGATAGCGGTATCCTGTTAGTATCAATCCACTACCTTTTCAGACAAAGGGAAGAAATTGACTTACTGAACCCAAGTATCCTGATCGTCCTGCAGCTCATATTCGATGCGGACATGGTCATCGCCCTTCACGACACCAGCATTGCCATCCAACTGACCGAAGCTACCGAACAGGCTGGCGCGCACGCACCATTCGCCCCGGCTGGCACCGCACCATTTGTTGCTCTCCCAGTCCTCAAGGGTGGTCTGGACCAGATCGCCCGTTCCGTTGCTCATACCGGGCCAGAGAAACAGCACGCCGTTTTGGGTGGCGGGGGCGGCGCCGGGGATCAGCGTCGTCACGGCCTTGGTGATGGTCGACTTGGTCGGGCCGAGGGAGACGCTTCCGCCCCAGGTGTCTTCGCGCTTGAGCTGAGTGACGGCCAGGGCAAGGGTAGGGATGAGGGCAGCGGTGGTGAGCTTCATTTTGGCTGGATTTGTCTTGTCTTGACTTGAAAATTGGGTTTGAGATCGGTGACACAATGGCTGGTGACAGTTCCCAAGTAAAGAAAGGATAGACAGTCGATCCGGGGAGAGCTTTATATATCCATAAATTAATAACGCTGATTCATCTCGGAAGGAGTACTCCGTGACTGGTCTACCAAGGACCAGCGCCAGGACATGTTTCACCGTCAAACCACGCCCTGAGGCCCTGAAGAACGCCAGCCATGGTGGACAGCCATTCAGGCCTCAGCCCTATTAGCGCGCTCGGTAGCTCCCTGCAATTACCGGACAGCCCCGCTGACCCCATAGCGAGACCCAGTTAATCCGAGGCGGACGGCGAATTATGCACGCATCGGGACATTAGCCGTGATTAGTGCGGATGGTGGTGTTTGGGAATGACACAGGTTGGGAGATGGACGTTTAGGCTTCGAATTAGAAGACTTAGGGAATTAATCAAATATTTTGAAGGAACCATCATCCGTTCTTCCGTTCCCTCGTTCTTCCGTTGACAAGTTCATTCAGGTTCGTAGAAGAGGTCTAGACCTAATATCCGTACTGTCAGGATGTGTTCGTTCATATTGGTATACGGTCACCTTGGACCATTCGATTTTATTCACTTTTTATCCTTCAAATTTATGACTTCTAGGAACTCCATAGTTTCCGCCCTTTCGTTGTACAGGGCGAGACTTAAAAACGCATTATTGCACTACTCCGTACTAATTCTGGTCTCTTTAGGTCAGAACAAGCTACTCGGTACTTTGCCATCACCAGCTCCGACATAAATAGACTTCTTCGGTCCCACCCGCCAATATCTTGATCTAGCGGTTCGAAGACCTTGAAGATTGATCTTTTTCTAACGCCCGGCTCACGCCATGTCAAATCAGCCCATCCCCATGACACGGAGGGACCCCCGGTTCAGTTTGCGAAGTCTCGACCTCCGGTGGAGTGCTTCAGATAGGAGTTACTATTGGTGGGATGAGTGTGCCAATAGCCCCTGTGTCATGCACGATAGGCTTTGTCGGCAATGGATGGCTCCGAGGGTTTGTGAGGTGATGTTTGTGCATAGTCATCTCCATCTTTATGCCTGATTTTACTCCGGAGAGAAGCACTAAAGAATGGTTGCCCGGATAGTCACAAAGCTAGGTTTGATAAACACGGTACTATTATTGATGCAAAGTGATCTGCCCGTCAAGCCCAATCGAAGGCGTATCTCAATGACCTCATTACCACCTCCCACTCAAAGCACGGCTCATCTTTGTCAGTGTGGTCGCCACCTAGAGCCAATGCGCAGAAGCAACCTCCCTTGGCACTGAAACTAATGCTAGTCCGGTCACCCCTGAGATCCCTTTGCTTCCACACCCCCTCAATTACCTCCCTTACATACTGGACCGCGTTGTTGTCCACCGTCGCTGCGATACGTTCCAATTGATGAAGGTTCTTCAATACGACAGCTCGATCCTCATCAATCTGTACGTGGCATGCAGCGATGAAATACGGCCACAAGAACACGGAGCGACCGGATTTCCCAGGCGGTGGAATGGGCACGCCAGCATTCATGAGACTGAGCAATATTGTGACGCTCTCTTTTACCATTGAATTCTTTTCAAAAGGGTAATCGGTATCAAGATATTGGAGGAGAATCAGTGCAGCATGGCGAAAGGCTTCGGCGGTGCGATTGACAGTTGGTATTGGAGGGGGATATTCAGTGATGGGATTAGAAACGGCGGTGATGGTGATAGGCGATGACAGAGGTTGGATCGACACGTGAAATTGAATAAGGTGAAGCAGGCGAGCCTGCGTTTCCCGTTTCCAGGCTCGGAGTGATGAACACTGATTTAGAGATTTGTGGTTTCTGCGATGACGAACCCGGTGACAGGTTTCTAGGATGATGGAGAGGAGCTCAGTCGAACAATTTGTGTAATTGTCGATCTCCTGTGGCGGTCGCGCGATCTTGGTCAGCCAATAAGTGCCTCCTCGAAACAGGAACTCTGCATCATGAGGATTCACAAGAGTGGTGTATGCAAGTACACTATGCGACGCGAGGAATCCTCCCAGGAAGGTGATTACGCCTGCACCTTCACCACTTGGTCCAGGGGTGGGTAACTCGAGGATGCGCCGCGCACCGTCTAAATGAGCGCGCCAGGCAGAGGTGAATCCGGGGCGATATGCAATATCGTTGGAGAATTCAGAGTGGCATAACATCAGAATGATTGCTAACATCTCAGTTTTTGACAACGAAAGGTTTGATAAGGCTGTTTGCTGGCTTGCTTGGTCTTTTCTGCTGGCAGATGCGATCGTTTGGGACAGCAATTGCAAAGTTGTGCTTTGATAATGCAACGCCGTGACTTTGAATTTATTGTCGTAGTGTTTTAATTGGTTTGCAGCGAGAGCGAGCACCGATCGCAGAACTAACGGCGATACCAACGAAATGGGGATGATGATCTGCCTGTAGCGATTCCTATCACCGTCTACGAGTCGACAGCCAGGACACATTCGATTGGCATCTACGACGTTAGTCAGGCCTAATTGAAGATGCAGAGAATTCCGTACAGAACTCAAATATTGGCATATCTGTGGCCGATAGATTAAGTCGGGGATAACTGATCAATGGTGGGAGCTGACATGCTCCAGTCCAGTCGGTTGGTGTCCGTAAATGAACACTGTCGTTGCGGAAGACTAAATTCTTTTTGTTTTCAGGTGCTTCTTGGGCACGACAGAGCTCGAAGTCATTCCATGTCGTATTGAGGAACAGAGACTCTGCTTGGTGTTCTGTGTCTTGGGGACCGACCACGTCATCAAATTCACAAAGGCGTTGAGCTTCCGTCGATGTCTTCTGTTCGGGCCATGTCAACTTGAGCCCGTAAATACACGACCTTTGTGCATCGCTACAGCGTTTACAGCTGGGTCTAGACTCTGTTCCCTCAATTTAGCTAGTGCTGATCCCAACTGACCGACGTGACGCACCGTCGCATTTGACCTTCCGCTGTCGGCAACAAAGGCAACCCGAGCGAGTACGGGTCGACTTGAATCGGCCGTAAAAAGGCTTGGACCGCTGAATAGAGTCACAATGAGTATTTGATGAGACAGACATTGCGATGTGCGAAATTGATGAAGGCAGATAATGGAAAACTGGGGAGTCGAGAGGAGAACGTTTTGGGTGACTCGATCGGCGTCTCCGCACGTGTCTTTCCCCTTGGCGTTAGTCTACTTCGTACTTTTGCCCTAATTGCTCCTGCTTCATCGACGATATCTTCACTTTCATTTCATCTTTCTGTTGGATGGTATTCTATTCACGTCTACAGTCTGGCCACAGGCGACTCATACTCGTCCACCAACCGAGCAACCTCTTTGCCCACCCCAAAACTGAAGACATAACCACCTCCTGCAACGCCGTACGCATGAACGACCTTCTGTCCATCGAGGGTTTCCCGTTCCACCCGAACTCCTCCCTCACGCTGAGGTCGAATTCCTACAATGTCTCGCACGATGGTGTAATCCTTGGGATCCGGGGACGGAAAGTCGTCGGGCAGGCTTTGGTGGACTCGTCGGATGATCTAAGTGCGTTAGCCAGTCTGAACTCCCTCTCGAATGCAGCGGAGAATATACATCAGTTCTAATATCCGGATTCACTTGCGTCTCGGTACTTCCAAACTGTTTAATCCCTCCAAGGACTGTGGTTCCATCCCCTCGCGCAAAGGCATAGGTGTAATTATGCCCATTGCGCACGAACAGCTTACCAAATTTCGATTTCACGAGGATTGTCTGACCGCGGACCTCCTGGACATTAGTATCCTTGACATCCTCTAATCTCAAGGGCCCAATACCCGCTGCATTGATCAAAATATCGTGGCCTATTCCTTTCAGATCCGCTAGGGAGCGCACTGTCGTACGCTGGAATTTCACACCTGTCGCCTCGAGTTTCGATCGCAGCCAGGGAAGAAAGACCATAGGGGTGAGAACAATCGTTCGATACTTAAATCCGACTGTTGTGCCAGGGAGTCGGTCTTCTTCGGGAATGACTCGAAATTCGGGCACCTTGCCCGCAAACCAAATCTGATCCAAGGTCTTGGTATCGCGGTATTCGTTCATTTCGATGCGCCGAACGCTAGATTCGGGATCGGACAGTGCGAGTTTCCACCAAACGGCTAAAGCGTTCAGTTGGAATTGTTGTTCCCGGGGAGTCGAACCATCCATGCCGGTCCAGACGGCACCTGCCCAGGGACTGGCCCATTCTTGGGAGTGCGGCTCGTCGCCGGGAAGATTGCGGGCGACGATTGTGATCTCGTGGTGACGAGGGAGCTGGCTGGCTATTGCCATACCAGTTATTCTAGGTGAAGCACCGTAAGTGTACACGGACACAATTAATTAGAATAGCACCACTCACCCAGCTCCCAAGATTGTTATTTTTGTCATCTTGATTTAGTTTAGATTGAGGTACTTTATGATGAACGATTATAGAACTACTTCCCATCGCCCAAAGCCCTTTATATAGCCTTCAATCCTCTTCTCCGGTCATGCCACCACGCAATCCAACAACAAATTGATACATTCACCACCATTCCTCTCAATAGGAAACCCCAAGCGACCGGTATCGGGCGCCTTTGCCCAAAAAACCCGTCGCATCAGCAGACAAACCGGCTACAGATACCCGGTCATCCTTCGCTACAAAATAAAAACGATTCATAAGTTGTAAAGGTCCCAAAATCATGCCCCGCCTCCCAAGAATATCTTATCAGTGCTTATCTCGCTTCCGACATCCCTGGCTGGGTGATTTTCGTATTTAGCGTCTTCGATGGATCCTTCCCCGAAGCTGTTCCCTAATAATGGCCCAGATTCGGTTCATGACCCGGACTAGCGCAAAGATACTCCGTGCGGGGTGCATTCCTAGTCCATTAATCCTCTTTCCCAATTGGCTTTTAAGGCTAGCAAAGGTACCGGGCCGGTAGTTATAACAATGTGTGGTGGTTCCGGTGGGAGATTTCGGGGGCAAGCAGAGGCGAGATACATACTCTCTTTCTCTGTTGGCTTGGTCAGTGGCTGCGACAAGGTTTGGGAGATAGAGAACTAGATCTGGTACGGAAATAAATCACGGGTTAGTGGTTATATTCGAGCTTCAACACGCTGATTCAAAAGTTTTATAAATTCGAAACTGTCGCGCTCCCAAACTGATTCTGACATGGAAATGCCAGACAGTGCAATTGATGAGTTCTTCTTGTTTGTCACTCAGATTTAGAGATTGGTCTCGAGAATATTATCGTCCGTGCTTCAAAATGGGAGCACCTATTGAGCGAGAAGACAAGAAGAGCTCCATTCAAGAATCTCGGACTCCCAGCGGGGCTAACGATACACTCTCTACTGGCGTGGTTCTTTCGCCAGAATATGACGAGTATCTGCGCCTCAGTGAGATATTCAAGGGCGACCGACTGCAGAAACTTGTGCGGAAGCTCGAGTAAGGGTCCAAGAGCGACGTCTCTATAACAATTCCGAAACTGACAAGAGTCTAGTTTGCGAATATTACCTCAGTTGATTTTCATCTACTTGCTCTCGTACGTGGACCGGAGCAACGTGAGTACCAACCGTTCCCTGGGTCAAATACCACCGTACTGACGGTCCAGGTCGGAAATGCCAAACTATTTGGGGCCGAAGAAGATATGAACCTTAGCAGCCAGCAATGGAATACCGGGTTAAGTGTGTTCTTCGTTACCTATGCACTTGGGGGCACGTAAGTAGGAGGTCAATAAAATAACAGTCAACAGATCACGCTGACACTAGGTTCTAGCCCATCTAACATCATCCTTAAACGAGTCGGGCCCAAAATTTGGCTTCCTGCTCTATTAACCCTCGTCGGTCTGATTCTCGTCTGTTCCGGTCTACAAAGCAACTACGCCGGCTGGATCTCCTTCCGCATTATCCTCGGTCTCGTCGAAGCCGGCATGTTTCCCGGTTGCAGCTACGCCTTAACCGCATGGTATTCTCCCCAGGAGATCCATTCACGTATGTCCATCTTCTACTCCGGTGCCTCTCTCGCCGGTGCATTCTCTTCCATATTAGCCTACGGTATTGGTCAACTAGACTACACATGGGGATACCGCGGATGGCGCTTCATTTACGTGATTGAGGGTGTCTTCACATTCTGTGTCGGTCTTACGTCGTTCTTCTTCATTTACCCGTCCCCGGCCAAGTTGGGAGCCTGGCTCAGCGACGAAGAGCGCCAGTTCCTTCTCCTTCGACATCGGTACTCCGCTGGCGGTGAAACTGGCGTTGCCGAAAAGGAGGGCTTCTCGATGCGCTACGCAAAGCAGTCCTTCCGGTCGTTCCACGTTTACGCCATCACGGCTATGGAGCTGACGTTGTGTGTGGTTGTCTATGGGATTTCTTTCATTCTGCCTACTATTATCGCGAACTTGGGTTACTCGGCGGCTCGAGCTCAGGCGTTGACTGCACCCCCGTATGTCTTTGCCTGCGTGGTGACGGTGTTGTTTGGATACGCTTCCGACCGGTTCCAGCAGCGCATGATTTTCGTGCTTTTACCGAATCTCATGGCTGCTGTGGGGTGCGCTATTATCATGGCCAGTGTGCGATACCCACATGTCGAGGGCGTCACGATGTTTGGATGTTTTCTCATGGCAGGTGGGCTTTATCCGATTCCGCCGGCCGTCACGGCGTGGATTTCCATCAACACGGCAGGCTCTATGAAGCGGTCTGTTAGTATGGCTTTGATGATCTCGATAGGTCAATTGGGTGGGGTGAGTTATCCTTTATGTGATATTTCGTAAACAGCTACTAACGTGACCAGATAATGGGCTCTAATATTTTCATCGCTAATGAAGCACCACAGTACCCTATTGGCTTTGGTATCTGCCTGGCTCTTTTGGTGGTATTTGGGGTTATATGGCCGGTGATCTACTATTTCATTCTGAAGCGTATCAACGCTGAACGTGCTGCGATTCCGGTAGACGAGATTCACGCCAAGTACACGGAGGAGCAGTTGGCGGATATGGGCGATGAAAGTCCGATGTTTCGATATGCTACGTAGACAAGCTTTTGATTTTTGGGCTCGATTATGGAACGAATAGGTATATAGCATGATGTATGTCATTTCTTCTACTGAATGAGTGAGCCTTCCTCAGGAGATTCTCTTGCAGTTGTTTCTTCCTCGATACTCTTTGTCTCTAGTATGCAAATAGTCGGCGACAATGTCAGCAAATGGTCCCATAACTCAGTCGGTTAGAGTGCGGAGCTAATAACTCCGAAGTCGAGAGTTCGAGCCTCTCTGGGACCATTTATTCTTTTTTGTTTTTTTCGATTGTGATTTTAAGCAATAGAAACATTCTGGTTGAAGACGGACGGAGTGGGTCCGTGGATATATCTAAATTTTTTGTGGGCGGATTGGATACAGGGTTTGGTTTTAATTGCGCTTGGTTTTCTACTCAGCTCTGGACCATTCAAATATAGCCAGATGATACAGTCTCAAAGACTGCTGATAGCCCTAGAAAGGCCCAGGAGGAAGAGTGCGATTTTCTGTGCCTCTACTGTCTCAGTCTCTCAATCTTCAATCGAAGAAAACTACTCGCTCGGTAAAGTTCGGGCAGTTCAACCCGAACAATGTGGGGATCAGCGTAGCGGCGACCAATGCGAGAGGATGTAATTGGGCATCATCGAGTTGCCTCCCCCCTCCTACTTTATACTGTCAACGCTCGCCGACTTTCGCCTTTCTTTTCTTGAATCGGGGGCGTTTAAATCAGTTCGCGTGAAACGGCGTTAGCTCTACCTTTATCATGAGAAATATGCCCAGATTGAATCTAGAGCCGTGGTAAGTAATCATTGCAGCATCGTCGCTTGCATTGTGGTTCTTAATTGACAAATTGTTAATCATTAACTTCATCTATATACAAAATAGCCAGAACTGCCGAAGTATGTACCTTATATCTCTGAACTGTCTATGGGAATATGTATTGATACTTACAATTTGAATTTAGAGCGACACCTTAAATGTAGGTGCTTTGTCCATACTACTCTCGTTTGATTCACCAACAGCGGTAGGTGATGGAATTAAGCCTATTTGTTCACGATGCAAGGAAAGAGGCGAACAATGCAGCCCCAACCGGGTCATCCAGTACCGTTCATCCCGATTGAGATTTGCGGATGACCAGCCGTGGCCTACTATATTAGCTCCTTGTAAGGTCGTTCTCGTATGCATGAGTCCATTGGGGTATTGATCTTGTCTAGGCTTGCGTTTCATTGATGAGACACCGGATCTAGCATATTATTATGATCATGAGATTGAGTCCAGATATCCCGACTCACCTTGGGAAGAGTCAATGGAACAGGCCCACTTGCGACATACCAATGATAAAACAGGCGTCGACGACCGAACTGTTGACGAAAGCCCCATTCGGCGAACAGATAATATAAATCCTCGGCCAGCCAGTCTGAATCCTGTACCACACAAAAACCCTTACATTTCAGAACAAGCCAGTCCAGCAGTAACAAGCATATCATCCCTAGCGTCACATACAAGCTCGAATAGACCGTTAGACTTACCTCGATCCTTCTGGACTGATAAAGAAGCCCAGGATGCTTGCTTAATGCGATACTTTATTGAAGAACTCGCACCATGGGTATGTCCACACCCGCCTCACCAAACTTCAATGTGGAACTCATCAAGGAACAGTTCGACACATGCGACACTGCTAAACATTTTGCTCTTGTGGCTCCCTGCAGAGCGAAATCATGTCCGCCTTTACTATATGCCATTTACTCTGCGTCCGCAAGACATCTTAGTCGACGACAGGCTGTCAACGGGAGTGAAATTCTTTTCGCAGGGAAGAAGCTTCCCTTACTCGGTGGAGAAACAGCCCTAGAGTATCAAAGCCTATGTATCTCGCATCTAATGTCCCTGTCTGGTGACTCGACCGAAGTTCAAGATGAGAACCTTCTTGCGGCAGCTGTGATACTTCGCTTCTATGAAGAGTATGATGGTACGTGCCATTCTCCCTTCCGGATTCCGATCCCTTTTTCCCCATTGCTAAACCGAAAATAAATCAGCACCTCTTGTCGGCATCGACGATGAGACTTATCTCCGCGGAACACAAGTGTTTCTAGACGCTCAGTCAACATCAGCCATGCAAGCTGGGAGTCTTCGCCATGCCGCGTTCTGGGTGGCCTTTCGACAGGAATTCCACAGAGCGTTCATCAAACAACGTGTATTTCAATTCAATTCTTATTGCTGCGCTACCTCGCCCTATAGATCGCTCGAACCCGCCAACGACAATACATGGACGAATCGAATGGTCTTGCATTGTACGGATGTCCTCACGTACTGCTATGCCGGGGGTTCTGATCTTTCACGATACGATGAGCTCTGGGCATACACTCTCCGATGGCAGTCTTTGATTCCTTCAACTTTTAATCCCCTTTACTCTAGAGATCCGGATCCGACGGTAAACGAGGTTTTTCCGGAGATTTGGTATCTTGATGATTGTATAGGTAGGAGCCATTTCGTATCCTGGTGCAGGTTCCAAATACTGATTTCCAGCAGTCACGGCGATGCAGCACTGCCATTTAGCGCGCATCCTTCTTTTAGCCTTTGATCCGCGTGTTCCTCGCATGGGTCCTAACCGAAAGGCGGCTGTCGAGAAGAGAGAGGTATAGCAGTCAAGACAACATTTCTTAAGCTCCGCTAACTAGCCAGGCCGAGATTAAATGGAGCTTGTTCAATTTATGCGGGATAGCTCGGTCGAATAAAACTGCACCTGCACTTGTTATGGCTTGTATGGGTGTAAGAATGGGTTAGTTCGACAGACCCGGGCCACCATGATGAATGGCTAACGGCTGCGATAGGTGGCGATAGGGTTATGAAACGTGTGGAGCAAGAGGCACTGCTTGGGATTTTAGTGAAATTAGAAGAAGTCCATGCCTTCTCGAGTGGGACAGCGCAGGCTCAGCTCAGAGAAGCATGGGGATGGGATAGATCTAATCGTATATAGATTTTCCTCCGTAATATATTTTTGTGCACGGAGTATGAAAGCAGTCAGAACAAAGAGATAGAGGAGCATACCATCAATCTATGTTTCCGTCAGTGCTGCTAGCCTCGGTTTAAGTGGGTACTCGATCCAAAAATGCTCTGAAAAACGAAGAAATCATTTTATTCCTTTCAACTTGATTGTTCTTCTCATGACCAAACTCACTGGGTAAAATTGAATGCTGAGTGACAAGTAATTGCCTTTAGGCTCATGTAGTTAAAATATGAAGCGATATTTTCATCCAAGTCAGTGTGGCCGAGTGGTTAAGGCGATAGACTAGAATGGATCCTCATCTATCTCATCTATTGGGTTCGCCCGCACAGGTTCGAGTCCTGTCGCTGACGATTTCTTTTTGTTTTTTTCTCTCCTTTTTTACTATTCCCTCAGGGGCCGGTTTAATTCCATAATTCTTCAAATCTATCTCTTTCATCTAAACCGAGCATCAACACCTTATTTCCACTTACAGTCGCGAGGACACCTCATCCTTCTTCTTTGCCCGCCGAGCATCTTCCTCCTCGTAGGCCTTCTTCCAAACATCTTGTACCTGTATATCTACATTAGCGATACTTTCCCCGTCATTGTTCAAACTAAATTGTAGCGGTAGTACAGAGGAGGTACTCACATCGTAATGATACAACCACCCATATTGATCAGCCCATTTACTTTCGATGGTGATCTCCACGGCCTCGTCGAACGAAGCAGCATTGCGAACCGCTTTGTTAGACTGCCCGAATTTATCTAAGATGTCGTACTGCGATATGTCAGTAAGCCCACGGAATAGTTTGTGAATACGGCATTCACATACCATCGCTTCGTAGTGTGGTGATCTCACTCGATCATATATTTCGAGAGCGTCACGCACAGGATAGTCTCTCTCGTAGGCCCATTTAACGGCTTGCGTGAGCACGTATACATCCTCTAGGGCGAAGCCGGCTCCGGCGCCTGTTCTTGTTAGATCATTGGACGGGTGGAAAGGGTGAATGGGGCAAGGGTGGATTTATTACCGAATGCTCCTGATAAAGCTGGGTTGCGGAATTGGTTATTAGAAGTATACTTGTAGAGAGGAGAAATAACTCACAATGAGATGCGTCTCCGATCAACGCAATTCCGCCGCCAGATATGACGCTCGACAAACGGGGGCCGGCGAAGAGCGCGAATTTCTTCACCTCCTTGACCTTACTCAACACTTCCCTGACAACCGGCGAGAATTCCTACATCATTTCCATTAGCATTTGAACGATACATGTGGTGAAACAAGTGCCTCACGTCATATCGACCCCGAATATCGTCAATATTCGCATCCTGGCCCCAGCTCACTGTCTTGCCGTCCTCCGGTAAATCTGTCCGCGCTGTGACTTCGTAGATATTGTTGTTCAAATTGCAAGTGTACAGCCAGCGCGTCGGACCATGCCAGAATGTCACGGCGTCGGGAAATCCCTCGATGCTGAGGATCTCCTGGGCGTTCACGAGACCACGGTAGGCGGTTGTTCCGGTGTAGCTGATACGGTGGTCTGGGAAGGCGTGTTGGCGTACGACCTGGTCACGTTTAGATGGTCTGCTAATTGATCAATGGGTCTTTGCTGGACAATTGGAAATACGCACTGATCGGACGCCATCTGCGCCGACGACGAGGTCCACCTCGTCGGAAAACCCGTCTTCAAAAGATAGAGACAGTCGTCCGGACGCTACCTCAGTGACCTTGGTAAGTCGACTGGACAGTCGCAGTCTGGACTGATCAACCGCTTTTAACAGAGCCTGTTGTAGAACGGATCGTAAAGCCCGAGCGTGTTTGTGCCGTGGAGGCGTGTCTGTAATCCATCAACGACAAGTACTTGAAAGGGACGGAGTGAGAATCGCAACCTTCCTGTCTGTTGGATATCCGGAGTTCACCTGTCCGACCATTTCTAAGCAATCCAATGAGTTCCTTTTCTCTCTTTATAACCCGAAAGAAACTTGAAAAAACATACCGATGCTGCACCGAATGTCCATCCGGCGCCCGAAAGATATTCCTCGGGTCAATGTTATCATACACGCCGAGCGCATCCAACATGCGCCATGTATTCCGCTGGATACTGATGCCGGCGCCCACTTCTCGCAACTCCTTTGCTTGCTCGTATATTTGAAGCTCGACGAAAGGTAGTTTTTGGAACTCAATGGCAGCGCCCAGTCCGGCTGGTCCCGCGCCGACCACGGCTATTCTTAATTTAGAGGGTTGATGGTCACTCGGCATACTTCCAGATGTGATCGATTGCAAGATGCTGTGTATCTCAGTGTTTGGTGTGACAGGAAATCAGCCACGGGTTGGATATTCCATCTTAAAGCTGACAGCTGAGAAATAGGCTGCCACTCTGAATGGCGTGATTAGCGCGTCTTACAGCTCATCCCTTGCAGATCGGAATACATTCCGTCTCGGCTGCGGTGGTGCACGTTGGTCCAATCATCGGATGGCGATAATGCAGATTTAGCTTGGGCAGTTTTGGTGCACGAAAAATTGACCAAGTCCGATGTGGTCGGGTTGTGTGTTCGGCGCCGTGGAGCCGATATAATCAGACCATGAATATCACGGCATTGTGCTCACAATGTCAACATAGTGGGGGTGAGGGGAGAATCACCATTAAAAATATGGTCCATGTTTGAATTGATTAAATCGCTAGTATTGTTTTCACCCCGCCTGTTGTGGCCAAAGTGTCTGATACATACTATGCTTCGGGTTTATTCTTTTCAGTCTGAGTTTAGAGGCCATTATAGTTGGATATAGTTTTATTGAGCCCGGTTTAGTAGGATACTTTATGATTTGGGTCGCTCAATTTGTAAATAACCCTTGATAATACGGAGGGGGGAAAAGTACATTATTTTGGCGGCCATGCGAAATCCTTCCACGGCCTCCCCTCGGTCTCCTTCGCCAAATCACGCAAAGAAGTCCATCTCCATTGCTTTTCTTCCGGGTTGACCAACTTGTTCGCATTCCCCAGTCCTGTCGAAGTATGATTGATGCGGTTCTCCCCCATCAAAAAGCGCAGATAATCAGCGGGATCCCACGATACCTCCGCCGTCGTCTTTTCCTTATACTTCTGCAACGGAATTTCCGTCACCTCCAGCCTCCCTGCCCCTGCACCTCGCATTATCTCCGCAATACCTGCAATCGACCGCGTATCGCCCGCCAGATGAGCCACTTCCGGAATCCTCTCCTTTGGCAACGAGCACAAAGAGGCAACCGCCCTGCCGACATCGTCCAACGAGGTAAACGAAACAAGCGACCCCGCGGATCCCACACTCTCATACCGTCCGTTTTTCGTATCAAACCCAAACCACGGCCCGATACTATCTTCGAGAAACAATCCACAAAAGACCCGACAGACCTTCACGTCGGGAACCAGCTCCCTCGCCAACGCGAGATGTCTCTTCTTCTGGTCCCATTCTAGATGCGAAAAATCGTGCACGTAGTGGTCCACCCCGAACTCTGACGGGAAGTACACCTGGACATCTGTCTGGGGCAATGCGCGCAGGAGCTTTTCTTTGAACGAGTGCCCGGCGGGCCCGACGGCGTTTACGAGGATTTGTACGCCCCGGAGAGCGTCGGCGAGGTCGTGGTCATTGTATTTCCGGATGACGATGTGAGCGTTACGATTGGACTCGAGGAATTCGGCGGGTACGGCGCCCTGTCGCGAGAGGAGGATCACTTCGGAGAAGTTATCGCGGAGTGGTGAGGATAGGAATGCGGAGGCGATGTGCTGGCCGAGATGGCCGGTGGCGCCGGCGATGGCTACCACTGGACGCCAGGCTGAAGATGTCATTATTGATAATGATTTGGGATTGGCGACTTCTGGTTATCAAGTGAGCTACTGCATCTCTACGGGGACATTGAGCAAGTTAAATAAGTTGTGGCTGGATGGACCACATGCTGTATAGATGATGTCATCAATCATACGAGACAAACAGGGCAAACCCTCCAGAGGCCGAATTGGCCCGCCTGATTGGCTTTGGGGTGTAAACAGATCAAACATGACAAGCAAGCTAGGTGGACAGGACAAACAGGACAAACAGGAAAAACTGTCAGCGGGGCTGTTTGCATCCCTCGCTGCGGCTGTAGATTGGCCAGTCCGGGTCTTATCGTCGTGATGCTCGACTATGAAACATCGTGGCTTTTATGGGAGCCACATGCCCTTCATCCTGGTGTTTATTTTATTTTAAAATCTGGCTTATATATAACCTCTGGTCTATCTCCATCTCAAGAGTCTTCAGTGACAATCGCTTCTAGCGAACATTGATTCATATCGTTCTACGCTCTACACACTATACTACCATCTTGTTTATCACTCATCCTTTTGGATTAACTGGAGACACCGTGCTGGTCAATCTGTTTCCATTTTACGAATTCTCAATGGAGACTCATTTATCATACCATGAGGACATATCTGAAAAATTGAACAAAGTCCTCCTGCATCTCATACAAGAAAAAAATGCCCACCATCACCACCACTCGGGCCATCATTGCGCACACCACAACAATTCAGATTGGGTTTTGGAGATGGACACCTGGGTTCAGTTAGAGACAATGCAAGAGCTACTATGCCAACGTCCACCAGATCTCGCTCTTCCTGGTGAAATGCTAGCCGATATCGACGCTGTCATCAAATACCATAACAGCCACAATCTCCTGACCTCGTCGAAATCATTCTCCCCCGGCGCGATTTTCAGAACTAGCCCCAACCCAGGAGAAACCAAATCCATAAGTCTGTCCGTCTGGAAAGGCGATATCACAGCTCTCACAGACGTCACAGCAATCGTCAATGCCGCGAATTCCCAGCTCCTGGGATGCTTCCGTCCAGAGCACCGATGCATCGATAACATCATCCACGCAGCTGCAGGTCCTCGGCTTCGCGATGCCTGTCACGCCATCATGCTTGACCAGGGGCATCTCGAGCCTGTGGGTTCCGTTAAGGTGACCCCGGGTTTTAATCTTCCTGCATCGTATGTTCTCCATACGGTTGGTCCGCAGCTGAACGGCAGACAAGAGCCCAGCGAACGACACGAGAGACAGCTAGCAGATTGCTACACGTCTTGTCTGGACGCAATGGAGGCTCTCCCATCACTCCCAGATGGCCGCAAGGTCGTTGTTTTCTGCTGTATCTCCACGGGGCTGTTCGCGTTCCCATCTGACCTGGCGGCGAGGATCGCCTTAAATGCTGTGGTGGAGTGGTGTTCCATGAACCCAGCCACGACGGTGACGGACATTGTTTTCGATACATTCCTCGAGAAGGACTGGGTCTTGTATAGAGACAATATCCGTTCACTGCATCAACATCCAAATATCACTGTCTCAGACTTGATCCCACCCACAAAGCTCCTCGATCCCGTCATCACCCCGGCCGTATCGCAGGCCCGCGAATGGCTCCAAAACGCAGGCTACCTACTCATCACAGCCGGCGCCGGTCTCTCCGCAGCCATCGGCCTCGACTACACCTCGCGAGACCTCTTCGCAAAGCACTTCCCTGCATTCCAACCCCTCGGCCTCAGCCGCCTCTACGACGTCTTCGGCTTCCAGGGCTGGAAATCCACGAAGCAAAAATGGGGATACTATTTCCTCCACCTCAACATGGTCCGAGCCTGGCCTCAATCCCCACTCTACACCCGCCTGCTCAAACTTGCAGAGCAATTCGACTCCCGGTACTTCGTGCGCACGTCCAACGCAGACGGACTGTTCGTGGCAAATGGCTTCCCCGAGGATCGAGTGTCCACGCCACAAGGCCAGTATCGGTTCCTGCAGTGTTTGGCTAAATGTCGACCCGATGCGATGTTTGAGTCCGAGCCATTCGTGGACGCCGCGCTGCCGCTCATTGACCCGATCACGCAGTCCTTAACGGACAAGGAGAAGATTCCCCGGTGCGAGTACTGCGGAGGGGAATTGACGCTGTGCGTGCGCGGTGGGGAGTATTTCAACGCGCGGCCGTTCCGCGAGCAGGAGAGGAAATATAGACAGTTCGTCTCTGATGCGTCGCAAGCGCTTGACTTGCATCACAGTAACAGCACGCAAGAGAAATGGGAACAAAAAGAGCAAAAAAGAAATTCGAAAACTGTTTCCGACACGGGGAATCGAACCCCGAGCTGCCGTGTGAGAGACGGCGATGTTAACCATTACACCATATCGGATGTGGTTGTTGAAAGGGAGATGCAGATAGTGATTCTTGAACTTGGGGTTGGTCTAAACACGCCGGGAGTGTTGCGATGGCCCAACGAGGAATTGTTGGAAGCGTCGCCAAGTCGACGCTTCCGGTTGATTCGCGCAGGCATTGGGGCTTCTGCATGTGTTCCGTGGGAGTTGGAGGAACAGGGCTTGGCGGTGGGGCTGGCGGGCGATTTGAATGGGGTGTTGCATGCGTTGGTGAGTTGAGGAAATGTTTTCAAAGATCGTCCGTTGGAAGTATATAATGTTGCTCTGGAGAGTTATCGGTCAACCCCGAAACGTTAATTAAACAATCTTAACTCAAGACCAACAAAGGGTATACTGTAGCTAAGTATACATAGATGGTTACCACGCCGAAAAATAAATTTCTTAAAAAAAAAAAGGGCAAAGAAAAACATCAAAAGTCAGACTGATATAACGCAAATGAAAATCTGAAAATCTACGCAAACATAGCCTGTTTATCCAAAATGCCCATGCCCCCTGGTTTCCTGATCATACATGTAAACCGCATCTTATCTTCTTCATAACCTTTTCGCCCGGTGAACTCATCCACCGTGTACTCGATGATATTCTCCGTCGGATCTTGTGAGAAATCCCTGAACCCCTTCCTCTGGTAGACCGGATACCCCGGGTCCGACGATTCAAGGTAACAGTCTAGACCGAGTTTATCGGCCATATCGCATCCCCACTGCGTGATGAGCGAGCCAGCCCCGCGGCGCTCGTGGCGAGGATGTGTGAGAAGTAACTCAAACACTGTCCAGCATCAATATACATTCAAACACTCACGAAGACCAACCCAGCATGGAAAAAGAAGAGGAGAAAACTCACAACAATGCTCCCTTCCTCCCTCCCCGAAGAAAAACCTTCGTTTATCAAACAACTTCCCCATAATACATCTATAACCTGCACTGTTCAACCCAAACGGAATCTGCATCGTGTTATCCGTTCGGGTGGACGATCGCCAGGTCTTCAGGCCCTGATCGCCGCGATAGATATGCCATTTACCCAGCGCGACCACGTTGCCGGAGCGGCTGTCCACCGCTTGCAGGTAATGCAGCGTCGGATCGTTATCTAGCTCTTCGGCGATCCGGCGTGCCATGTTGACGCTGTACGGCGAGCAGATGAAATCTTCGAACGTGATGTCGCGGTTGGGTACCTCGCCCGTCGTGCGGCCGAATCCTGTCGGCGCCATGACGGAGAACATGATGTTCATGAGGCGAGGGATGTCGGCTTTGGTGACGTGTTTTATAATGTGGGACATTGTGACAAAGAGGGGGGTTCTATTCTAAAGTGGGGGTTTATGGGAGTTTATTGTAAAGGTTTGAGGAAGGAGAAGAGTCTCTGCAGGACGGCCTCATGCCTTGTCCCTATTTATACACGATTCCCGTCGCGCAATGCTCTGAGTGGATATAGTCGTGGTATCCATCAATCGCAACTTTTGAGTTCTATTGTACTTTCAAACTTTGTTTGGACGAGCGAGCCTAGAATCGAGCCAATTTTACTCGGATGTGGCTGCGATGGACCGGCAGCCAGTTCATCACGACCCGACTGAATGGAAATGACGATGGAAGTCAAAGATCTTGCCCGGGAGTCTGGTCCAAGGTTTTATATGGACGGGCAGAATTTTCCGTAACGGTGTGGCAAACCTAGCCAAGGGAAGCCGCAGGCCTGCTTTGATAACCCCCCATGACATATATCTTGAAGGGGCAATAACAGTGAGGAGATACAGGGCTCGCAGAAGAAGCGATTTTGAAAAAGTGAATAGGCCCCGTTCAAGACTGTAACTTGTCTGCACATTTGGCAGTCGCGTAGTCCACTGATCTTTGAAGCTATTGCCCGTTTCTTCGATTCTCAGCCTCGCCGCTGAAATGAAATGGCAGATCATGATTAACTGGGGTAGGACCGACAGATGGAATCTATCACATGCATGATAATGGTCGGTTGACAGGTAGGAAATTGGTTCATACTAACCTTGTAAGTCTCCAAGTAGTGGACCGCAAGTTCCAAATCCAATAAGATTGGCAATGGGAAATACAACACGAAAGCTTAGCAAAACGGGCTGACGCAGTTTGAAGACCTTCTTTAGCCTTAAATTACCATTATCCACTGTTAACAGAACTCAAAGAAAGGCCTAGATAGAAGCAAGTATTTCTTGCCAAAGAAATAAGCCCAGCTGTAATACCCAGGATTCCGACATAAAACTCGTCATTCCCCGGGCTTAATCCAGCAGCAGACGGGAGAGATCCTGAAGCATCTGAGTTCTTCTATTCGGTAGATCTAAAAGCCTTGCTCGCGAATCGAGTTTCCAGGATCCTTAATCCGTGGCTCCACTTTGATTAGCGTAGGCATGCAGCAGAAAGTTGAGACTCTTGGCCGACATCATCCGCCATCAACGTGGCGGCGCCAGGTATCCTTGGCTGCCAAAAATTATGTGTCTGGTGTTTTTTGCGGCCGCGGACTCCGGATTTATATTCTGTGGGAGATGATCATCCCGTTACCTACCAGAAGCTGGAAAATAGTTTGCTCCCATTTGCCTTCGTATTCCAGACTGGATCTCACATAGAAAGTTTATTCCAGTTCCCCAGAGTCTGGCCACCGATTTCTTTCTCCTTTGTCCTTTCTTCAACAGAGTTGATTTCTGCTGTCCATGAATCCATGGTCACATAGCGGCAGATGCGGGAAATAGCGTTTCATTTTCTAACAGTCTGCGGAAAGATGAACGGAGACTTTGTGGGCGCAAGAGAATATGGACTCGGTTTCAAGCATCTCCGAGGAAGTGATTTGGCTGTTCTATTCTTCTGCATCCGGATTCGATTATGATGAGGTGGCATTAGGGCTCGATTCATCACCGGCGCCGCCCCTTCCTTCGACTTGTATTACCTACCACCCTGATAATATTGAAGAAGAAAAGATGTGTGGTGAGCAAAAACAAAAACATACAACAGCAGGGATTCGCTGGTGGTCACCCACCCAACTACTAACCTGCCGGCGTGTGGCTTA